ACAAACCAGTATGTCCTGATAAGAGCCTAATCCTCAAATCTCAAAATCCTGCTTCCGATAGCCATATCTCCATACCAATTTATCCATTTTTAACCCCACTCTACAGCACCGTACCCCCTTTATCTACCAAAACCACCACTCTCGGCAGATATTCCATCCTACTGCTAGACTGCCCTGCATCAGACATCAAGCCAGAGCAAGAGCTGGGGAGTCGAGTCGGCCCTGCTCAGGAAATGGCAGAGTCAACACTTGTCAATTACTGTCGTGTCAACAAAATGCAAAAAAAAAAAAAAAAAAAAAACAACCTCTGATTGACTCGAATAAATTTAGTTCTTCCCATCTTATCCCCTCCTCGTTTCTCTATTCTACATCTTCCCTCCTCATCTCACTCTCTCTCTCTCTCTCTCTCTTTCTCTACTTTCACTAGATCGTTCCTTGCTGCAGACTCAGGGAATTGGAGGGTCCTTCACTCAAGATGCACAATGTCCACTTTCTCTCCTCTTTGGGGCTTCTCCCCGGCTGGCAATCAGCGGGGCATCGCTAGGTGGTATTGACTTTTTCAGCTGCGCTTGTGAGTGTTTTGGTGAATCACCCAATTCCGCCAGTCACTGTACTCTATATTATTAGCGGCGGGGAGCTAGTACGGCGGACAGATCCCCGCGCTGCAGCACACACATACGCGCATACACACACCCCCCGTACACACACACGATGTTGTAGTGGGGGATGAATTACACGCACGTAATTGTATTAGCTCTAGTGGCCTAATTCTCAAATTACATTGAATAATTTGGGCCCCAAATTTATTCAGTGTTGGGGTACATATTTCTGGCAACACATAACTGGTTTTTATATCAGGATGATGCAAATGTACAAATGAAACATGACATTGCATCCACGAATTGTTTTAGAACACCTATCTCCCGACCACAGGGAGATCCATACGTGTACAGAAATTTATGTTACATGTGCTCCAGATATGAAAGAGGTTTCGTACATCATTCAAATGGCTGAAAATAGATCATGAACAAACAACTGAATATTTTCTCGAACTACATATGTACAGTTTATTTCTGTTATTGATCTTTTCAATAACCTAGTGGCTATCATTACGGCAGCCACAACGCAATTTTCAACTGCTATCGTTACGGCATTGCAAAAACACCATTGCAAATATTACATTTACATTGTATAACTGCCTGTCCAACCACAGTGCTTCGGTAGCTCAATTGATAACCGTTCAGTTACAATGTCATAGGTTCCGGGATCGAGTCCGCACTGCGAAATTTTTTATCTTTTTTTGGTTTTATACTTATGCTTTTTTTAAATCAAATTGTTCATTTTATTTTCTTCTTTGTAATCAGTGGCTTAGGAGGATTTTTTTTTTTTAAAGGAAATAAAGTCCGAGAACCATTCGGTTGATGGTTCCCAACAGCCAAAGATCCTGACATTGAAAACTATTAGGTCAGGGAACCAGACGGTTGATATAGATTCACAATGGTGTTTTTGCAATGCCGTAACAATAGCAGTTGAAAATTGCTTTACGGCTGCCGTAACAATAGCCACTGCCTTTCAATAAATATCTTCAATAAGTACGTTAAAATTAATAATTATTTTAACTCAATGCAGAGGGCGCGTTAAGAGTTATTTTGCAAAAATGTATTAAAATTGGAGGATTCAGGACTGTTAGGGCTAGGGCCATGGAAAACATCCACATCATACGCCAAAGTAAAGTTCATCATGACTAGGTTTTCTGCAAGACAGGTAGTTATGTACATATGTACATCTATAGGGCCTACAGTTACGTTTCGCAGGTGCCTGTACATTGTAATTTCTACAAATGCAAAATGAACTTTATCTTTCGATCTTCAAAAAGCCCACATGTAAAACTTCCACATTAATCATTGAAATCAGGTTGCAAAGCAGATACGATTTGTTTTTATTTGTTATATTTGCAGTAAATTTTCATGACTGACAGATGGAAGACACTGCTTGAATTTGGACACAAAAGCATGGAGCAACTTGGAGTCTTATGTGTAAATTTGTCTAAAAGGCACCTTTTACAAAGAGTGGACCATTCGCACTGTTGCAGCTATCCAAAAAGTAACCGACCAAATTATTGTTAAAAAGCTTACTTGGTTTAAAGATAGTAATGGCACTAAACTTTCTGTGAAATTATTCTTTCTAGCATGCTGTCACTTTGAAGAAAACAATAAAGCAATATCATTTCCAAAAATGTGTCAGTTGACACATTTTGGGAAAATTTCCGTTTGAAGTTGGTTTGTAATTGGGCGGATCCGTGAATGGGTGCAAGCGTTGAGACTACGCACACACACAGCTGCTATTATTCGTCGGTTCACTGTGTGACATACCGGTAGACCTCGGCTGAATGAGAATCAAGTCCCAAATGCTGATCTCGAGAAAGTGTCACGAGAGGGCACAATTCAACATTTGACCTGGCACTTTTTGAACTGAAAATCGACATCCTTTATATTTGGGTTTTCTCAATATAGTACTCACGGAGCTAAAACTTCATCGGGTTGGTTGTTAAGCATCCTTAGATTTTGAGCACTTTTATTGCGCTTCAAACGAAAACAAAATGCACACAATTTGAGAAATCACCTTTAAAAGTAAAAACACCTTTACAGTTAAACCTGAAGAAATCCAGTTTTCAGGGAGTCTTTATTTTTTTAAAAATCCTGAAATCAGGAATAAACCTGACAAATCTCACCCCTGATCTTAACCATTTACAGATGGGTCAAAACCTCTGGAGATGAAGTCAAGATACCCATCTATCTATGCATCCGGGATTCATAACCTGGGGTTTAAATACCGGTACTTGACGTCAATAAGACCCATTCATTATCAAACTTAGGCCCGGCGTGTATTCACTACTGCAAAGTGACACAGAGCATACAAAAAAAAACATTATGCCCTTTTCAGACAAGAGAGGGCTCACTTTAAATTAATGGTCATCCTTCTTGACTACCAGCAGAATTGCAGTTGGGATTAATTCATGAAAAGAAATTGATTCACTTCACGGTGGTTAATACGCGGTACTACAAAAACAGGAATGGACCAAATTCTTCAACTGAAAAGATTGCCCATTCTTGACAGCTTGATGTGGTTTCATCATTGAAATATATTTGTCAACAACCAAAAACGTCCCTTATTATTCTTCATTTTCCAGAGATTGTCCCCAAGCACAGCCCAGCAGTGCTCCCAACTGTAGTTGGGACAATCCAAACTACAGTTAGGATCCTTATACACGTAGTTGGGACCATTCCAACAATGGGACGATCCCAACTTTAGTTAGGATCGTTATATAGGCCGACCAGCATTGGAAAAAAAATTTTTTTTCCCCAAAAATTGCTCCTAGTTTATTATATTTAGTTATTCTTCATTTTCTTTTCAATTGATTACACACCTGTGGAGGGGTACCATGCCTGCTAGCCTGATTATTTGACCTCACAATTCCCCAAAGTCTATAAATTGCTCCGTTTCATCTTAAGTGGGGTCAGGGAACCAGACTACAAGAACATGATTGGTTTTCTTGGTTTTTCCAGCATCTACAAGCCAAAACATGAAACAAGTCAGTTTAACAATATTTGCTGTAACATACGGTACTAACCCCAAATCCTTCCTTTTCTGAAAATTACAGCAAAAGCAAATGCTGTATACTCCCTTTAAGATTTTGAACAGTATTTTTGAGAGAACATGCGACTTTCTTATCTGAATTTCCAGCAGCGACTATACGAATCAACACATTCACACAGGTGCACGGCGCCCTGGTAGTGAAGCTGTTGTTCCTTTGGCAATCCTACTTCCTTGGTATTAAATGAACTTCTGGGCCAATCAGAGATTGGCTTCTAAATGGAACTTTTCATCAACCAATCAGCGACGGTCTACCAAACCAGCTTGGCCACTGTCATGTGCATTTGTCGCTGCATGGTTGCGGTCGTCGTCATTTTTACCCCATAATATTCCTCAAAAATCAAAACCGTGCCCTCTTTCCACAAAATTTAATCCTGCAGATATTCAACATATTGTCACTACTTGGGGGAGAGTCTAAAAAGTTGAAAGTGGATTTTCGTTCTCTTATAAATAGATAAATCTGGCGGCAGCCATTCTCTGCAGTGTCACCAGGCTTGCGTTAGTCGCGCTCAGGTAGTGCATACGCACTCCGGACTTCTTCGACCAATAGAGATACCAAAACGGGCGCGCATCTCGCCTTGAAGAACGCGTGCAGTATGCACGTGAGCGTGACACCACCGCAGTAAAAGCTTCTAATTCTGGTCACTGTATTCCGCTTTAGGAACGGGGTCTTGACAAACCGCCAACTCAATGTACTAGACACACAGACAGGGCTCTGGAGTGCTCTGAAACGTGCAAAACTAAATCAGGAACACTTTACTCACACTTTAGCCAGCAAATTTCTCCAAAAATTCCACTGGGGCAAAGAAAATGTCCTCAGTATTTCACCAAGCAAGTTTGCAGACTGAATTCTTTTTTTGAAAGAGACTTTTCTTCAATATTTTGCACATGAGAGGGAAGTCAAGTGATTTCAAAATGGGGCTAAAGACTAGACTGGTACATGTCCAACCATGATCCAACTATTTGAAAAGACTGACCTCTTCATTCAGTGTCAATAGTCTGGTGGCTTGACTATGGAGAAATGTGTAGTAATTGAGACTAGTTCCCACTTCATGCCTCATGTTTCTTAAATTCTTTTGGCATGGTTGATTGATGCAGTACTGAAGCTGTGATGGACTGGTTGTGTTATGTGCCAGTCTATTTTCTTGTTTTGCATGTTTTCAATACCTTAAGTTTTGGGACTCTCATACACGGTATTGAGAGAGTCCCAAATTTTCGGACTACTAGACACACAGCGTCCAGCACATAGCGCTCTCACAACCTGTCACAAACCGCCATCTATTGTTTAATGTCGGAGTCCAAAGTGAATGACCCCATTCTATAGTCTCACATGACCTTTGACCTACCTCATCCTTGTGTTTCTGCGTCAGCGTCTTGTTGTTGTGGTCCAGACGCCTGTTGAAGTCATCCTGAAGTCTCTGGATGCGTTGCTTGGTTTCCCTGCCCAGGGCGTGCAGATCGCTGCATTGACTCAGCTCAGCCTGTGAAGGAACGACACAAATTTGAAGATCTGTTATTGGGGCCAATTTATAAGATGGCAGAAGTCTTCAATATATATCAGAGTGGAATACTTTTACTTTGGTGTTTCGCTGCATGCAATGAATAATTGCACTAATTTTTAATAAATTTACAATCTCCCTATTTGAGCACAAAATCAAATCTACTTTTTCCAAAACCTTGTATCATAAATGTATTCAATGACTCTCAAAGGGTTGAGGTCCGAGCCTATATAGTGGAATCCGGCGACCAGAATTATCTTCTTTCACTGCAGTGTATGGTGTCACGCTCAAGCATACGCTGCACACGTTCTTAAAGAGGAGGCGCGCATGTATTTTGGTTTTCCTATTGGTCGAAGCAGCCCGGAGTGCGTGCGTTTTACCCGAGTGTGACTCGCGCAAGCCTGGTGCCACTGCAGAAAATGGCGATCACCGGATTGTCTATACATGTAGCTAGGACAGTTTTTTCCAATCTCCTTTAATAGCTAATGGAACATTAAACTAAAATCTTACCAAAATTGATAGTTGATTATTTGAATCTACGATCTGCTGGATTTTGATCTGGTTAAATATCAACTGAGCTATTTATTACGTTGTATGAACTATTATTGCAGTCTTCCAATATGTCTTTGTTCAATTCAAGGCACTGGTCTGTAGTTTCTGTAATATATTTCATTGAATAAGGTTTTTGTTTAACATGAATTATTTAAGGAAATAATAATGGGGAAGCAACATGATTGGGTCTAAGTACCGTACCATGATGACAATGTTACATCAAGTGTTGCATTATCTCAAGCTTTAAATTGGGAACCAAAACCCTAACTCACAGTTTTCATTGGATATTTCATTCATTCCAAAAAAAAATGAGGAAAATATTAATATTAGCGATTAATAATTAGCTCTACTTTTAAAATTCACATCTTTTTCAAATATCTTTATTCATGCTTTATTTCAATGTAGAAAAGGCAGACAGCAATCACAATTTCAAAAATTGTGAAATTTGAACTTAGGCTAGTTTTATAATAAAAAAAGGTTGCCAAGAACTTAATTAAAGTCACAACTGTCAAAGTGTCACAAATGAACAGCGCCCTCTTACATTTTTTGAACATCTGCAACAATTACCTGTTCACAGTGAGGGCGCTCTATGCAAGCTCTCTTTACAATAGGCCCTAATCCGTCATAAACAGTTAAATTAGAAAATCCACTCTCACTGTTGTTTTATCCACTTCGACTAAATAAGCATAACATTTTATGACAATGATGATATTTACAATATTTTTAAATTAAATTAGAAGTTAAAAAGAGGAACAGGCTACCTCCAGTTCGTCAACGCGTGCTTTTAATTCCTTGTTTTCCCTAGCAACGTCCTGCAGAAAACTGAGAGTTTGAATGTGTCTGTTGGTCAGGCGTTCGTCCTGGTCTGCTTGCTCGTGTTTGGACGGCTTTCCGTTCGAGTTATACGTGTTTTGAGACATGACTCTTGCTGCAATGTTAAGTTCACTCGGGGTGCATGATGGAAAGAAAGTCTACACCGAGAAGAGATTTCATACACATTCGATTAAGTAATTTCCACCGACTCCAATCAATTTGCGAGCATGCAAACTTGACAGGTGCTAAAAAAAAAACTTGATTGCGGTGAATATCAAATGAGGGCGCCCTGTGTGATTTTTGGATGGTGTGTGCTTTAAAAATGCACCCCTAGAAAATGTGTCCGGTTGGAGTTGACCTGTCAGAGCCGCAGGTTCCTAAGTTCTAACTTCTGCTGCAATCGCTTCCTGATATCTGACAGCATTATTTAGGCAATTGTATGTGATTATTATAATAGTTGCAGTACATTGTAAAAATCAGTAAACGAAATAGTATAAAGTGCGCCTTTTTGTATCTTGTTAAAACAATATCCAAACTTTTGGTCTCCATTCCAAAAGTGCTTGGCAAAATATCCTTCACCTCAATGAAAACATTTGATTTTTTCAGACGTGCTTTTCTGTACAAATTAGCTGTTCAGTGACGTTTGAGTAATTTCTATTGTGATTAGTTCTAGGTCAAACCGAAAATTGAATGGACTTATACAAGTACAAATAGTACAAAAAGTACATAGATGCGCCCAGGAGTACTTTGCCCGTAATGATGACCTTTTAGATGATGATATTGAAGTTCAGGCGCGGTTCTATGGGGGGGGGGGGGGGGCAGAGGGGGTTTAGCCCCCCCCCCCCCCCCCCAAGTGTCTAGCCCCCCCCTAAAAAAAAATGCAATTATAAATAAACGCGCCGTATATAATTTAATAGGTTGCTTTTCGACTCCCAAAATGAAATAGCAGTAACGAAAGTTAGAATGTGACGTCACGTGCGAAGGGTCTAGGCCCCCTAAAATGTATTGGATCTAGAACCGGACCGCGCGCACCTGTTGAAGTTGTTTTTGTGTTCCCCATATAGATGGCGATATTTTTGTCACCGTGTAGATGGTGATAACGTAATGGTGATATGATTTTTTATTTTCCAGCCAAATTACTTCAAGTTGGTATATACGTGCTGTTTCAGAATTTTGATTTTCTTTTCCGAACGAAATTTAAAGGAATATAATGTCCTGTAACAAATAAAATTGCTTGTTTATTTCCGCAGGCTGTTATACAGATTTCAAAAGTGGTTTTAAATGTCGCGTTCCTGTTCAAAAAATTGCGCATAGAATTAGGAGCGCCAACAAGTTGCAAATTAACTAATTGAGTACTCGTCGCGGGCTAATTTTGTTCGTGCGATGTCTCATTTGATGGAAAGCTCGTATCTAATGTGATGCTAGAAAATTATCAATTCAGTTTGAAAAACTATTTTGAAGGTGCCACACGTACACCCCAACTTTAATAAAGTTACAACTTGAACAGTGATTGCCGTCGATTTCAAGTTGGGAAATACATGCTGTACTTGGGGGTGCAGATCTGTAAATAAGCCCAGAATTATTGCCTACGCGGGCCAAATCACGATTTGTATACCCTCAAATCCTCAGGTACTATTTGAGGGCCATGCAAGGGCGGCGTCAATCGCTTCTCAAAAGTTGGCGGACATACCTCGATGAGCACTAATGCAATTCACGCAGCGCGAAGCCCTTACGGCGTGGGGTTCGGGGCCGGCTTAAGGGCCCTGAAACATTTTGGATCTGAGGCAATTTCTGACCACTAAAACCATTTTTTTTTTAAGCAAAAGATCATCCTTTAAACATCATTTTCGAGTTTCGAGTCATTGAATCAGCTATTCTGAGCTATAGAATCATTATATTTAGGCTCAGTTTTTATTCGGGGACGAAAAAGTGTGTGTGTGTGTGTGTGTGGGGGGGGGGGGGGGGGGGACAAACGATATGATATCCCTCCCCCACTTTAAAAAGTGTGGGGGGGGGGGGACGGACTTGTCCCCCACCAATTGACGCCCATGGATTTAAAGAAAATACGGTCTATTAATCGCAAAAAAATCAATCTGATTTCAAGTCACTTTTAATTGAACAAAAATTAAGCACTCTTTCTGGAGACGATAACTAAAAAAAAACACCCACATTGTGTTGAATTAAAAATACGTCCATTAATTGGTCGAGATATAGGACAAAAAAATGTTTGAAAATCGACGGGAATCATTGAAGATTAAATTGAATATGATTTAACGAAATACAGAGTACTAATCGCGAAAAATTATATTCGAATTCGAGTCACCTTTGATGGAACAAAAATAAAGCACTCTTTGTGGAGACGAAAACTCAGGAAAAACTCATTGTGCTAATTTGAAATTGCGTCCCAAAATTGACTATGACATACGACACCATATATTTGAAATTTGACATAAACCTGTGAAGAAAAAAATTAATACATTAAAAACAAAAACTACAGTGTGTAAGGGCACTCCCGTACATTTTACCAACATCAATTTCTTCCAAAAGAGGGCGCCCTACATAAATACTGGTCACCACCGTAAAGCAACGCGGATCACGATCTGCCCAAACGAAGTCGGCATTAAGTGAACAAAAATAAAACACACTTTGTGGAGACGATAACTCAAGAACAGCAAAGTGCACTAAATTGAAATTTTGTTCAATAATTGTTCAGGATATAGGACACACATTTTTTTTAAATCAACGGGAACTTCTGAAGAATGAATTTAATAAGATTTAAAGAACATACCGTTTATCAAAATTCAATCCGAATTCAAGTGAAATATATCACTCTGTGGAGACGATAACTCCAGAAAAACACATTGCACTGATTTGAAATTGCGTCCCATAACTGACTGTGATATACGACACAAACAATTCGAAATTGGACAGAAACCGTTGAAGGAAAACATTCATACAACAAAAACAAAAACTACATTGTGTAAGGGCACTCCCGTACATTTTACCAACATCAATTTCTTCCAAAAGAGGGCGCGCTATACACAAATACTGGTCACCACCGTAAAGACTTCTGTCAACGTGGAACACGATCTGCTTAAAACACATTTTGTGGAGACGATAACTCGAGAACAACACAGTGCACTAAATTGAAATTTTATTTAATAATTGTTCGGGATATAGAACACAAATGTTTTGAAAATCAACGGGAACACTTGAAGAATAAATTTAATATGATTTTAAAGAACTTACAGTTTACGTCCATTTTCAAAACGGCGATGGGCTTCAAGTTCAGGACTGCCAGTGGTGTTATAGGGGTGATCATATTTGGATGGAATTTTGATTTGATTTGATTTGATTTATTCGCAATTTTCACAATAATGATACAGATTAGTTAAAATTTAACAAAAAAATAAAATATTCTGTACTATAAATTAAAATTTAACAAATAGAGAGTTCCCCACTCACTTAAAGGGAATATACATCATTTGCTTTTGCTGTAGTTTTCAGAAATGGATGGAATTGGGGGGTTGGAAATATATAGCAAATATAGTTACGCTGACTTTTTTGAGGTTTTGGGTTCGAAAATGCTATAAAAACCAAGAAAAACAATCAATTTCCTTTAGTCTGGTTCCCTGACTCCATGTAAGAAGAAACGGAGAAGTTTACATTATATTGGGGAATTGTAAGGTCAGGGAACCAGTCTAGCTGGCTTGTACCCGTTCATAGGTGTGCAATCGATTGCAAACAAGTGCGATGGTCAACTGGGGCCAGTATTTGAAAAAAAGCCAGTTTTTTCCAACGCTGATCGGCCGATCAGCGTTGGAAATTGATACAAAAATACCACTTTTCTTGAAAATGACAGTATACCGGGGGCCATGATTTTACAGGATGCTTTACACTGTCATTCACTAACAGTCCAGCAAGGTATTTCAAAATGATTCGGTAGTTTTTTTTTTTGATGTTTGCAAATGTTGTATTTTCCCTTTAAGTGAGAAAAAAACAAGGTCTGCATGGATTAAATGCAAAAAAAGTGAGAAAAACTTATTTTTATTGCGGTCTCCAAAAAATACCCTATGCCTCCTTAAATAAAGAGAAACAGAACTGATAGGTTCAAAGAAAGTATGGTTGCAGTAATTATAAATAAAATCACATGCTTAGAGAGGAAACCAATGTACATGTGCCATTGTCATGTTACATGTATCTTAAAAATTATCAAAAATCTTGAAATTACATAATATCGCACCTTAGTTACATTAAAAATATACATATTGTTTCACTTTAAAGTCATCGGCTAACCCCTCAAAAATGAACAGAAAATAAAATAGCTTGAAATAAGCTTTAATTTGCTGTCTCAAACACTTGAAGAGTTGTGAGTATTTTTAAACAATTTCTGAAAGTGCGCGTAATTACCATTGAGGTCTATGGTCTGCACCCAAACAAAATCACTGGTGACCATTAAATTTATATAGCGCCCCCAAGAGGACTTTATTGCGCGTTCAGGTTGCGGGATCCCAATAAAAGGTAGACTGATTCCAAGTCCCACACTTGTCATTCTCTCTTTGAATGTCGTTTTGTAGAGCCATGGCTAACGTTAATGGTTATTTGTTCCAAACATTGAGACTTGCATCTCATTCAGTTTACTTCTAAATTCTCTCAGAAAACTTTAAAGTTCCTTGTTTATATTGCCTGCAGCCTGATCATTCCGGAGGTTTTGTTCGGACTGCGTCGGCGCGGCACTTCAAGTTTTCATTTTAGAAATTGTAGCCCTGATGAGTGAGGAAGTTTAACCTCATCTTTTCTGTTTGCTTGGAGTGAAAAGGTGGATAGATGCCTAGCATTGGTAATAACATGAAAAATAGTCCATGGCCCTTGCTGTTTTTTTTAAGTTATAAATTATATAGTGGATACGGTAGTTGTATCTAATTCTACCTCCATGGTTACATCTAATCATTCAGGAAATGGTCTGAATTTTTTGGGGGTCATTCTGATTTGTAGCACCTAAAAACGCTTGTGTACGCATGCGCTCTTGTAAATTTGTGAATGGAACTTCGCAAGTCATTCCATGTGTGCGTGTGCACATGTAATGTTCGAGAGTAGTGATTTTGGATCGAAGTGGTCGTAATTTTTGACTTTAAATTAAGTTTCTTTCACAGGAGGGATGTCACTACCGCAGTTAGAAATAAACAAGGTGGTGGTCCACCCCTTGGTGCTGTTGAGTGTGGTGGATCACTTCAACAGAATACGAAATCAGAAGCGAGTGGTCGGCGTTCTGCTTGGTGCTTGGAGAAAAGGGGTCCTTGACGTCTCCAACAGTTTTGCTGGTTTGCATATTTCCCAGTTTATTTGGAACATGATGAACAAAGTCCATTTACTTGATACTTGATACTGTAATCCTTTTACAGCTCCTCTTGAGCTAAACTATGATGTTGGTGCAGAACATTAGACTCAGTCAGTTGTCATGGTTGTTATTTCCAATGTGTTTAGCTTTTGGATGCTAGCAGTATTTTAAAAACAAAACTTAACATGTTTAATATTTCTTTGTGACTTTGTCCTGCATACCTCCTTGTAAAAAAGACTCTATTTTAATATACAATTTTACAAGTCGTCCCATGCAAAAAGGACTTTTGCCGCCTCAAGCATTTATTTTTTTATTACATTTGTAACTCCCCCTTACCTGTGTAACAAAGTGTAGACTTAAAGTGGAAAATAATAAATTAAACATGAAATAATTAAAAACCCACAATTAGGCCTATCAGAAGTATTTATGTTCCTAAAAACTGAATTCTAACTAGTGTGAGTGACAATGATTAATAAAATACTTTGCCTGACTAATGACATTACCTTTCATTTTGTTTTGACCCAGTACCCTTTGATGAAGATGACAAAGACAACACAGTGTGGTATCTGGACCATGATTACTTGGAGAATATGTACGGCATGTTCAAAAAAGTTAACGGTGAGACTCAATCCAACTCATTCTTTTAGCCTTGTTGTGTATTTAGATAAATAATTTACGACTGTGATTTTCTAACCAACATCAACCATTCTCCTTCTTTACATTTTAGTGTATTAGTTGAACATTAAAAGTAGGTGTAACAATAAAAGTAGATGCGACAAAAATTGTCTAAAATATATATGTATTTTTTTTACATTTTGGTTCTCATTGTCTATTTTTCCTCCACAACTGACTACCCACATGTTGTTGTTGATTCTTTGGCTGTATATTACTAGTAAATATCATATTTTGATTTTGGGGTTTGTTTATTTATAAATCTCCATATATTGTCTGCCAGGTTTTAAAGGGAACATACAACATTTGCAAACATAAAAAAACGAAATGATCAAATTATCACAAAATAAGTTTCTGGAATGTTAGGGAATGACAGTCTAAAGCATCCAGTAAAATCATGGCTCCTGGTGTGCTAACATTTTCAAGTAAAATGGTATTTTTCCAACGCTGGTCGGCCAACCAGCATTGGAGAAAACTGGCTTTTTTTTCAAAACCTGCTCCTACTTGTTCATATTTAGTTATCCCGCATTTTCATTTTCTTTGCACTTGATTACATACCAGTGAAGGGTATAAGCCTGCTAGACTGATTCTCTGACCTTAAAATTCCCCAAATTCTATAAATTGCTGTGTTTCATAATAAGTGGGGTCAGGGAACCAGACTTCAAGGACATGATTGGTTTTCTTGGTTTTTCCAGCATCTACAAGCCCAAAACATGAAACAAGTGATTTAAACAATATTTGCTATAGCATACTAATCTTCCAAATCCATTTATTTCTGAAAATTGCAGCAAAAGCAAATGTTGTATATTCTCTTTAACTCCTTGTGTGGCCAATATCCTCAAAAGTCACACAGAGCAATGCCAGTTGTATTTAAAATGGACTGAATGTAGTGTTTTATTCCCCACGTCTAAACTGACATTTGATTCCCGTCACAGCACGAGAGAAGATTGTCGGCTGGTACCACACTGGTCCGAAACTCCACCAGAACGACATAGCAGTCAATGAAATCATCAGACAATACTGCCCAAGTTCGGTGAGTCATTTTTTCACTAAGTTTTTTCATTGTTGCTCTCTTAAACGTTGCATGTTAATCTATAAGAATTCATCAGTTGACAGACTACCAGTATTCTGTCATCATTTCAAATTTTCAAAGTTGAACAAAGAAATTGACTGGAGCGGGGTTTGAACCTGCGACCTCCAGATTACCATTCCGGTGCCATACCAACTGAGCTATCCAGCTCTTTGTTGGTGGTTCCCCAATTTGTCAGTGTCATTGTTCAAGGGGCGCTCGTCGGAAGCCATAAACACGTATATATGCCATGTAGCCAGGGATCAAGCCCAAAGTCACGATGCTAGCAACATTAGCAATGCTGCAATCCCGGGAAATAGCAAACGGGGATCACTCAAAGAGGAATATGTGATTTGTTACAAACATTCTCCGGTAATCCGGAGGTCGAAGGTTCAAACCCCGCTCCAGTCAATTTTTTTTTAAGCAACCTAGTCAGTTTCCCTTTGTGGTTTATGTGAATAATTTCAAATTACCAAATTTGGAAGCAAAGCGAGCCTAAAGAACACTTTCTTCTAATGGAAAGTAATTTGTCTTTTATTGATTGACAACGACCTTTTAGTTTAATGAAAATGTTAAGTTTGAGGGAAATAACTGTGAAATTTGGTGTGTCATTAACGACATTTTCAAAATATTTACCAGGACATTTGATCGTGTGTTTTTATTGTAGGTGCTAGTAATCATTGATGCCAAACCTAAGGAACTGGGACTTCCATCTGAAGCATACATTGCTGTTGAAGAGGTCCATGATGTAAGTTGTACCATTTTACCTTGAGTTTTGGTTTGAAAACTTGATTTTGCCTATACTATAACCAATCCAATTTTAGGAAAGCGTTTTTAGAATTTTGGTGGCTTGTAGCTTGTGGTTAAACTGAGATTGCTTGTTGCATATGTAACCGTGAAAAATGACACACCTGGGGAACTCGCGAAAACTACTACAAGTAAACTAAACTTGGGATCTTTGAAGGGAAAAGTCGCGAGGAGATTGAATTAATAGGGAAAAGGGACACAAATTTTAAATCTCAAACAAAAAGGACAAGAATAAATTTATTTACAAGAACTTTCAAAATGACCAGATAATTAAAACCAAGACCACGAAAATCAAGACTAAGAGCAAAGCCTAACCCCTAAAACCAACAACTTAAAGAAATATAAAGAAACTTAAACCCTAAAACCAAAACTTAAACCTTAAAAACCAAAGACTCAAACCAACACAGTGTGTTATATAATGGATCTTTCAAGACACTTCTGGCAGAAATCAATAACTCGAGCAGATAAACACTCACACAGGGCAATGCGCACCCAAGAAAATCAAGGGGGAAAGAGAGGAAATATAATGCATAGCCCTCTCTCTACGGCTGCTGGTCTGCTACTGATCATGAGGGGTCTGTGGTCTTACAGGGTGGCAGGGCACATGGTCTTGGGACAGGGGGGAAGTAGGGAACCAATGGCATGGGAGTACCGCTAATTTACATACTATGTGGACTGTTAATGGGGAAAGCTACTCAGGGGGATACACAACTATGAAAGGGTGGGGGACATCTAATAAAAACACTGGATCTTCTCAGGGGGCTACTCCTATACTAAAGCATACAAAAATACATTGGAAAAATACAAGTTAAATTTGGCCCTGCCACACATATTTTAGGACTAAAATCACACATTTAGAAGTACACAGATTTGATTGGCCAGATGAGCGACCATGAATTTTTTTTAATCCCACATTTCTGCTTAATTTTAAAATTAGATAATTTTTTCAAAAAGAGAATTTGAAAACTAGTTTTAAGAAAAAAATCTAAACATTTGAAGCATGAAGCATATTCGTCCATTAGCCCATGTACTATGTTGTATTACATTGTGTTTATTCATTGAATAATCAATAAAACCACAGAATGCTCGGGCGGTTTAGGGCAATATAGTAATACCAGGGCGGTTTTGGGCAGTACAGAGGACAAAAGGGTGAAAAAATGGGCTTCATTGAAATAATGCACATATATATTCTATTTCTCAACAAAGACTTTCAAATTAGGTTTTGCCCTTCACCGACGATTGAACTCTGTATACTCAGTGTGTTACCTCCCGAGTGAAAGTTGGAAAAAATCACTCGAATCACTGGGACTCGAACCCACGACCTCCTGCTTTCTAGTGCAGATGTCTTACCACTCGACCACCAAGCTAACGGGATCGGCTGGCTGGTTCGAACTGAGTATACAGTGTTCAAACGTCGGTGAAGGGCAAATCCTAATTTGATTTATATCACCCCGACGCAAAAATTCCATCTTATAACAAAGACTTTGTGTGATATTTCTCATTCAGGACGGTACGCCAACCAGTCGGACCTTTGAGCATGTACCCAGCGAGATGGGGGCGGAGGAAGCGGAAGAAGTGGGCGTTGAGCATCTCCTCAGGTGAGGCATCAGTTCTAAATTAGGTTACCCCTTGGCACCTTATCAAGGAAATATGACACTGAAACATGCTCAGCTGGTGGAGTTTTCCTCGAAGAACATGTAAACTTGATCAATAATTCATAAAGGCTTCCTTCTTAAACTCCCTAGCGGAGGATTTAGGACTTTTTTCTACCAAGTACTCATACCAACCGACCTATCAGAGGGTGCTAATGACCACTAATCCCTTTCATAACATTTTGTGAAGAAAAGGATGTTGCAAAGCCTTGTGGGTATGTCACTAGCCGTGATCAATGTACATGTACGTACATTTTATGTGCGTATGTGTTGCGCACGTGGAAGTGTTATCTCTGTGTCATTGGGTAAAGAAAATCTGTTCAGTGAGATCTCAAAAGAATTTTTGTTAGGTCGCCGATGCTCTTGGCTAGTGTCGCTGGTATTATTGTAGGTAAATAGAAATAGCGCCCTCTGTTGATGTTAAGGAATTAGTATGTGTTGGATGCTTATTTTGCCAGTGACCAATAGCCCAGAATGACATTCGTGAATTTTTAAGTTCTGTACCAATCTTAACAGTATTTTTGTAAAAACTGAAATTTCGTATCTCTGGACTTTTCAATCGTCATTAGTCTTAAGACTGGATGACTTGTGATCAATTTGACATTGGTTAACAATCACTTGTCATCTCTGCAAATTACAATGTACTATCAAAGCTCCTAAAATCAAGTTTTAAAATTTGTTTTATTTATTCCTGGCTGCAGGGATATCAAAGACACCAGCGTGGGCAGCCTGTCCCAGCGCATCACGGGCCAACTGCTGGGTCTCAAGGGCTTCTTCTCCCAGATGCAGCACATCCAGAGCTACTTGGAGCAGATCGCCGCCGGCAAGCTGCCCATCAACCACACCATCATCTATCAGCTGCAGGACATCTTCAACCTCCTGCCGGACGTCAATCTGATGGAGTTTGTCCGGTCGTTCGTGGTGACCACCAACGATCAGATGCTCGTCATCTACCTGGCCTCCTTGATCCGGTCCGTCATCGCCCTGCACAACCTCATCAGCAACAAGGTCCAGAATCGGGACCTGGAGCGACAAGAAGGCAAACCCGACACCAGCAAAGACAAAAAGGAGAAAGGCCAAAGCGACAAGGACAAAACAGAAAAGGACAAGGACAAAGGGAGCAAAAGTGACGGCAAGGGAACGCCCTCCAAGGAGGATAAAAAATCAGCATCGGCGAAGAAGTGATGACTCTTGACTCTTTATGTGTGTGTGTGTGTAAAGATGTTTGGAGCTGTCTTCTTTTTTTTTCGTATAAATGATGTTTTGTGTTAATATCCGTTAAAATTTGCATCAGTTTTGGTTCAGTGTGGCTTCCGTAGATGGTGATTGTTGAGCATTTTGAGAACCCCAATGAGAGGGGCACACTGCATGTGCGTACTGGTTTGCGTGCCTAGGGCGTGAAGTACGCACGACTTGCTTTGTTCTAAATGTGGACAAACCCACAGCATTTTCGCGTGAGCGTCAAATGCCGTCAGCAGTGTGTTCAGATGTCCCTCCAAGTGGTCTCCCCCAACTCTCCCTTTGTAACCGTTGAGGGGGTACTTGTGCACGAAGCCCATAGACATTTAGCATCATTGACTGGACCTCATTTGACGCTGGAGGACCCTTTTTGCCATACGAACAATACAGTTGTCTTTACTTGTTCTCTAGTTTAATAAGAACAAATTGGGAGAGGGGGGGGGGGGGGACTGGGTCCACCAGTGGTTAATGCTGGTTTTTGATGACAGTAGCCATATATTAATACATAAAAAGTGGATTATAGAATGGCTTGTCATGGTCCACCAACAGTAGCAGTTTGAATGTTGTCTAGAAAGGCAAGACTCTAATTTGGGCATTTCACAATGCAGTGTGCTTACTGTGCTACAAAAAATTTGACACGGAGAGTTCGCTTTTTCCCAGTGCATCGTGGGAGATGGTTGACAAATTCATAAGGTTTTGAAATTGTAAGTTTTTCCAGTCGTAGTTTAGTAAGCGTATGATTTGAGTATGTGTTTGCCCTTTTTCCTTTCTTTTTATCAATATGGTGTTTTTTTGTCAGGCGGCAGAATGCTATGCCCCAATCTATTACATATAGCTCAAATTGCCTGATGATGACATTTGTTCAAATGGGCCATGTTTTGTCGACCGTAAACTTGAAAAATGGACTCTCCATGGCAAACTCTTGGTAGCCCAAAATCCTGCCTGTTGGTCAAATAGTGCACATTTTTGGTCAGCTCCTTCAAACTCTGCCACACAAGCCTTGTGAGAAATTGACCATAGCGCATGCTGATTAGCATTCTATGGCCCACATATTTTAAAAGGTGACATATACATGTTAGGCCAAAACAAAAAATAAGTCGGTCTCTGGTCAGCGCGCGCGTTGATTTTAATCATGCGCGTCGATCCTTTTTTTGCCAAAATGTTCAGCGGTAGTTCCAACAGCGCCCTCTATTTCCGCACCTCATTTTTTTTTTACCAAAGAGCACCAAGGAATGGGAAATTGCACCAAGGCAAATTATGGAGGACACCAATGTACATGAGGACACCAAAAAAGCAAAATAGTACCCCACCTTGTCTGTACAATCCAAGCTTGAAAAAAAAAAAAAAAAAAGCCGCGTGGCCGCGTCAATTCCGGAACTTTGGTCTTACCAGAGACCGAATTTTTTTTTTTTTTTGGCCTTAAATCTTTTTTTTTTTTTTAAGTGACTAGAAAAATAGAGTTTGTGTACATGGATGTATCCTTATTAAAATGTCAAATGGCAAGAAGTTTGACCCTTTCATAACATTTTGTCACTATTGCCTCTTCAGCAAGATGCACTTATGATAACTGGAAAGTAACAACTAACAAGTATGATTCACCAATACCCTCCGTCTTCTTGATCCTTCGAAAATCCATCTCAAGATTTTTATTAGAGGATTTTGTAGGAGTGAGGAAGCTACAGCCCAACCACTATTTCCTTTAGCGGGACTTGATGCCATCTGAAAGTTTTAAGAGGGCGCAACTGTTTCCCTGCTCTGTGGTTGATTTTTAAGGACACGCAGTGGTGGATACCCCCCCCCCCCCTCCTTTTGAGCTACAAAAAAATCGGAATATCATGCAGAAAAAAGTTGCACATGCCTGCTCCTCCCCCAGCCAAAGCTGGATCCGCCCCTACATGAGAAGGCTCCCCTAACTCCCAAATTTAAATCTTTATCTAAAGTAAAATAGCGGTGGCAGTGCATAAAGAACAAATATGTCAGGCCAGGTGACAGAAGAAAAAAACGATATTGTTAGGTATTGCGTCATGGAATGCTTCCGATGAATCATCGATAAAAATATCACAGATGACCAAACGTCTCTTGTAGACATTTTAAAGCTATGTGCCACTGCACATCGGAATAGAATGACGTCTACCGGTCGATACTTCTGTGATCTTGTAGTTTGTGGTCCCGAGTAAGCCGAATGACCTAATATCGATGAGTATTTATATACTATGAATCATATTTGCATAGTAGAGAACTGGGGCAAAGAACGTTTGCGTTATGGCGAAGTAAGAGGGCAATGTTTGTGTATTGTTAGCACAGAGCACCTCGTCCGCGGAGCACGGTTCAAAGAAGAACCGTCGAACATCACTCGTGAGTCATATTCCCGAACAATAAAATACTTATGTCCTTTTGTTTGTTTCTGCGGATATTTTTGGGCCACTTTTGTTTTCGCTGAGTTGGTAACTGTCGCATGCTCGTGGCGCACGCGGTACGACGTCATGCATGATATATACGTCATCAGTGTTCAATTCTGGTGATGATCTCATTCACCCGTGACTATAGTGCACAGCTCATGATGAGCTTCAATCATTCAAAGCATAATTTGTATTAAACACTACGTTGAAAATTTTAATAGTTTTAATTTTGTTATTTTTGTTATTTTTTGGGGGGGGGGGACTGCTGAACCGACCGTAGGATCCCGCTTTGTAAAATATCAAGAAGAGTGAAAAAATGTAATGAAATCTGTTGTTATTATTCCATGATTAGAATTTATCATCAACAAATAATTTAGAAAAAAAAAATGATATCATCAGCTGCAGTCATATTTTTCTGCAAGTTTAAAATAGTGTTTCAAATCGTTCTAATTAATCGAACACATTTTATCAGCCGGTACTGACTGAAATATTTACACAGGGACTAGACTTTGGAGTTTAGCAAACACTGTACTATTGACGTCAAAATCGGAGGTTAAACAAATCTAACATATTAAAATGACGGATGGACGATTTCTGACAGTCCACTTCGATAACACCCCTTGAGTTGGTGGTTCTTCCTGTGGTGGGGAGGGGATGGGGAGGGAGTGGGGGACGACTGTCCTTTTTACCGATCAATTGACGTTGGGTTAATATTAAGTGATCATGGAAGCAGCCTATTTAAATAAGTCAATTTTATTGCTCCATGGTTTTAGGTGGGATCTACCCGATGTTCCCCAATACCGATGTTCCCCCAAATCCTTAGGGTTAAGGTTAGGGTTATATTGGTAGGGATTTCGGGGAACATCGGTATTGGGGAACATCGGTATGCACCCGTTTTAGGTTGGGAACGTTTAGACCCCAGTTGGGGATGGGTTTCTTTCGTGTGCAAATATTGCTCCGATTTACCGCGCTTTTGTACGTAATCTCCAAGACAACGAGACCCCAGGGGTGGGGCAGCGGATGTCCCGATGCTGAGATAGGTGAGAAAGTGCCGTGATTTTTTCGTCATTTTTGCTTCATATTAAACCCTTTGCTCTCTCACAAAAAAACCCAAACAACCAACCACAACAAAACTCCAAACAAAATCATTGTCTAACTTGGCGAAAGTGTAGCTCGGAAGAGTTTCTTGAAATTATTGTCCCAAACTAGACCTACGTATATACAATCGCCCTGCGCCTGTTTTACACCTCCGGTTTTGTGGTTTTTGGACCGGTTTTCTAGCGAACTGCAATTCATCTTTCAAGTATATACATGAAACGCAATTTATGAAAGGTTTATTTTTTGTATTTGTATTTTTTCTTTGGGGGGGGGGGGGTCCAGCCCCCATCATATTTTCAGCGGGGGCCAGTGGCCCCCGGTTCCCCGGTTCCTACAAAGTCGTGACGATATATCCAATATACAACACTTGAATTTGCTGTTAATGTCTTGACCGAAGACTACAGAAATAACGGATGTGTCGTCTAGGTACAAAAGAAATGCATGATGACTCGCGCGCGCGATCGGACACCTGTCGTAAGCAACTCGTGATTATGCGTCGTTTCCAAAATTCGTCATTTCTGTCTATGGCTACGGATAGTCCCCGTAACGTTCCTGTGCAAAAATCGAAGCCATATCCACATCATTCCCTATTAGGCTATACGACAAGTTTAAAGCCCAATTGGGCGATATGAAGGCTCACAAATAAGAGTTGAACGCATTGGGCGCTTCGATTGTACCGTTTTGGCGCAGCATCCGCATTTTATCCAGGGCGGCTATCTAGTTCGAAGGACGCACGTATGCATTTGCTGGAGAGTAAATTTACAATTAAAAACCCCATATTGAAATATCTCTCGTGTGATTTAAATTTTTAAGTTATATTCAGGCTACTTAGTAAGCCGTTACTGCACCAAACATGGACGATCCTGCCTTTCCAGACAGCCACTACACGACTACCACGACCGGCGCCACAACCACCACGACAACGGTCCAGTCTCCGCCGTTGAGTGTGGACAAGGCGTATCTGATGTCCCCGCCCGGCATTCTGCGACTAGTTCAGATTGTAAGTGAAATCTGGGTTCTTGAAGTCCTTAAAAATGGTTGATTTCACGAACATGTGATTTTGTTATAAGTAAAGTATGCACTTTATAACAGAAAGGTTTTGTCAAATGTGAATGTTTCATTTTTTAAAATTATCCTAATCTAAATTCTAATGAAAATTGACTAATGACTGTTTGGACGGTTTGTAGAAAATTGCGAGAGCTGCGAATCGACAATACATTTTCTCAGTACATCACTCATACCATGTGATTTCGAACATTTTGTTCTCACACTACAGTCATATAAACTCTTCCATCGAATGTTTGTTGAATCAAAATAAGTTGTAGAGTCTCTAATTTTTATTATAATAAGATGGAATTTTGTGTTGGGGTGATATAAATCAAATTAGGTTTTGCCCTTCAGTGTGTACTGTTACCTCCCGAGTGAAAGTTGGAAAAAAGAGTCACTTGGGTGGGACTCGAACCCACGACCTCCTGCTTTCTAGTGCAGATGTCTTACCACTCGACCACCGAGCTAACGGGATCGGTTGACTGGTTCGAATTTGATGTACATAGCAGCAGGTACCACATAAACTAAGATGGAATTTTGCGTCGGGGTGATATAAATCAAATTAGCTTTTGCCCTTCACCGACGTTCAAACACTGTACACTCAGTGTGTTACCTCCCGAGTGAAAGTTGGAAATTTTTGAAAATTTGCCAACAAATGATCGTACATGTATGTTTTTGCCTTGTTCCGGATCGCATGTGCTTTAACGTCCCAACTACCGGTACACGCGCGTTAATCGAATTTATACAACACCTGAATAAATCCCCGTCATCTGATTGGTGGGTCGTTGATCACATGTCATTGAATTATTCGTACCAATGCACTGCGTGCGCGTGGCACGCAGCGCAGAGTGCAATGGAAGTTCTATTGCACGGTGAATAGAACTTCCATTGCACGGTGTCACTGCTGCTGCTGGTGGCGCTGTTTTAAATCGAGATAAATTTAATATGATTGTTCTCAACCTGTTAAACAGTTTGCATTAATATAAATATGATGAACTTGTCGAACTTTTAAACAGTTTTTAACCTGAATGAATTGGCTATTAAAAGTCAACCAATCAGATGACAAGGATTTATTCAGGTGTTATATTTATAAAACAAATAATGAATGTTTCACGTTCGTGCAATGGAAAGAATAATTTCATTCGGTGACAGATGAAATGTTCCAATCCACCCCCCCTCAACTTTTCCCCCGATAGCCTTGAATTTTTCTTTTTGCGACCTGAGCTGTTATGACTTTTTAGCCTCGAGCCTTGAGCATCTTTTGATACCAAAAACATAAAAATTGCACTATGCGCCGAAAAAACGAGTGGACAATAAGCTCTGGCCGTCTTGTATGAAAGTTTTGCATAACGTAGACAGGAGAGTGTTGACCGCCATCCCACGCAGCCACACACTGTCCCACGTGCCATCCCACTCGAAAATCACGCTGTGCTAGTCTGCCCTGAAATTAAAATTGACCAAAATAAACCCCCTGACTTAGTTTCCCATCAAAATATAGCGGGCTGTGTAGTACGGTATCACTATACTGCACAAAGTTTGCCTCTATAGAGCCTAGCGGGTACTTAAATGCACAGCCGTTTTACCCGCAGTAAACACTATACGAGTTTTGACCTCGGTGAGGTCAAGTTGTACATACTATAGCCTCCGATGACATCATGTTCATGGTCCTTATTTTACAAAAAATTTATTAACAACTTTACAAATTGATACAAACAATTTTTGTTAAGTAGCCTATTTAATTGATTTTGTTTGCTTTGTTTGAAAATTAAAATTTGGTAGAACTTTTAATTAAGGGAAACTTAGGGGGGCTTGTTTTTGGTCAATTTTCCGGTCAATTTTCCGGGGACAAACTGACCACCAAGTGACATGTCAAAGCTCCTGCAATAGCTTTAAAATGACATTTCCCCATCATAATTCCTGATATCTGCGGGTTAAACCACCCCAAAAGTGGCATCTGACAATACCGGTAAAGTGCCCAACATTACGATTAAAATATAATAACATTCATGTGTGCGTGTGTAGTCTCCCCCCCCCCCCCCCCCTCCCCCCCAAACCCAACCCCCCCCAATGTTCAATATTTCCATTCATATCCTACCCATTTATTATGATATTGAATGCATGGTCAGGACCAAGAACTTACAAAATGACATAGGGGCACTGTATGCTTGTTCAAAGTACGTGTCACAACATGTACAGTACAGTACACAGTCAGTACAGTACACTTCACAGGGTGGAAAATTGAGGTGGTCAAATGTCATACATTCCTTCAAGAAGGTACCTGGGGAATTCCAAGCCAGTGGAGATAAAGCATTGCACCACTGGAGTTCATTTGGTGGAACAAAATGAATTTCATAATCTAATCATGTTCATACATGCAACATATGTACTAGAAGTGTGTTAACAAGTTGGCATTGGCCAGCGACAGTGATTAGAGGCAGCAGCTTGTTCCATTGTCATTTTAGATCGATTACATCATGACTTTGCATAATGGAGAACGGAAACCCAAGAAGTCTCGCGCTGATGTGTTAATTTACATTGGAAACATTATCGCGCAAGTATCTAATACTTGTACCCTTTGACAAGATTCTGCACGTCATAGCAGTCCTTCTGATTTGAAAATCACAGGCTTGTGGAAAAAGGCACACCTAGAATATTCTAGGCATGTGGTTTTTCTAGGTGTGTGATTTTCTACTTGTGATTCTGTGGTCCACGGAAATTCAGACGTGCAATTATTCACACTTCTCGGGAAGGTTTTAGGCGTACGATGGCGTGGGGGTGTGACCGCACGCCTCAAATCAGAAGGACTGTCATAGCATCAAATGCTCACTGAAAATTACGAAGTATGCGAAAAAGGGAGACATTTTCTGTGATCATTTACATGTATGTGGTGTCATTGTACAAGACATGAATTTGTCTTGGCCAGTAGTGCCAGTAATTTAGAGTTGGGTACAAATAGGGCCTATGGCCCTCATCTGAGCTTCTGTCATGAAGCTACAGTAAATTTACAGGTGTTTTTTTTTTATTCCCAGAGGTGCAAGACCTTGTATCTTAAGGTCAAGTATACATGAAGTGGCATGCCATTGGCCACTGTAGGGATCACGCTCTTCTAGTTATCCTTACTTATTTCAGGTCTCCATGCTTTCTACAGTATCTGTGTACTGTATTGCGCTGCTGTAAATAATAAATACAATAACAGTCATGCCAGGTTGTTGATATGAACTCTGACCTTGTATCAGAAATTGTGCATTAACAGAGCCACCACTGATTTTTACTATGACTACCGGTATGATACATGTGAGAATATGGACAACATACCGGTAGTCCACTGCCAGAAAATGATTGACTTGATGTATTTTTTAAATTTTCCTAATTTGTATTATTATTAGTTTTGATAAAAAAATATCTTTAGTCGTTGTGCAACACACGTGTTGACAGACTGATATGACAGCTCTAGTGGTTGAGGATAATTTAGAAGTTTAGTTTTAAATTGATTTTAGATTGTTTTATGTACATGAATTGATCTGTTATTAAGATATGTATATGGTACGTGCACTAATTTGCTAAAAAAAACTAAATTTATCTACCGTGTATTGTCTACGATTCAGAAGCAATGTCTTGACTTGAATTATTAATTAGTTTGCTTTTCAAATATATTAGATTTTTCTTAATTTATTAAACAAGATACACATATATTGGAACTGTGTGTAAGTTTTGCATAATTTTGGTCAATTTGATCCCTGCTGAGTCAAACATAATTCCAACATCTACTGAGTAATGGGATCTAGCAAGGAGATGGTTAAATCCTGCATGGATCAAGGTCCAACCGACTGTTTGAATACTGTCGGAATCAACTTAAACAGTGGTAAGACTAGAGCAGATTCTTTGTTGCGCAACACACCGCTTTCCAACATGTTTATTGCTTATTCTCATTCTCACACACTGAAAATTCAGGCATTTCTGCTTCGATCCATTTTGCTTCATGTCACTTCTTATTGCATATGTGATGCGATCAAGCTAAATGAGTCGTTTGTCGGGAACTTTCAGTTGGAGATACATGTACAGGCCAAAGTAGGGCCACTTCATCACATCACATCATCACATGTCTTGGTGTTCCAACTTCCATAATTTTTGAACTAAAGATGGTATCAGCATGCGGTTTTCACAGCAGTAATGCTGAGTTGTGCTCTTTTCAAATCTGTAATAATATTTTTTTTACCAGGGTCGACAAACAACTCATTCAGCTTGATCGCATCACATATTCATGTCATTTGATTGCATTGAATAATGTTTATTACACGTACGCACATGTGCAGTAATCTCTTGTAATGCCTGGGTGAATAGTCGATTTTCTACTCGAGAATTCGCAAAGAAATTACTCACGGGTAGTCGAGTGCCTGCGAGTAGTTAACTGAATTCCCATAAAAGCAGAAAAATTACTATGACTATGATGTGAAGTAACTTACAAGCAAATCACATTCTTCAGCACTGAGATCCTTACTGTGGAACGTTTTGGGTCATTTGCTTAAATTTTTTTTTGGAGGAATGGAATCCTAGCGAGAGAGAGGTGGAGGGAGTGATTCCCCGTTTGCAGGGGATGTATTATGCTTTGAACCCTAAACCCTTAATTGCTACTTGTGAGTACCTGCTTCTACTCACGCCAGGACGAGTACTCGAGTAGATGAAAACCATTCAACAACGAGTAGCATACTCACAAGTACTGGAGTAATTGAGTTACTTGCCCAGCGGTAGTCTCTTGATATACAAAGTACTTCTGATCTAGAAAAGGACCTTTAGTTTTAGCGTGTTACTTGAAAGTGAGATTGTTTCGCAATATACATGTACAGGTACATACAACTACATGTACATGTACATGTACATCTTCAAGAAAAGTCTTTGCATGGTGGAAAGATACTAAGACAAGATAAGTTTGCGGTAGCACCATGTGAATAAATCTCCTTTGTGAGTATGTGTGGTTCTGAAAAGTCCCTCCACCACACATACTCACAAAAGAGATTTATTCACATGGTGCTACCGCAAACTTATCTTGTCTTAAGAAAAGTCTGGGAAGGACATTCGAAGTTCCATCTGGACAATTTACCGTACACCACATGTCACTTGAACATAGCCTGACATTCATAGTGAACCCATATTAATGAATGAATATCATATGGGTGTCAATATAATGCACTGTTGCTGATTTTGTACAGTTGTGCATTTAATTAAAGCTTTTGAATAATTTATTATTCGATTACTTGGACTTTGATTCAATTGAATTTTCTGATACGGTACACGCAGCTACGTTTTACGTGTGCCAGCAAAAATTGTTCACGCTGATCAAGCATTAGATGGCCTGTTGATCGGGATTTGCATTCACCTGTATTGATAATTTGATATATTCTTTCAAGAAAGCTTACGAAACTTAGAGCAAGTCAGGCCCGATCTAGACGCCGTGCTTCTGCCATGCCGAACTCAATTAATTTGACTTTTTGAACTCGGCACAGTGTTTTAACTAGGCGTTTAGATTTAGAACCATTTGGCTGGGCAAATTGAATTTGGCACAGCACAATCCTTTGACTTTAACAGGGGCCAATTTCAAGGCGCTGCTAAGCACAAAAATTTGCATAGCACAAAAAAAGTCTGGCTTATAAAAGCAGGTTACCAGCCAAAACTCCATGTGAAGTATTTTGCTTGTGATTAGTATGCAGGTGTTGTTCGCTTAGCATGAAAATCACATGGAGTTTTGGCTGATAACCTGCTTTTATAAGCCAGACTTTTTTGAGCTAAGCAAATTTTTGTGCTTAGCAGCGTTGTGAAATTGGGCCCTGGGCTGCTGCATTATTGTCGTTGCGAACGGCAGTGGCACAGCACTGTTCTAAACTCTGTGCCATTGCCGTGCTGAACTCAATCAATTTGAAGTTGGGGCAAACGTGCCTTCACAAAACCTTCTCTTGCGTCCGCATCACAGTGTGTGGGATTTGAGCGAATATTTTAATCCCGCTGAAAGTTCATTGAACTGTTTTAACCTGGCCCATTACTCCAGATGCATTAATTTAAGGTTCGAGTATTACGTTTGGCGTTTAGAGCAACTACCGTGCTGTAGACAAGCTGTTGCCATACTCATTTCAATTTAGTTCGGCGCGGCAGTAGCACAGCATTTAGAATGGGCCTAGTAGTCTTCACAGCAGCTCGAAAATCATGGGTGTACATAATGTGACCAACGACAAAAAGAGTGGCACATGACCACGCAACTTACTTGATTAGTCTGTACCATGCATGCTTGTCCGAGCAGTCTTTGTGTGAACATTTCATTCAGGGTTCTTCATAAAAATCAGTACTTGCCTCATCGCTTCTAGAAACTAGAAAATAATGTTGCTGTGATGTTATTATAGACATAGTTTGTAAAAATGTGTTTTCTTAAAGATCTTTCTGCATGATTTCCATTTTTCCATGGGAAATAACAGTGAAAACCATTCCCCTGTATTAAAAAAACCTCCAAACTTTGTAAAACCACCAATTTGTTTCTTTTACCCCGAGAAATTGAAATTTTAAATTTTGTAATTACAAAAATTGTCAGTTGCACAGAAAAATTATGAATTTTAAAGTTTGGATAATATAGACCTAATTTTCATGACGTCACAGTGACTATTCTTGAAGTACATGTACATGTAGTAACTGCAAAGTTATAAAATCTACATATGTAGGCATTTAGAAGCTACCGTAAGTGGGGTGTGAGCTAACTGCAATCCAAAATGTGACGTCACAAAATTAAGTCTAAGGATCTATACACATCAGTTCATGGTATGACAAGTACATTTCATACTCCTTCGCAGCGGCGGCGGAACGGTTTTCAAACTGGGGGGGGGGGGGGGGGGGGGGGGGAGCACACATCACCGAAAAGGGGCACTTGCTCAGTACTTTTTTTTGGCACATCCGTGTTGAAAAGGTCAACACGTATTTGTCACCAGACACTTGGCCTCCGTAAAATCAACTGGGGGGGGGGGGGGGGGGGGGGGGGGTAACCATCTTCCAAAATAGGGGGCGCTCTTCAAAACCAGCCATTATGCAGCAAACTATGCATTATGTGTCGATTTTCAGGGCGCATTGTGAGGCTTTTGGGGCTTGGTTTTCATATTCCTCATTCATATCAAAACTATCTACATGTATACCATTTTGGGAAATGGTTACTTCAAACAAATGTCAGAAACTTTTAGGGCATTTTTTTTCATCTCAAGGGGGCACATTTATGCCTCGAGGGGCACATGTCCGCAAAAGGGGCACTTGGGTAAATCTGAGGAGGGGGGGGGGGGGGGGCAAGTCCCCCCCTTCCGCCACCACTGCTCCTTCGCCCCTGCTCCTTCATGGTTTGACCATACCCGGTACATGTATTGTGGTGTGCACAGACCAGAAGATCCAAATTAAAACCACAATTTGCCCTACCCTTTTACCCAGCTGAATTAAAAGCTTTTGGCACATGTACAATGAATCAACTAATCTGGTGAACACAATGAGAAGCCATTTCATTTTAGAGTTGGAACCACGCTCGCGGGCATGTCACGCAAGGTGCGTGCGCTTTTTTTGTTACTCTCTTGACTTGATTGCGAGTGTGCATACTAGTACATGCTGCTCGCAAACACAATTCCACGTCAGTAAAGGCTAATTCAGTGCAGGTTGCCGAATTTTCCTACTTGTATGTATTTATGATCTCCTTGAAATTAAACATTTCCGGTCCTTTCTTTTCTTTAGGTCTTAGGTCTGCTGTACTGGATCTTATTGGTATCCTGTGCGTCTTATGGAGGATTCCCCATTGCCATGTCCATCATGGCCTGGATCTTCACCCTATTCTTCTTCGTCGTGTTCCTGTTGCAACTGGACAAGCGGGTGCCTGCTGTCCACTGGGTTCTGACTGTAAGTAGTCTTTTGATTCCTCACGATGAGCCGTCGATCTTTGCAAAAATTCATTTCTGATCAGCCCTGTCATAACTGTATTGAATTTCTTCGTTCCTCGGTGAATTTAGTTGGCAGCTAAGAAGAAAGAAATTAGGAATTTCAAATTGTCCTGAATCATGAGGATTCAGGATTCAATGGGAGAGATTTTAAAACTGTGAGATGGGGGCTAATAGTGGGGCAGATACAAATGTTGGGGGAAATAATTGAGAGAATTGGGCCTTTGATGAGCATTACAAGCATGGCATTTGGCACACAGTCAGAGTGCATTGTATCGCTATGTCCTGTATGAACTGAACAAAATAGTAACAATTCAAGTTGATGATTGAAACGAAATTTACGCAGTCTGCAAACTGAAAAGAATGCAGCGCTCACAAAAATGCGCGATGATTCCAAAAACACATCGAAATGGTGAATTCTTGATACATGGAGGTAAAGGAAAATGCTCATATATTACACAAAATGAAAATTTTTCAATTGATATTTCCTTTTTTGCCAATCTTCACAGCGAGGTGGTGATATTGGCAAAAATTGAGCGAGGTGGTCACTGAAAGTAGCGAGGTGGGCCACCTCACGTTTGAATGGGCAGGGGAAACACGGGTCCTCAGAAAGATGTTTGGCTATAGGCCATCGCAGATTTGCCCTTTGAAAAAAAAATATGTAGAATAACAAGCGGTGGCGGCCACTTTTTCGAATGGCTGCCATACCCTGTATTTTTTTAAAGGATAAATATATGGTGGCATAGCCAAATATCTTTCTTAGCACATACTCTGACTGTGTGCCAAATTCCATGCTTGTATCATCAAAGGCACAATCCCTGCACCCATCTGCTGTGCTACAGTGTTGATGATACACTCTAAAACTCCAATCTTCTCTGCTCTTTTTCAGGTGTTGCTTCATGACCTCGGGTGGACTGTAATGCATTTCATTTGTGCTTGTATAGTAGCCAACTGGGCCGCCAGTCCGTGGATTGGATATTATTACAGGCATGGATGCGTATCATTTTCAGCCGTAAGTTTTATTTCAGATCAGACCAAGAGAAGCTGTACATATGTGACCTGTTCTGTCAAAAGCAGACGCTTCTGGGCAGAGATTGAAATGGAGATAGGGCCAAAAAATGCTGTAGGGGTGATATTTGTCAATTTTCTAATTTTTGCATATTTGTAACCTTGAACATGTTTGAGATATACTATAAAATTTTGAAACCCTAATTTCAACTCTAAATATAGTATTTTTGATGATTTGTTAAGGTATATCAGTTAAAGAAATGCCACTTGAAACAGGTCTTAAAATAGACCCCAAACTTTAACTACCATTTTCTCCGTTTTCTAGTTTTCGACACGATGAACTTCATAAAAGCATTTCTGCCCAGGAATGACTGGTTTCAAAAATTGAACCACCTATTAAAAGAAAAATGTACATTTTAACAATATGCAAAAATCTCATTATTGACCTGATGCCCAGAAAAGTCTGATTTTGACAGAACAGGTCACACATATGTAATGACCATACATGTATTTCGGGATAAAAATTGACATGAAACCCAAGGTTATTGATGCAAGTGTACATGTTGCTGTAAAAGTGCTAAATTTGCATTATATGAGAATGATAACAAAGGTCGCATACCAAGGTCGAAGGTCATCTGAGGTCAAGTTGTAAAATAGGCTGAATAAAATTGGTCTCATTTCAAAAAGTTGAAGTCCAGTTGGAACCGAAGTTGGGCCATAGATGCAACATGGCAACCTTCATATGATAATGATGTCAAAGGTAACATACCAAGGTCGAAGGTCATCTGAGGTCAAGTTGTAATATAGGCTGAAGCCCGCTGAACACGTAAAATTGGTCTCATTTCAAAAGTTGAAGTCCAGTTGGAACCAAAGTTGGGTCATAGATGCAACATGGCAATCTTTACACTGATTAGTCACTCTTTTAAAGATAATCCCAAAAAGCAGGCGAGACTGATGGTTCCAGATTCATCTTGTATGGTATGATGTCTTCAACCCGCCTGGCAATGCGGTTGAGTGAATGTTAAGCCCGTGCCTCGGTCTTTTCTTGTCAAAATAAGCCCGACCTCAACTGGTTAATGTCACTTTCTTGTTTGACCTTGCAGGTGCTTGGATTTGCCCTCTTTGTCCTTTACGGAGTCAGCACCTTCTTTGGTTTCCGTGTTTTCCAAGCCGGCGGTGGGCTGAGCCGGCTGACGGGGGGTAGCGGGGGGCCAGGGGCCACAGCTACCACCACCACCACTGTCACCACCACTGAGTACGCTGCGGAAAAGGGGGATGAGGGACCCCCTCCTTACACTAACCCATAAGTTGTCTGTAGCTGTGTTCGCATTTGATGTTTTTATCCGGTAAAACAGAGACTTCTGTGAACTTTATAGTGACTTTGTTAACTTAATTAAATTAAGTGTAGTGTGATCAGTCGGTAACCTTCCCAAATTGTCGAGTGTCGATTTTCGGTTGTAAGTTTTGCGGTCTGCAGCCATAGATTTTTACAGGGCCAACTAGGTCGCGGAATATTTACATTGTTAGTTTTGCGTAACGAGTGACTTTCCGAGGGCCGAAATTAGTCCAAACTGTAGACGCACGGTAGAATGACCACAATGGAATGTTAACAATCGCTTGCGGGAGCTTTTTACAAACTTAAAGGTGGAGTTTATCATTTGCAGCTATCCAAAAAGTAACTGACGAAGTTATTGTTGAAACGCATACTTGGTTTAAAGACAGTAATGGCACTAAACTCCCTGTAAAATTAATTTTTTTCTGGCATGCTGTCATTTTGAAGAAAACAATCAAAGAAGGTCATTTCCAAAGATGCATCTAAAGACGCATTTTTGGAAATTTCTGTTACTAGCCATCAATGGGTGCACGAAAGTGTTGATATAATTCGCCGGTTCAGTGCATGACATCGCGTAGCTGCAATCGGCTGAATGAGAACGTGTCCCGGACACTGATTTGGGGCGCAATTCAAAACACGACTCGGCAACCTTTGAATTGAAATCGAGATTCTAGAATTATTGTTTTCCTCGGAATATACAGTACTCGCTGAGCTGAAAGTTCTTCAGGTTAGTTCTTAAGCAACTTTTATTGCTTCAAACAAAAGAAATGCACAAATGATATACTCTACTGTTAAGTCCAATGCGAACGTAGCTAGTTACGGCAATTAGCCCTGAATGTGGATTGATCCCGAGGTTGCGATTTTTCTGGCTTTACACCCCTCTTAAAAAATTTACTGATTTTTAAATTCTTATGTACTTTTTTTTTAAAGAACAAGGTTCATCCTTCACTGTTTTTTTCCTGTAACCTGTGAAAAGTTACTTTTATTACCTTTTGATAAAGACAATACAATGTATATGTACTTATTCAGTAGATGTTAAACACAATAAGGACCTTTTGGCGATTTTACTGCTGGCGATGCCCGCTCATGTAAAGAAATTCTTCAAATAATGTATCACTAATAAACTGTATATACAGTATGTATTTTGCATAATGGATTATCAGCTATCTCTGTGTGTACGGTAGTAACCTAAATTAGATGTTGCTGTGGAGAGAAATGTCTACAAATAGTGTCCTTTGTTTGGATACAAAACAATGGAAATGCCTTTGGCTAAACTGTGAATCTGTCAGTTATAAAGTTGTAGTCGTACAATCTCCATGCTAAAGAACACAATGCCGAGTTTCGCTTCTATTTTTGAAAAGAACGTCGTCGTCTTTGGAGTGTAAAATTGGAAATGTGCCTTGAATTATTCAAATTGGAATATTTCAGGAAGTAGTTTAAATAAATCGTGCTTGCAATTGTGATTTAGAGTAGTCAGATTTGGGGTTTCTGTTTCGGATTGAGGAAGATACATTTTTGTGTGCTGTGGTGTGGACAGTGCTTGACAGTGGCAATGGTTTGAATAAACATGGACTTTACTCACACAGAGAACGGGATACGTGTCTCTTGATGACATGGTCTCCATTAATGACATGGATATGTGGCGATCGCTGATTAGCCTATGGTGCCTGATGCTGTCGAGCAGCCATTTTAGCTCACCCAGCCTCGTGCTGTGTACTGCGTAGTGTACATGTTGTTACTGGAATCTGCCCAATAGTCTGAAGGTTCGATAGTCTGATGGTTTATTGATCTGAAGGTTCAATGGTCCGAATGCACACGTTTCCCATAACCAGGGTTCATTGGTCCGAAAATGAAGTATGGTTCGTTAATTTGAAGGCTCTATAATCCAAAGGTTCATTTATCCGAAGGTTCGGTCGTCCGAATTTAGAATACGGTTAATTAGTTCGAAGGTTTAAAAGTCCGAAACGAAAACAAGGTTCAATAGTTAGAAGGTTCATTATTCCGAAAGCGTACAAGGTTTGATAGTCCCAATTGACAATAGTGTTTAATGCTGTGAATTCGGACAGTTGAACGTGACTGTTGATTCGGACTATCGAGCCTTCAAATTATTCAACCCTATTCTATTTTCAGACTAATGACAATGACAATAGCTAGGCTTGAGGTGTGCATACGCCCCTTAAATGTGACATTTACTGCAGAACTTAATAGGAATTTGTACATTTGTCAATTCAATATATACCGGTATACGCAAAGGTGTTATTTGCCTGAATAAGATGTGGTGTAATTTAAAAATGTGAACCAAAACAATTTTTTTATTTTAGGAATCATAGACATTTTTTTATTTGTCTTGGAAGATTTGGGAGACTCTTAATGTTCTTTCGCAAAAGAATCTGACGTTTTGAACAAATTTTGTCCAAATTTGCATTTTAATCAACGAGTTGAAATTCACATTTTGGAACAATTGACGACCTTGATAAAAAAATTGGATTAACAAAACATCATGTATACTCCAATTTTAAACAATAACTTGTGATTTTTATTAAACTGTAATTAGGTTATGTAATGAGGAAATCGTACTTCAATAAAATTATGTTCACCACTGTACCTATTTTATCACTCTAGAAGAAGGAAAATATGGTTTTTCTTTTGCCTTTTACATAGTTTTGTAGCACTGGTCAAGGTTGTGAATGATCGTTCAAATTACTGTGGAAGCAACTTTGGTGCTGGTAGAATTTAAAACTTTGTTGTTTGAAGAGGAAATGATAAGAACGCTGTTTGTAGTGAAGTCTCCATAAAATTCAGCTTCAGAACAGGATTTATGCACCAGTTTATTTCTTTTCGTTTTGATTACCCGTTTTGATTACACTTTTCTACTTTTTTAGTAATGTTTACATTAGAAAACAGTAGAATGCCAGTTACAATGTGTGAGTGTGAGTTTGTTTCTGCATTCAATAGGGGACGTTGAGCAATAGAGGACAATAGGGTTCCCAATTCCCGAAGGTCCCCAATTTGGCGATGTGTACAAAACATATGGTACAAACAAAAGAGGGACAATAGGGGGTCCCCAATTGCAGGCAAATACACACTTGTGTTCCTGCATGGCATTACGCCTGAGGACAGACAACAAAAAGAGCACAAAGGGGCCATTGATCCTCGAAGGAAGGTGCCTATTGTCCTCGAACGCAGGTTTGTGTGCTTAGTCTATGGGAGAGTGTTATATTACAGGGACAAAGGAAAACACAAAGCCAATCCTCGGAAGCATAGCAAAAAACGACTATGTGTTTTTGTGTGTGTGAGGTGTTTGTGTAAGAAATTCTAATTTTCATTTGCAGTATATTTTAAAGTATAGTGTCAACGAGATGGAAATAATCTCATTTTTATCAACATACCCCTTTAGTTTTATTGTGTATTTTGTCAGTACTAAATGCATATTTTTTTTTTAAATCCTGTATCTAATCTAGCATGTGTTCAAAATTAAATAGATCATTTATCTTCTATATATTTTTTGTATTATCTTTGTGCACATTCTTACCTCTGTATAGGTTTGGATAGGTCATAGGTTTGGTCGTGCAGAACGTTTGCTTGGACAGTGCTGCTAAAATAGTAATTGAACAACCTCATAACAATAACAGACCTTTATTTTAAAACCTTAAAAGACAGGAAAAAAAACAACAAATGAGGTCAGTCCTTTGTTTTTGTAAATGCTAAGGATATTTCCAAATCCTGTTCATTCCACTTAGTGCAGTCTCAATACATTTATATGTCAATTTTTTTCTTTTGTGTTTTTAAGTTGAATTTAGAGATTGACTGAAGAGGGGTCTGAACCTGCAACCTCCGGATTGCCGTTCCGGTGCTCTACCAACAGTAAGCCCCCTTGAACAAAGACACTGACGTAATTTGGGAACCGCAAACTTAGGGCAGGATAGCTCAGTTGGTAGAGCACCGGAACGGCAATCTGGAGGTCACAGGTTCAAACCCTCCTCCAGTCAATTTCTTTGTTAAAACTTGAAAACATTTTGTTTTTAATGCACCTATTCAGCTTTCCTGTGTGGCGTATTTGAAAATTTTGTTTGTTTTTGCTAGCGTTGTGGTTTATTTAGGACCTCTTCTCTCAAGCTATTACTGTGAAGTAAAATCTTACGGCAGCAATGTAAATGGCAGGCAGCATACTGTTCCTAATTGGCCCAGTTCTTACTGTGGAATGTTAGAGTAGGACACCCCGTGAAGATGAGAGTCCAACTAAAAATGCCTGACTTGAAATTGACCCTGAAAGATTGTCATTAGTAGTATATACAACACTGTCATGCCAAAGGAAGGACTAGATATGCAGGGAGAGTAAAAAAGAAAGTGACCTAATGAGAGAATTTAAAAAAAACAAACATGTTGTTCCCTCCATTGAATAAAAAGGAACAAGGATTGAGTACATATTATTGACTAGTAACTAAAAATTTCATGTAGTAATTTGCATACTATGTTCGCAGGTCTATTTTAATGCAAGCATCACACAATTAACTGTCCAATGATCATTTACCGTTCAAAAACAAGGGCGTTTTCCTGCCTTCATGAATGAACGACAATTTGAACAGGAAAACGGACGAAAAATGACCATCATTTCAGTAAAAAAATTCCCCATATTCGAAATACAAAAGCTGACAGTAAAAATAATGCCTGTGTGTAACCTCTGGTTCTCAGTCGGCTCAACAGATTCAAATGGCATTCCATGGACTGCTGTAAAAGAGGATTGTTTTAGTAAAATATGCATAACTTCTCATAACATGGACCAATTTCAGTAATTCCTTTTTTGATATGAGTGGAAGAACATGCTTGCTTAATATCTGCTTCATTGGTGTGTCAAATTTAATTGCTTTTTAATTTAAAAAATTGTTAATCCAGGTCACTTTCTTTTGACTGACCCTGTTTTGGGATATATGCATAGCCAACTAAACTGGATACATCCTAAAGGCAGTTTTGTCAAGGAGTTTGCTTTGCAGTATGAGAAGACCTTTAACGAGATAGAAATCCTAATTAAACATAATGTACCAACGTCTGTGTATTTAAAACGTTTAAAATGGCGTTGTCTGTGTTGCAACAGATAATAAACCAAAGTGACTAATAAATTTGCAGCTTTTCCCCCCAAAGTCCCACACAGATTGTCTTCAGTCATTCTTGTTAATTTAAATGTCGGTAATTTCCTGCGTCAAAATGGACACCACAAATAGTCCTTTCTTACTTCGTATCACAACAGTCTCTGACCTTTCCAATGATTCCATCTCATTGGCAATGTGTCTGTCAATGTTAAAATTATATTTATCAATTTTATTACATTATTATTATTTTTTTTTGGGGGGTGCCCTTATTTGGCTTTACACAGGCTTTTTTTTTGTTGTTCTTTTTTTAAGCTCTGGCAGGAGCTTCTACATGTCACTTGGTGGTCTGTCTGTTTGTCCCTGAAAATTGACCAAGTGTATGGTGTTCCATATGTGCCATCGGCGCCACATTTTTCGGCGTTGCATTTTTCAGCTCTGGCAGGGATCATTTTGATCGATTTCATGCAGGACTTTCATGCAAGACGTTTTGCAACATGGCCAGAACTTATTGTGCACTTGCACTTGTTTGGCTGGACATGGTTACGTCGACTAGCCTGTTCCACTTTTAAGGTTGACATGAACATGTATTTTCAATGTAATTAAAAAATAAAACCTTGGTTGAATTGTACAGGTTTAAATTGAATTTTACTATACAGACCTTGAGATTTTAAACAATAAATATTGTTATTTATTGACCATGTTATTGTTGTTTACAAATTGAATGTTGTGGTCATGTGATTGCAACTTTCAGCAAACTGTTCCCTTGAAATGTGATTGGTGCAAGATGGTGACATAAACTGTCTAATGTGGGCAAAATAACATGCCCAAAGATGCTTAAATTTTTTGGTTGCCTGTAGGTAGCCTGTTGGTATGATGTCACACTTTGCAGTGTTGTGGAGCTGGTACTCATACTCGAGTACATTTTTTGGTACTCGTACTCATGAGATTGTACTCGTACTTGTACTGGCAAGGAAAAAAATTACCCGTACTTGTACGGTACTCATGACAAAGTACTCGTTCTCTTGTGAACGTTCTCCTGCAAGAATTAAAAAAATATTTTAGAGGTACATACAGGAAAAGAATCAATTTTCTATTGTTTGGGAATCTTCTGCATTTCTTAAATGCCTAGATTGACAGCAAAAAATCCCTAGAGAACACGTGTACATGTACCCATTGAAATTTGTTTCTACTCATGGAAAGTACTTGTATTCGTACTTGTACTCGAGTACTTTGGTTCTCGTACTCATGGGAAAAAATTGCCTTGTACTCGTACTCATGATAAAATACTAGTACTCATACTCACACTCATGGCAAGGTACTCAAATTCATACTCGTACTCACGGAAATGTACTCGATAACACTGTGTCACAGGTAACATGGTATGTATGAGGATGTTTCGCCAAATAAATCTGCTTTTAAAAACCTTTCAAGTTTTGCAAAACCACTTTTGCCCATAGAGTTCGCACCCACACTTCAAATTCCTTTGAAGTAATCTTCCGTGGAGTATGAATTATAATGTGACCCACTATACCCGATGTTTGATCTGTTTACAGCTTCTGAATTTGATGTGCCTGATCATGGCGGCTGTGTGCGTCATTTGGAGTGGGTATCCCATCTTCGTCTGCGTGATGGCCATGATCTGCACAATATTCTTCTGCGTTCTGTTCTTGATGCACCTGGACAAGCGAATTACTGTCATCAATTGGCCATTTACTGTGAGTATTGTGACTTGTTTCTGTTACTTTGCGAGGTTTGGATTAGTAAGAGGGGAGATTAGATACACGTTACAAAATCTATAGTCTGAGGATCAGACATTCACGTTAGTGCGTGCTACACCACAAACATTTGATAGATCCGAAACATGCACATTTTATGTGACCCCGCGCGCGAGCCAATTGGAGTTTAGACTTTCGATCAGAAATGTACTGGGCTGTTGATAGGTCAATTTGGCTGCCATATGTTTTTGTAATACAACAAAAGTTACTAGATCCGATAGAAGGTTCCCCTCAGAATGGTCAGAATCTGGATTCAAGATGCTATCCGGTTCGTTAGTAAAAGTACTCGAGTTTCGTTGGCTTCTAGTTCCGATGGTCAATGCATCGGCAAGTTCAATGTGGGCCAACATAAATAAATAAAAGATGTTTCCTTTGCTTATTATTTCATCTGTTTCCACAGGAGCTGTTGAATAACATAACATGGACCATACTGCATTTCATTTCGGCCTGCGTACTGGCCAAGGGAGCTTCTGATTGGGCATGGATTTTGCGAGGTTTCTATCATTCTTACTACGGATGCTCAGCTTTTGCGGCTGTAAGTACAAAGAAGCGAGTAGTGTTGTCAAGGGCGGTTGCAGGGCTAGCCCATTGAGTGAGAGGTGAGGGGAGGGGAAAGATTCACTGAAAATGGTTGCTGAAGGCACTAGTGCCTGAAAAAAAAAATGAAAATCTACATACTTTCTAAAACATTCTCGGGGACGTATTTAGAGATTATTTAGGAATTATTTATTGACTATTTTATTTTTTGTTACATAATGTGAGGTCTTTCGCCTATGAGCAAATGCTGTGTTATTAATAATGTTGAACTTGAAAAGATATTTTTGTGACTTTTTGTCATTTTAATATGAAATCAGTTCAGAGGCTGGGATAACATTGCCCTTTTTTGTTGGGGGGGGGGGCACTGAGGCAATACATTATTTTTGAGGGGTTATCACTTTATTTGCGCTTTATTTAGGACCAGTGCATTTGGGGGAGGGGATTTCAACAACTTGAAGCAAATGTTAACCAAACAAAATTCTGTTTTTGTATTTAATGTGTCAGTGTGTTTCTGTTTTTTTTTATATAATTTTTTTTAATCATTATTTTTGATGGGGGATTGGGGAGATGGAATTATATAGGTTGTCAGGGCGGGGTATTTGGATGGCGGTCCAACATAGAGCAGAGTTGAAATTGAATCAATCCCAAGTCAAGTCGCAAGTCAAATCACAAGTCATGTCACCAGAAACAGGGTTAGAACAATGACATTTCACTTCAGTAGCTTATTAATTGACTTGAGACAGGGTGTCTTGTGATTGCCTTGTGGCGGCTTTAGCTCAGTAAGGCCATTCTATACATTTTGGGTGTCTAAAGCATGACATCTGTCCTTTTCCTGCTAACTAGGTACTTTGCCTTTAAAGTATCATTAAGAATGACTTGAAGCGATTTTTAATTTGTTGGGTAGATAGTTTGCAGAGGTGGCAGCAAGTCATTTTTTTGCAAGTCCAAGTCAAGTCACAAGTCATTGTTTGCAAGTCCAAGTCAAGGCACAAGTCATTAGGTCCAGTCACAAGTCAATTCACAAGTCATTAGGTCCAGTCACAAGTCAAGTCACAAGTCATTCGGTCTAAACACAAGTCAAGTCACAAGTATCTTTGTCCAAGAACACGTCAAGTTGCACATTATTTTGTCCAGCTGTAATAAGCTAAAAGAACCTGGCGTCAACTTACGAGTTATTTTGAACATGCCTCCATAATTCCCCTTTTTCAATGTGTTGCAATTACTATTCTTGTAGTTTATCACATATCTGTCGGATATTAGCCCTTTGTATACTTTAATAAATTTACTTTACATTGTAGAAATAAATGTTGAGATGACATGAAAAAAAAAAGACTTTGTATTGTTACCATGGAGCTTTACATGCAGACATGCCCAATCTGGAATTAGGGAAAATATACATTCTGTCTAGGGCAGATTTTCAAGTACTAGAGGCTAGAACTTATTTAGATTCAATAGCCATATGAAGCAAGAGTTTGTACGCAGCCCAGAATGACCGAAAATCTATTCGCGGTTAAGCCCCCCCCCCCCCCCGAAAAAAAAGTCACAGCGCGACTACTCACCGCTCATCGTGGGTTTTAAGGTGCCGCACGAAATTGCTCGTTGTGTTTGGGCCATCAGTGACAGTGGATCCACATATTTTACAAACAGCAGACCTAGCATCTGACTTGGGTTGGTAACAAGTCATCTTTTTCCAATACCAAGTCAAGTCACAAGTCATTGTTTGCAAGTCCAAGTCAAGTCACAAGTCAAAGCTGGTATTTACAAGTCAAGTCACAAGTCACAAAAATGGCGACTCGAGTCCGACTCGAGTCCGACTCGAGTCCAAGTCACATGACTCGAGTCAGCAACTCTGATAGTTTGCTATTCATAATCACTCTCGGAGGACAACTGCATTGAGGATTGCATCAGAGTTATAAAATCATAGCTGTCAGATGTAACAGCGACAGAAGAAGAAAAAAAATTGACCCCAATTTTATAGAATGACCCAATGACTGAACTTCATGTTCTCTCTGCAGGTGCTTGGATTCATTCTGACCATCCTCTACGGTGTCAGCACCCTGTTCAGCTTCCGCCAATTCCAAGCCCAAGGTGGCCTGAACCGCCTGAGAGGACACGGTGGTGGGCAGCAGGGTGCGACCGCCGCTACCATCACCACTACCACCACCACTGCTACTGCCCAACAGGATCCGCCTGCATATGCCGAGAAGGGAGGAATGTCTTAAGAAGGAGATTAGGGTCATTCCACCGGGTTGGGGAACAAAGTGTGACAAATGACCATTTTAAGAAAAGCATGAATGCCTTGCTAGCAGTTGCTCTACATAATATTTGTTGTTGGGTGTTTCACTACTGCAGAAAGTTTGAAATCATTTCGATGTATTTTGCCAAAAATATGAGCAAAAAATGTCATTTCGGATGTAACATTGACACCGTGTCAGTGTTACGTCCAAATATGACCTTTGTACCTGTTTTTTAATTTCTGTGAGACATTACCCAAATTCACTTTGCGTACTTCTTACTATACATGCAACACAATAAGAAAAGCTTTTGTTATGGTAGTCAGGTATCAAATGGAGCAGAAATGATAGCTTGGTTGTGTGGACGTAATATTTACACGGTGTAAAACTCAAATGTCACACTTCCATTGAGTGATTTTTACACCGTTACATCCACAATTGAGGTATTGTTTCTGCTATATTTGAACCCTGACTATACCAAAAGCTTTTCTTGGTGCTTAGGTGTCCAGTTGTAAATATGCAATGTGAGTTTGGGTAATATTTCACATACGTGTAAAAAATGGCAAAAAAAGAATATTTGGATGTAACATTTACACGGTGTCACGGTTACATCTGAATTAATTCATTTTTGCTCATATTTTTGTCAAAATACTGAAACACCTAAGACAAATATTATGTTGAGCAATTGTTTAGAATGCATTGAGACTTTTAATAATATAACCAAATATATGGATGTAACATGCACTGTTTCCCAACCCGGTGGAATTTAGCCAGTCTTTAAAACAATGACCCCAGGGCCCCTCAGCGTATAGGGTGCCAAAAAAAAATCCTCCAATTGCCAACATGTAAAAATTGGATTCAGCCTCATAATAAGGAGGAATAGGGTTAATCTTGAAAGACATCCCCCACTCCCACCCCCCCCCCCCTTTCAAAAAAAGTGTTGGCTTTTAATTCATTTGGTAAGCATAAAATCATCAATAGAGTCATTCCGTGTCAATTCAACACGATTTTGGACCCGACCCTCACAGATTGAAACGATATTTGGTTTTGATGATTGGCCTATATGAGAAACCCCCAGAACTGATTTTCTTTTGTAAATTGGCTCCTTAGTTTTTGAGATACGGGTCAACGAACTTTTGACTAATTAGCATGACCTCCGGACTTAAAATACCTGGGTTTTTTTTAACTATAGTGCCTACAAAGCCAAGTTGTACATCCTATTAAAGCTCTTTGAATGGCCTCCATTTCATAAAATAAAACCAAAATCATAGCATGAAGCGCAGAGAAAATGCGTAAAGAAATGACCTTTGACCTTGAATTACGAAAATCAATATGCTTCAAATTTTGTATTTTTTTTTCAAATGTTAGTTTATGATGCTAGCAACCATCTTAAAAAAATTGGGATGGGCGCTCTTAAATTTTTTAAGTTATGATTTTTAAAGATAGCATGTCTAGGAGAAACCTTTGCGGGTATACACGTTATCGGGCGAGAACTGGTTACATAAAGTGTTTTTAGTATGTTAGACTTTTTAAGCTTTTTCACTTTCTCGCAATTAAGAGATTGTTTGTAACAATGCTAGGATATGTATTTTTTTTGTCAAAAAGCATGACTGATAGTGTTAGCTGCAAGCAATTTTGAAAATGTGTGAACTTTTTTTCTGTTGTAGAAACTGCCTGATTGATGTTTGTGAACTTTGAAATACATTTGCATTGTATAGCTAGTAGTTCGTGGGATATTACATGTAGGCTTGTATAGTAATATTATGGGTCATTAGATACACTATTTGTATTCTTTATTCACTATTCATAAATACCTAAGACAGTTTATCCATTCCCATTGGTCGAGAGCCCGTCACGTGGCCAGTCTTAAACGGATGATAAAGACATAGCTGGCTGGTCTTAAACTTTTCCAGTGTCACATGAAATTTGGACTCCTATGAAATCCAGTACCTGTTACCATTTTATTGGTTGAATGTTCACAATCCTCACATAGGCATGCGCAATACTACCAGTGAGTCAGTATTTCATAGTCCTAAATTCACATCGCACTCGCCACAGCAATGGCGGTACATCGCGCAATACGCACAAGCCGGTCCCCTTAAAAGGAGTTGTTTAATTCTTACTCGCGAGCTGGACACTCCATTATATAGCCAGAGGGGTGTTTCGAAAAACATGAAGAAAATTTGTTGAACAAAATAGTTGGAAATTTGTAATTTTTGACGTGTTTTGACTTTTAGACTGAAAAGTTTAGATTTTTTGGCCAAAAAGGTATTTATGAATGGGAATAAAAATGTGCTTGGTTGGTATTAAACACTATGTTTAAGACTGGTTGGAGTCTGAATGCTGATAATTACCTGAGCCGAAGCATTCCAGACTCCAACCAGTCTTAAACATAGTGTTTAACACCTCTTCCCAATTGCACACACTTATTCCCTTATTATAGATTCCTAATGAAATAGGCTTTCGTGTGTTGTGGTATTATTATAGATTCCTAATGAAATAGGCTTTCGTGTGGCATCATCATAGGGTTATAAATGTGTGTTCAGTTTCGTCATCAATAAATTACATGTACATGAAGCAGCTAAAAACATAAATATTTCATGCCAGTTTTCCATATACATGTACATTAGGAATTATGTTTGTGGGTATACATGTAGAACTACATGTATATAGCTTGAATGTTTGGCTCACCATTTCACATACACTTTGTCTACAACTGTTGAGAGCACTATCTTAGTCCATGATTTATCTCCATAGACTTATTAGCAGTTTAGTTTATATTTCCAGACCATTAAATTACACTTTCATTCTCGTAAAGAAAAGGAAAGATTCTTCGTACACGTTTACTTGAAGTGTCAACAAATCAATCTGTATCAAACACATAGTTCAATGATAGATAAACACAAAAAGGAAATGTTTTCATGTTTTCATGTACCTTTAAGCATGGGAAATGCGTCATACCAAATTCTGTTGTCTGATTGTGGGGTCGACGTGCCAGACAAGATAACAAGCAGATACAAGGTCCGATTGGAGAACTTAACTTTTGGCCTTTCCATTCAACCGCAAGGTTAAACTTTGCCATTTAAACTGTGGCATTTTATCAAGTTTAATAAGAAAAAAAACAAGACCAGACCTTGTCATCCGATATGTGCGCTATTTTTAAGTCTGTCCACAAAAGACGATGACGTCCCACAAATAAAGTTTGATTTAGTCCACTACGTCACCAGGCCTGAATCACTGATCTGATATTTGTTCTGTACAGTTCAAGGGTGGACTATCGAACTGCTAACAAAGGGAGGCACATGATACCCAAAAAAACCTAAACGTAAATTTAAAAAAAATACTGATTTTTTACAGCAAACGGACATTGTTTTCTCCCTATCCTCCCCCAAACAAACAAACAAACACCCCAACACCCCAACAAACAAACAAACAAAAGTGAGAAATCACTTCAATAATGTTTCAGCTAAAGGAAAAAAAAAAGCTTAAAAATCTGTATTTTCTTTATTTGGTAAAAAATCTCTTGAGCCTTACAAGTTTCTGGTACAAATTCTTAGTTAGGAAAATATATATTTACAAAAAAAAAAAAATAAACATAAATAATGAGCTATAAATTGATGTGTTTTTTTGTCTTAAACGCTGCCAAGAATATGCGGGAAGTCCAGTTTATGCAGCTTTCTAACTAATGTATCTAATTTTTTTTTGAAACTTCCTTTTTGTGGTTTCCTGTGCTGATAGATGAAAGGATGTGCTTTGCCTTTCTCAGGATTTGTCTTAAAGCTGTGGTGTACGCCAATTTTATTTAACTACTGAGAAATCACTTCAATAATGAGTAATCATTTCAATAATGTTTCAGTTAATGGAAAAAAATGGCTTAAATTCTTGTCTTTATCTGAATTATAATCTTTCGAACCTTACAATTTCTAGTACAAATGTACAATGGGAAAATATAATAAATATATGATTTGTTGTGTCTTGACTAGTGTTGAGTTGTTTTAGAAAGCAAAATATCCATTAATAAAAAAATAGGGTATGTACACAGTTGTACTGTACTGAAAAGAAGTTTGTACAGCAAAATATCCACAATATTTGATGAAACATGACAAAAATTAATATGTGTAGACTGTGTTTTAAACGGGAGATCAAATCGAACGACTTGAAATTGACAACTGTTTTAGAGGGAGACTAGAAAGATTGTTCAAGTGCCGTAGGTGCAAAATACCTTTCTAAGAAATTTCACTGGAAATCTACTGACTTTCCACAATACTCCAGCAAAAACCCATAGATGCAATGGTCCTTTTTAAATAACCAACAAAAAATAAATTGTGGGTATCTCTGTCACAATAATATAAATGAATAGGATTTATCTTCTAAAGATATCGCCTGCTAAGAGATGTTTAATTTACATCTTCGAAAGGTCCAAGTTTGTAAAAAAATTCCTCTGCTTTAATTCAGTGTTTCAATGACTTTTCCCTTGGTTGGAAGGGACACACTCCCATTTCAGAAACTTTGGCAATTTATTTGTTTTAACACATTTTATCAATAAAAAATGTGTCAATATAGTTGTTCAACAACACAGTGTAGTCACATTGCTGTAATTGCACCAGGGTCTTGGCCTATTTGAGTACAGACTCTACAGATGGCCCAATCAAAAATCTGAAAACAGACGACCCAATTAAGAATTAAAAACAAAACGAGAGGGGAATTTGCCATTTTGAGTACAGACTCTACAGATGGCCCAATCAAAAATCTGAAAACAGACGACCCAATTAAGAATTATTAACAAAACGAGAGGGGAATTCGCCATTTTGAGTACAGACTCTACAGATGGCCCAATCAAAAATCTGAAAACAGACGACCCAATTAAGAATTATAAACAAAATGAGAGGCGAATTTGCCATATTGAGTACAGACGGCCCAATCAAAAATCTGAAAACAGACGACCCAATTAAGAATTAAAAACAAAACAAGAGGGGAATTTGCCATTTTGAGTACAGACTCTGCAGATGGCCCAATCAAAAATCTGAAAACAGACGACCCAATTAAGAATTAAAAACAAAACAAGAGGGGGATTGTCAATGCTCAGCCTCTCTGTTTTGAATTGCTTGTGGCAATTGATATGTGAACATGCTGGAGACTAACTTTGATTAAAGGGAAGCAGCTTGGCGCAGGGTATTTTCCTCGCCTTCCACCTCTATGGCCCGGGTTCGATTCCTGCCCCGGTCCACCTGTGGATTGGTTTTTCAGTCTGCCTGATTCTGTGGCCCCCCCCCCCCCCCCCCGATGTGTTTCCAGCCTCCCACCTCTAAAACTGAAGAAAAGTCATGTATCGTCTCCTATGTTTCTTCAAGCTTTTGAGCTACAGTGCTTGTTCACATTTGAAGAATACTCAGTCTCTTCACCAGAAAGAATTAATTAACCCTAACCCACCTCACTCCTCCAAAATCCTCCTGGCGGTTTTGGAGGATTCTAGAGGATTGAGGATGAATGGTGATTGAAGCACATGAGGATTTTGGAGGATTGAGGATGAATGGTGATTGAAGCACAAGAGGATTTTGGAGGATTGAGGATGAATGCATTTTGAGGCAGGACTGTCTGATGATTTTGAAGGATTTGGCGTTGGTAGATCCTTCATTTAAACACGAGTGCAAAGTTTTGGGATGAGGAGGATTTTGGAGGATTGAGGATGAATGCATTTTGAGGCAGGACTGTCTGACAATTTTGAAAAATTTAGGCGGAGTTGCAAAATTTTTGAGGATTTTGGAAGATTGAGGATGGTTGTAAGCAACAAGGGCCTAGGGGGTTAGGGTTAAAACAAAATAAAATGAAAAATAGCTACAGCACTCTCAGTCGAATTCCGAGCCAATTGTTATGCTCATCTCATCACCGATAATCAAGGTCTGGTGGAACCACTTGTTGGTGTCAAGTACAACTAAAGTTGGATAAAAAACAAAAAGGCCAATTGAGCACTGGTTGAAAGTGAAAGATTTTGAATCAGGAAATGAACTTGTGTAATATCCATGGGTGAAATTCACGACGGGAAGTTGCAAAACTGAAATACAAAATACGTTACTTTTTATGTCGTAAATCAATTAAGTGATGAAATCAGATATTGCACATGACACTACCATAACATTGGGTGTCTTCGGTTACATGTAGCTTTCCCTGTGAATACAACAGGTTTCCATTCAAGCAGGAAGCTGTGAAATGAGGCTAATCGAACGCTGTATTTAGAGGCATTTTAGGAAAATTAAAGGGCCCATGTGATTTAATTTTTTTTAATGCAATCCTTGTACCGGTAAATGCACCTTTGTGTCCCATTTAAAATTATTGTCAATTTTCTTTTTGCCATTTTCAAGGGTATTTTGGTGCCTTTTTTGGATTTTATGCTAATGCCAATATCCGTCGACATGAGCAAAGGTGTGATGTTATTTCAGGCAGAAACCTCAATGTTAGGCCGTGTCCGAAACGGGCTTCCAGAGCTACGGCTACGTCTATTGTCAGCGCGTCTCTGCGTATTTCTAATGGAGCGAAGACCTAGACCTAGCTCTAGACAACAGATTCGGATGCAGCCTTTACAGCTATTTTCAGCGCCATAAGTTGCCAGAATTCTGGATAATTTGCTGTTGCAAATTTTCTTTTCTTTGGTGATTCCTTGTGTTGGTACGTGGCAGTAAGCCGATGAGCAAACTTTTCTTGCAAATGTTTTCAATGAACACATTTTTTGGGTTCACAATTTGTACAGAGAACCCCTTAACTGAACAGTGTCTTCCTGAAATGACATCACAGCAAACAGCGCCCTCAGTTGACCTGAAAAGCATGGACATTTTGTTAATGTTTAAAGAAGTGCCCTTTTCAATAAAATTAACCGGAAAGGAATGCCAGATAGTTTTCATAGATTGAACAGAAGTAGGAAGTGGTATACAAATATTGAGTGGCTCAGCGTGGAATGGGAGGAATATTATCGCAAGGTAAAATCTGGACTTTACCATTTCACGAGGCGAAGCCGAGTGAAATGGAAAAGTCCAGATTTTACCGAGCGATAATATTCCTCCCATTTCACAATTTAAAGCCACTCAATATTTGTTTTATATAACTGACATATAGATCCTTGTCATTTGATATATTTTATTTCAATACAAAACTGGAGGAAAATGTATTTCTCTCTTTGAAACCACCCCTTCACGAAAATGTTTGAATCCAACGCTGTAGCGCTTGCTCTTTGGAACAATACGCGCTACGCGCAACGCTGAACGCACACACCAGCATGCATTTGCACACAAATACCGCGTCATGATCCTAACTGTTGAATAGAATTTCCCATTCCCCATGGGCGGATAGTACTTTTTGTCGTCTGCTCCGCTGGCAAAAAGGAATTAGTTGCATTATTGCAACCAGATTAATCATTTCTGGAATTGTCAGATATGCTCATAATTATCACCAATATGTCCGTCCACATGATCACATAAATAATTGGGAGTATCTCTACATTTGAGTCGTAAATCTCCACATTCAGTTCAAGTTCCCGCAATCTTAAATCCAGCCACAAACTTGTTCAGTTATGTCATTACACTCGAGCAGTCACCAGAGAGCGAGCCGGGGCAGTGGTGGGGGACACCAGGGTAGACACACGCGAGGATCACGTGATGACTAATTAAATTCTCTTGTGTAAGTTTTACTCACACGTGTAGGATAATTGAACCACTCATTACTCATAACTACACATACATAGGCCTATTATTCATGAGAAAGAGCTTGCTTTTTCTCAAACAAGGAATTATGTTAAAAACCTAATTTGATTTGATTTATATCACCCTGGTGCAAAAATTCCATCTTATAATAGTTTATGCGGTGCCCGCTGCTATGTACATCAGATTCGAACTGGCCAGCCGATCCCGTTAGCTCGGTGGTCGAGTGGTAAGACATCTGCACTAGAAAGCAGGAGGTCGTGGGTTCGAGTCCCACCCGAGTGATTTTTTCTAACTTTCACTCGGGAGGTAACACACTGAGTATACAGTGTTTAAAACGTCGGTGAAGGGCAAAACCTAATTTGATTTGATTTATATCACCCCGGCGCAAAAATTCCATCTTATAAAAGGAATTATGTGCAGGGTAAATATGCGCATGCGCAGTTGACTATCTCATGGGTTACCTGTGCAATAGTCTGCTACGTATGCGCTTTACTTGGCAATCGTGGGTCTATCGCACAGGGGTAGTGGGCACAGAGGCACCATTAGCTACATGAAAAGATGGTGACGCATGCCTTCACATTCCTATTATTAAAATGAGGTCATTTTGAGGACATGGGTGGCCGGGGTGGCACAGTGCGTTAAGAGCTCGCCTAGCTCTCCGCTGTGGCTCGGGTTCGATTCCCGGCTCAGGTTACTTGTCGATTCTCTCCTGTGCCACGAGGGTTTTCTCTGGGTTCTTTGCTTTTCCTCCCTCGACGAAAATTAAGACTTTCAATCTGGCTGTGCTTCGTGGAATGACATGAGTTGTATGGTGGCTGCCTGAGACGCTTTTCATGCCTTCATCAGCTCGACCATGTTGTAGCTGTGTCCTTTGTAATTCAGCAAGGACTATAAGCGCTCCAACTTAATTAACTATCATTTAATATTGAGGTCATCATGATTGTCACACTTACTGATTTCACCTGGATGAACTTCGACCTCCAGAATTTGGCACTCCAGGTAGCATTCCGGTGGCGGTTCCAGGGTCCACCTCTTGTGACCTTTGATCTGTGCTTGCCAAGATGGCAATTCCACATCGTCTATCTGTATGAAAGAAAATATTACATTAACATTTATGAAAAGACGGTGATGTTAAGGGCTTGCCAACCGAGGTTTGGAAACAGTGGAATTGCATACAGACCCCTCGATCATTCCTTAAAAGTAGGCCTGGGCGAGTAGTGAATTTTTCCACCCGACTACTCGCAAACAAATTACTGGAGAGTAGTCGCGTACTCACGAGTAGTTAACCAAATTCCAATAAAAGCAGAAAAATGACGAATACGTCAGTATGACGCAAAGTAAGTTACAAGCAAATAGTGAGCAAGTCACACCACATTCTTCAGCACTAAGATATATATCCTTAATGTGTGTCACTTTAGGTAATTTGCTTTAATATTTGTTTTGGACGAATGGAATCCTAGGGAGAGAGAGGTGGAGGGAGTGATTTCCCTGTTTGCAGGGGACGTATTACGCTGAGAACCCTAAAACCTAAAATTGCTACTCGCAAGTACCTGCTTTTATTTGTGCCAGGACAAGTACTCGAGTGATGAAAAACCATGAGTAGAACGAGTAGCATAAACTACTCGGAGTACTTGAGTAATCAAGTTTCTCGCCTAGCAGTGGTACTCCCGAGTATCTATGGAAGTGGAAGTAAAGATTGAGAACCATTCCTTTGACAAATGATCAACTTCTGTAACTATAACCACAGTGTTCAAATATTGGTTGTGTTTCTCACGTGCATGTGTGCCCCATATCCAGGGCTGCCCATGAAGATCCAGTCGGTCTTGCTAGACTCGGACTCAGGAGGCAGGAAGTATGGCCGATGGTAGTGCTGCCGGAGCGTGTTCGCTGCTGTCGAGTCGCAATTACTCCTTGAAACACAGAGAAAAGGTGTAGTAGTATCAAAGCATCATTTGGTGACACAAGCAACGAGACCTAAAAACTGGACGCACTCATAAGTTGTTCAAATGTTTTATGCCAATCTCGTTACTGCTGTTTGAACAGTCACAGACAGTCAAAAAATCAATCCTCTGCCACTGCCATGCTAGACACCAACAGTCAGATCATATTTCAAGCAAGCACTGTGATTGGTCAAATTCAGTCAACAGACAAAAGCAGGTACGAGGTAGGCACAGCTGGCTAATCAATCACCTACAGTCAAAGCATAGCTGTATCAAGATACATAAACTGTCATAGCCAGTCAATCCTGCTTTACGTAGGCTGGGGCTCTTAACTATTAAAAACAGTCACTTGATTGAGTTTGACTGAAAGGACAACTTTGCACAGAGTGTATCTTAGCATAGGAGGGTTAATGCAAATTTCTCTCTTGAACTGGGCAAGTTTCAGACCAAATTTTGATAAATATTTCAATTTTTTTTATTGATGAATTTGACGACTGTATGCTGTATTTCCATCGAATACACTATTTGGGTGAAAAATTGATTCTCAGTACATCAGCGACACATTTCTCACAGACAGTTATATTCTGCCAGGACGAAAACAAAAAAAATCTTGACTTGAGTTGTTCCATTATTGAACAGATTGCAGCATTTTAGATTTGAAAATGCTAAATATGCACCGACTAAGGGAGTTTATGTGGACCTACCATCCAATGTACCAAGGAGCAGAACCGTCCGATAAGTTGGCTCTCTCGGGGGCCATCTCAAAAACCTCCTTTAAGCTGTCAAACTTCGTCTTGTAAGGGAAGAACTGACAATCGGGAGAGTTGCTCTCAAGCACGGGACTCTCCTCGTTGTAAATATCCTTGAAGAACTCAAAGCTGAGGAAGTTGGGCGCCGTCCAGTTCCCCATGCCGTCCATCACGACGACAGGCCGTGCCGTGTAGGCGTAGACTCGCTCGAATTCCTCCTGGGTAAGACCAGAGAGTTTCCTGATGTCACCAACGTCCCGGCAGATGCTGCAATTGACCGGCGGCCGGAAGAGATCTTGGAGCAGCTCCGGCACGTCCACTAGGCACGTCTCTGTCTCAATGTCCTTATCCATGAAACTCTTCATCCAGATCTCACTGAGGCTCCTGTGAGCCTGGGCTATGCGAGGGACTTCTGGAAGATATTGACCGACAAGCAGCAGCATAAAAGCGGCGTAGCCAAGCAGCACTGCGATGGCTACTATCAAGTACATGACTGCGCAGAGTATCTTGACAATCCTGGAGGACGGCTTTGTTTGGCCGAGGGTCTGCAGCTCCTTAAATGATGCCAGCTGGGCTATCTGGACCTCTGATGCCCCTAGTTCTTGAAGCCGTCGATGAATCTCCGAAAACCTCTTGCGTGCATCCATCGCTGAGCTAATACTGGGAGTTACCATCTGTGGATTTGACAATATCGGTAGGCTATTCAGGTGATTAACAGTGGCTGTTTGATTAAAGATGGGTAATGGGTCATGCCTGCCAGGAGAATTAAACCGTAAGAAGAAATTTTACAAAGGTTTATTTCAAGAAGGCGTAGGCCTAGTAGGAATATGAGGATTGCATTTGATGCATACATTCAAAATTGGAAATGTTTCTTATTCTCAAAACAAAGTGTTTATTTAGCCGTGAATCGGTCTCGCATTGCTTCCATTAAGCTGGTAGATCGTACAGCGCCCTCATGCATAATATATGTAGGAGTAGGCTTAGACCATTATAAGATATTAAATTACCATTCGTCGTCTAGCGAACGCGTGGCCTAGTGGACAGACACTAGAGAGCCCGCCTCACAAGCAACACCGCTCGAGTTTTGAGTCCCAGCGTGACCCATGATCTCGAAACTTTGCTTTTTGAGTCCAAAAAAATAAGAATTGCTACTTTTTATTGCACGTTAAATCGAATCCTAACATTGCAGAGTACAATGTATTTCATCTCCTGTTCCTGATTTGTGGCTCTGGAGGATCTTAGTTTTATGGGAAATAAAAGACTGAATTTGTAGGTCTGATTCCCATCTCTTTAACACAAGTCACAATGACATTGTTGGCGTGGAACTAGCTTGGAATACCCAGTTCTAATAGAGCGGGAGCCAGGGGGGGTCAGCCTAGCTGGAAAGTTAACCAATTTTCATGTATGCAGCAATGATCCACATGCATACCAATGTAAGGAAATGGACGTCTGCCGGGCACACTGTGGTGGGTATGGTCAGGAGGGCCATGAGAAAGGGGCCACAAAATTGAGCTAGATCAGCTGGTGAGTTAACCCAATGAAACCTACTGGAAAATGTTGGGCCCAGTCCCAGGTATCATGAATGGCCACTGCCAGACATTTTCAGTGGTGGAAAGTGCCCGCCAGACATGAAAAACCTGTATAGGAGGGGGCGTGGCCATAACCCCCTCCCATTCCTTTTCGCCGATAAAGTAGCAACGCAACGATATAGAAAAATGTAAAACCAGTTTGTATATGTGCCCTGACTCTTGTAGAATACAAAAATATACCTTACAAGTAATTTACATCTGACTAATTAACTTAAGAGCGGCGCGAATAGCTTGGAGGGGGCGGGGCTACCACCCTTCCAAGCATATTTTCGCTTATATCATTGCAACGCATTCTATTAATTCTGTCAAATTTTCCTGGCATGTTTGCCGATGCCTTTTGGCTATTTTGTATCCATTTTTAACAAAATAAAGCACACTGTTCTCATCAAATGTCATTGTCAAAAGAAGTAGGTTATGTTCAATATGTACAGTACATGTACATTACACGTGCTGGGTCGGAGCTTATTAAAAAGGGTACAGATAATGAAAACTTACAAAACGGGGTTTTTTTCCCAGTCCATTTCCCTTGTTTTTGTATGCTTTGACAGACATTTTGACACTGGTTAATATATTCATACATGGAAATACATGTTATTTTCACTCTTTTGTGGGCGTGGCCTAAATATTTAAATCAGGGTGTGAATAATTGCATTCTGAATGAAACGAGGAAAATGTATGATTTTGCTGGCAAAACAAAGAGTCAACATTGTTAAATAATTATTATTGTGCATTGTTACTTTTATTTTTAATCATTTTATATAAGTCAACAAAATTAACTGGAGTTATGTTTTGAAATACATGTAGGCACGTATTTTGGTAAATAACTGTGATATTATACTCTGGGGCCTGTGTAGGCCTATATGTACAGTGTTTATAATGTAAATAAATATGTTGATGAAGGGCAAAACCCCAAATTGGATTTACATCACTCCGATGCAAATTCCAATCACTTCAATAGTTTTGGTGCAGTGCCTGCTGGCAGGGGTCAAGGACCCCCCCCCCCCCCACCTCAAGATTTTTCCAGGTCATCAAAAGTGCCCCTCCACCAAAAAAATGGTCTCTCTACATAACTATAGTCAAATTCATTGGGGGACCCACAGAGGTTACTGGCGGGGGCGGAGGACGTATAATGTGCCGTTTGCCGAAGGTCCAAGGGCGGATCCAAGAGGATGAGGGGCAATGGGCCCATGCCTCCCCCCACGATAATGAACCCAATTGTGCTTTTAGTGATAATAAAATACAATAACAAACCCAATTGTATTTTTAGTGATGTCACAAAAAGGCAGCCACTACGTACACCAACATCTTTTCCTAAAAACAAATTGGTAACAGTGGTCAGAAATTGCCTCAGATCTCACCACAGAGCATCTAGAATCCATTTTATTCCGGGCCCTTAAAGCGGGCCCTGAACCCAACGTGCAGAAATTTTTTGGACCCACTTACTGGGGGACCACATTTTTCTGCCAAAAAAAAAATGAGTTTCAGATCGGCCATTGCGGAGGCCGAAGAGCTCTCACTTTCACACCGACTGAAGGTGCCCCATTTTCTGAGCAGTTGCCCCTTTTTGGTGTGCCCCCCCCCCCCCCAGTTTGAAAAGCATTCCACCGTCCCTGCCTGCTGGTACCTTACATCAGATTCCAACTAGACAAACTTGTTTGTTTCTGCATTCAATAGGGGATGTTGAACATTATGGGGTTCAACAAATACAAAACAAATGGGATGTCTTCCTAAAAAGTAAAAGTAATAACAGAAGAGGGACAATTTTGACGATTGCACGTAAATACACACTTTGGGCGGGACGTCGGCACGTTATGGTGAAGTTTCTTTTTTAATTTTTTATGCACATTTTAATGAGATATGTCGACTTCCTGCTGCCCCCCAGTTTTCTGTCCCTACAAATACATCCTAGCAACAAGTGTTTGTCCCCATCACTACGGAACAAGAAAGGTGCATTTGAACGCACCGGGAGCAAAGGGAGAAAGTAGGGGCAATGGTACCCAACAAGTCAGTTTATAGAAATTGGACCTGACGAGGAAAACGCTACATGTATTTAGTTAAATATTTCTATCGGAACCGAAGAGAATAGAAAGGAAGAATTGACGAATTAAAGTAGCAGGTGTATTAAATTTGTGTGAGTACACAGCGTTTATAAATACGATATTATTAAAACTCAAAATGGCACTTACAAGAAAAATGTATGGGGCCAGCACACAAAAGAGGGATTATTGGAGTTGAGGAGAGATCCACAGGTGAACATCATATATAGAAAAGGATACAAAATAGCCAAAAGGCATCGGCAAACATGCCAGGAAAATTTGACAGAATTAATAGAATGCGTTGCAATGATATAAGCGAAAATATGCTTGGAGGGGTGGTAGCCCCGCCCCCTCCAAGCTATTCGCGCCGCTCTTAAGTTAATTAGTCAGATGTAAATTACTTGTAAGTTATATTTTTGTATTCTACAAGAGTCAGGGCACATATACAAACTGGTTTTACATTTTTCTATATCGATGCGTTGCTACTTTATCGGCGAAAAGGAATGGGAGGGGGTTATGGCCACGCCCCCTCCTATACAGGTTTTTCATGTCTGGCGGGCACTTTCCACCACTGAAAATGTCTGGCAGTGGCCATTCATGATACCTGGGACTAGGCCCAACATTTTCCAGTAGGTTTCATTGGGTTAACTCACCAGCTGATCTAGCTCAATTTTGTGGCCCCTTTCTCATGGCCCTCCTGACCATACCCACCACAGTGTGCCCGGCAGACGTCCATTTCCTTACATTGGTATGCATGTGGATCATTGCTGCATACATGAAAATTGGTTAACTTTCCAGCTAGGCTGACCCCCCCTGGCTCCCGGTCTATAAGGCTGATGGGAGATTCTATCCCTAGAACTATGATGCCCCGCTGAGCATGGTTCTAGGAGTAGGGAAATTCCTCATTGGCAAATTTCCCATGTCATGAGCTAAGAGCTGATGGATACTCCAAGCTAGCGCAGAACCAGCCTAAAATAAAAGCCACTGCCAATGTTCAGTGCCATGATGATACTTTCGTTAGGCCTACTTCATGTAGTACTAGAGTAGTATAGTGGTGTTCCCTAAGGTGGCACACTTCGACATTTCTCCCAGACTTTCCTTATGCAGTATTGATGTTGTGCCCATTCTTGAAAATCACGCATTCTTAAGAATGTGCATGCACATTCTTAAGAATGTGCAACTGGATCCTTGCGCAATCTTCGCAAAAAATAACTCTTCCAGATTGAGCGCACATTCTTAAGAATGCGCGACAAGATAACGGTCTTGTCGATGCCGAGCACCGGCTGCGCTTGGCAAGTCTAGCTGCATCCTCGTTCACTGATTCTCAATAATTATACTGTTGCAACGCAAGGCGCTGAAAAGTACATGTAGAGTGGATATGATCAGTATAGGCATATTGATATGGGGGGGGGGGGGGGACCGGGAAAAAATAAGAGACATAATAATACTAGTGGAAAGAATTCTGATTTTTGGGATAATAAAAGCAGGGGGGGGGGAACGTAAGAATGAAGAATGTGAAGAATGAGAATGAATACTGCGACATCCCATCCGGTTCGTTAGTAAAAACGTCATACACGCGCGCACACCACTGATTACTAGCGCCCATTGGCTGCAAACGCTCGAGCTGCGTTAACTTCCGGTTCCAATCGTGCAGAAAGCACTGGAGGTGACGTCACACTAACGAACCGGATAGTGCTAATGCTATTTCCCATTTAAATTGCCACCAATTTATTGTTCACACCCCACCATTACGTTGCAGAGCTGGATTCTATCTAGTCAAAAGAGCAATTTTGGCAGCTTCTGGACATCGTTTTTTTTGTGTGGCATGCATATGATACATACAGGGACTTGTAACTTGTCTAGCCTAAACAAAGCACTTCCCAGACTAGTTCCCAGTCCTCCGTTATTACAAAACTTCCCATAGTGGGCAGAAAAAAAGCAATAATAATTAACAGGTTTAATTTGATTCAAATTATCGTAGTTATACGAGTACAGAAGCATAGAACATTTTCTTTCCTCTTTATATAAATTGTTTCCCTTTTAACCGCTATACATTTCATTTAACATAATTATGTCGTGCAATGTTTGTTTAGATTGGGCAAAATTCATAAATTGTGCACGTGAGAATGAGCGCTCATTCTTAAGAACGCGTGCTCGTTCTTAAGAATGGGCACTCATTCTTAAGAATGCGCGCACATTCTTAAGATTGCGTGATTTTCAAGAATGGGCACAACATTGCCAAACCTCTTTGTTGACAAAATTCAAATTAATTCAGTTTAAATTAATATTAATTTATTAGTCATGTTAGTATTACCTTAATAATTCTCGCTCTTGAACCTTTGTGAACTTTTTCAATGTCATGACATTTAGTCCAAAATTCAAAAACGATGACGTCCGGAAATAGCACAATTCAAGCAAGAACAAATCCTATGAAAAATTCACATTAGGCCCCTAACAATATAAATTTCTTTAAAGTTGATAAATTCTGAGAAATAATTATTGTGTCCCCTCACATACCCAACTACATTTTGTCCGAAAATTAATATCTTATTTTTAGGCGTATTTTAATAAAAAGGTTGTGCACTTCCAACAAACGTTCGGGCAAGATTACCAAAATAATACCATATGCGAAGTTCACTAATTTTCCTCTGAGGCTCTGTATTGACTAACAAGCCCCCAGATAGCAATTTCATGTCATCAAAGTCAATTTGAGCAGTGACTGAGTGAGTGAGAAAATACAAGCACTTTCTTAGATTAGAAAACACTTAGAATTGTTCAGTCCACTCTCAATAGGGTTTGTACACAGAGTGTTGAGTGAACTTCGTATATCGCGTATATGGAAATCTTTCCCCATTGAGGACAACATTCACACTGATTTAATTTTAAAGACTCTCTATTCCTACCTTTAAAAGGCACGCATCACTTCGCGCCGCACTTGCACTGCGTCAGTTTTCACATAACTTCATGACATGCATGAAGTTTGAGTTTGACATGTCGACAGTCTGTCTGCTGATTGGTGGTGAATTCGCGAATGGGTTCCTTATTGAAAATTCGCACACGGGCCAAAAGAAATTCACTCGCTGAGGATCGGGGAATCAAAAACCAACTTCAAAAACGTCTGACAAATTTACCCGACGACTAACAAGGACCCAACCGCCTAGCAAACCACGGCAAACTGTCTGAAAAATAGCCCTCACCCCAAATCCACATCACTATGGACTTGAAGACGTTTCAGTTTATGATACTAGTATAAAAAAACCTCAAATTACATTAATGCGCCTCAATTGTTTCCCCCACTCCTCCACGTGTTCATTCAATCGTGCAGCTATAAAAAAGCCCCCAAAATATGCAATTTGGCAAAATCTGTAGCCGGTACAGCCACGGCTTATTTGAATGGCCCTTCTTGTTTTATATAAAGAAAAACATCAACTTTACACGCCATCGTCTTTAAAAAGTAAGTTTTTTTTCTTCTGGTAACTCCATGATTTGACCATCTTGCTCCTCCATGAGTTTGACCATGGTGACCTCCATGCTTAAAGAGAATGTACAACATTGGTTTTTGCTGTAATTATCAGAAATGAACTATTTGAAGTTAGTATAATACAAGGTGAGTAAAAAAAACCGGCCGAAACCCAAATGTAGGGACTATTGTTTTATTGAAGTTCTGCATGATAGCACTTTCAAAATCTAGGATATGAAAGCCCAATTCATAAACTTTGTTGTAGTACAAGAATCATTCAAATCATTCATGTATAGTACTTTTCAAGTTACGGAATTTTAAACACAACCGTTTTATAATTAGGGTTCTGTCCCGCACGGATCTCCAAAAAGTTCAGTGTTCTTTCAGCAGAACCATGGAGGAAGGAATAGACCGAAAACAAATCACATGATAGGGATGTGTGTGTGAATTGTTTTCGTTTTGCTGAAAGAACACACACTTTTTTGTGATCCGTGGACAGAACTTTAAAACGGTGGTTGTGTTTAAAATTCCGTAACTTCATTGAAAAGTACATGAGTGATTTGAATGATTAAAAGAAAGTCATTTACCAACATCCTAGTAAGGTATTTCGTAAAAATCTGGTAGTTTTGTTTTTTGATATTTGCAAAAAATCGATCGAGAAAGAAAAGAGAAAAATATCTGCATTTTCTCGAATGAGCCTGCTGGGTATTTTCCCCCTTCTTCTTGTATTTTTTTTTTCAATTACTTTAATTTACTTCAATTCAAAACTGAATCTCAATTTTAAGTTATTCCCTTTGAGTTTGACACACCCACCCACAATTCCAAAGATCGAAACTTTTTAACATTGGCTATTCTGAATTGCCCAAAGCAGTTTTACTCAAAATTGAATGTTTCCGTTGGCTCATGGGTCGTTTAATCATTCGAAATCCGGCGATGGTGCAGATCCAAAAACTGAATTAGATCTTGCCATTCGAGAACGGGCAAAATTATCAATTTGTCAGGAAAGCAACATGGCGGCCCCCAATGTAAATGCATGAATTTTACAGCTGAGTTTTAATAATTTTATATTTAGTTATCATCTTTAAAAAAAGTGATCAACATGCTTCGAAGACTTTTAAACGGACGATTGGTAAGTTGAGTCCTCACAAATCACAAAAATGAAATAAATAAAATGAAATGAAATATTTTTTTAACCGATATTCGACTAGCATGACTAGACCCGTGAACGTGGCGTGACAGTTGTTTACTCGCCACGTCTAATCGGCATGCTCAGTAACGTCATACACGCGCCACAAGCGCCCATTGGATGATGAATGTCGGTCACTTCGGCACCTCGCCAACTCGGCACCTGCCAACTCGGCACCTTGCCAACTCGGCACCTTGTCAACTCGGCACCTTGCCAACTCGGCACCTAGCCAACTCGGCACCCGAATTTTGCCTCTTTCTCCCGACTTCCAACTCGGCACTTGACCTCCTGGTCCGTCCCCAAATAATCAGTTAATTGTCCCACTTTTCTTTGAAAAAGTCCCTGAAATCGTTACTTTCTGGTCTAAGATTTTTTTTTTTTTTTTAGGGGGGCGCGCACATGAGGTCGAAGCAAATCAGCAGGGTGGGTCCTTTCCTCATGAGTGCCAATAAAATAACCGTGTGCTTTGCGCGGAGTAGTGGAAACCATCAGGGGTATTCTGCAATTAGTACTCCCGATCAAATTAGAATCAAGATTTTTTTTAATTACTAACATGACTAAGTAAGAAATGACGTTGTCAATTCCATGTCAACCCATGGAGCAAGGAACATACAGAAGGAGTTAAAACTCCTGGGCGATTAACATTTTTGACCATTATCATTCCAATCCCACGGGAATGTCCATAGCCATGATAGCTAAAGCATTGTGACCTCAAGCCTGGACCATTCATTGTGTGACTGCACACGATGATCGTCGCCGCCTTTTAGTAGGTAACCAAGTCATTTCACGTCGTTGCTCTTTTTTGAAAAAAAATCTATTTTAGGTTTTAACAAATGCGCAGTTGTTAAATGGGAGTTATGAAATCAAGTTATCGATGTGCAGTTGTTGGTCCTTCAAAGCGCTATCTGTTCCTGTCATTTGAAGATGAATTAATTTGTTTTCCAAAAAGTTGTTATGGATTTTTGATTTTTTTTTATTGGCAATACATCATTTATAAAATATGACATTTTGGGAAATTTCCTAAGGTTTCCGACAGAAAGGATAGAGCATATTTTGTTTGTCATGAAATGATCGTTTCAGAAATGTTGACCACATTGTGGACCAGTGTGAGCCAACTCCGAACAAACGCTTTCAAAATCAATCATTTTGGGCGATGTATGACAAGTGCGCCAGCGTGTTACCAAAGTGCTATCCACAAATCAGTGCAAACTCTTTCTTCTTGCTTTAGTTAGCACGGATCTCAATAGGGTAGTGAGCAACTGAGTATGCCGCCATGCAGGTGCTTACTATTGTTGCTTTCGAGGACAGTGACGATCATAATAACTTTGAAGTAGGCCTACATGTAGTGGAGTGTTCTGACTCTTTCTGTTCCTTGCCCCATGGTCAACCTAAAGCAGACTTCTCTTAAAGTAATGACACCCTTTTTGTAATTTTTGAACAGTTGCTTGGGGTAGAAATGACAATTTTGCTATGCGGTTTGCAGGCCGGTTGGTGCCGTGCAGCGCGACTTGCATGCTCAGGGTACATCGCGCGGTGATCACCATCTTTAATTTTTTAATTTCCCTCAAAAATTCAAAACCCTGCCCTGATCTATGACATACCTATATGTTCTTAATGTCGCCAACTAGTTTGGTAGGTCAAATAATTAAAAAATGGATTTTGTTCCCTTTTTGGAACTGGGCCCGTAGATACTAGATCGCCACTTAGTGGGCAGTGGGTGTGGTTTAAACTGACGTGACGTCACACTAACGAACCGGATAGGGCCTACTTTAGTATAAATGATAGCCCTAGGCTAGTCTGAGAATGGTAGCTAGGAGTCTACAAATCGCCTTTTTTAACATTTGGACATGGTCTGGCGATCACAATTTACTGACGACGGCATGGCATTTGCTCAATTTTTGGTCAAATATTTTGGGTTAATTTTCAGGGACAGACAGACAGACAGACTGCCAGTGCCAGAGCACAAAAACCTGCCAACATCCATGAATAATGACTCTGAGTTTTTGTTTTTATTGACATTTTAGCATCTCATATCAAGATGGCGAGGCCTGTCGGACAATCTGGCATTAACAGAGGGAGAGCTTCAACTGAAGGGTATCCTAGAAGCAAGGTTCCCCAAGGCTACCCTGATCCAAGTGCAAGATGTGTCAGGTACGGAAGAAAAAATATTATTCCAAAAACTTACTTGACAAAGTAAATTGTTTAGACCAAGCATCAATGTTTTAAAGGGCTCATATACACACAATGTATTTTTAAATAAATTAATTCAGTTTAACGTGCACCTTTGTATTCAATTTAATCCGATTTTCAATTTTCATTTTGCCATTTTCAAGGGTATTTTGGTGTCTTTTTGGTTTTTATGTTATGTAAATTTCCATATTTGTTAGCAAATGTGTGATATCATTGCAGGGAGAAACCTCCAAGTCACAGTTATTGCAGCACAAAAAAAGTTACCAGAATTTTGGATGTTTTGCTGTCGTCAATTCATCCGTTCTTTGGTAATTTTGTTGTTGTGTCAGTGCATACGGTAGCTGTAAGCCAGTGAGCCAACTTTTCAAACAGATATTTTCAACCCTAACTCCCCAAGCCTTTTAGCCTCAATCCTGCAAAATCCTCCAATTGGCCTCATAGAACAATATTTTAGCACATAGCCTCAATCCTGCAAATTCCTCCATTACTTCTTGAATATGGTCCGTGGAGGGGTGAGGGGCGACCACTGCCTGAATCCTGCAAAATCCTGCGGCAGGGACTGTCAATATGTTGAGGCTTGGCCAGTGACATCCTGGAGCAGTACAGAGAATTTCAAGCATAATCCAGACCTATTGAAATGCATGGCTGAGCAAAAACAAAACAAGGTGCCCAAGGCCTTGACAAAGTACATCCTACAAAATAGTAATGCACTTTTGCCCTGTACATGTAACCGCAATCCTCCAAATTCCTCCACTTTGGCAAAGAGGATTTTAAAGGATTCAGGGTGGTTAGTGTTAAATATTGGAAGTCCTTGACAATATTTGGATAACTTTTTGCTCATTTTGTTCAGCTGCAGTTTTCAAGCAAAGGCCTTGGTCGTTACAGCTGTTTAAACAATCAATGCTAATAGAAACTGCACCTTTTCAAAGAACTTCTGTCCCATTGCCAGTTGGTCAGTCCACTGTTGTCTTTGCTGCCCACAGGGTTTTTCCAAATCCTTGGCATCAAGGAAGTTCATAAGGCCTTGACCCACCTTGGAAAGTCCCAGGAATTTCTGGGAATTGTAATGAGTTGTCCCAGAGAGTTCTGAAGACAAGTTTGAAATTTTTGTTATTGTTAAGGACAGTCCTACATGTAGAGAAGAAGCTTTTTGGCAAAAATCCAAAATAAAAGTAATAAGAGTAATAAAATAAACCAGCTTTTTCGTCCCCTGTCAGCTTTCTTTTTTCCGCTCGCCTCCTTTTAAATAAAAAAAAAAAAATACATGTGCAAAATATTGTGCAGAAAGTCGAGAAAATGGAACAATCCATCTGCAATCTTGGGAAATCCACCATTTTGGAAAAAAAACAGAAAAGAAAAAAAAAAGCCCGCCTCCTTCTTTTAAAAAACCTGGATGAGAAACTAGTTAATTACTTTACTCGGCCTTAGTTGAGAATCAGTCAAGAGCCAGTAGAAACCCCATACCGGTAGCAGGCATTTTGGTTGGAACCTGAATTATTGTCTGTGCTTTACCAAGCTCCTTGAAATCGGCCGCAGATGGTATCATCCCATATTTTTTTGTTGCATGCTTGAAGATTGCTTTTGTTTTTAAATTCTAGGAGGTTGTGGGGCAATGTATCAGGTCAACATCGAATCTGAAGACTTTGCGGGCAAGAGGACCCTGCAGCAACATCGCATGGTCACCCAGGTCCGTCCCTTTAAGTTATTACCTTATTAATGTTTACTCCTTAGATACTCATGCACTCCTTTCTCCATGTAAACCACCCCTTTCACAATTTTTTCCGGAAAGTAGAGGTCAAAGGTCATCTTGGGTCGTTGTTAAAAGAAACAATTGTTTAATTTGCTTCAGATTTATTGTATTATTGTTCCTTAAACCAGCAAAAATTAATTTTTTTGGCAAATGATGTCACTTTAATATCTAAAACAACAGAAGTAAAAGCAGAAAATAAATAATTGTGATGAGTGCCTTGCTTGAACGTTCCTCATTAAATGTGTACTAGGTATTTCATGTACATGTACATGTACTTAGTGGCAGATCCATGGAGTTCGAAAACTGAACCCTTTCCACCCTGCTTTTGTGTCATGAACAGGGGGGAACAGGGGCCATGCCCCCCCCCCCTTCTTAAACAAAAATTCATATTTTTTGTTTAGTAACATAACAAAATACCGGTAGGCAGCAATTGCGTACACCAACCACAAAACTCAACAAAAGCAATACATTTGCATCTTCTCCTCTTGCTTTTCGTATTAAATTTGGGGCGGAAAATTGTTGGACCCACCTTTTTAGGAACAACACAAATTTTGGCCTCCCCCCCAAAGGAAATGTGTTCTGGATCCGGCCTTGTTCCCCCCCCCCCCCCCCCCCAGCTGATGAAAAACACCGCCCAGTGTCGGGTGGTGTTAAATCTCATCTGCATAAACAGCACCCCCAGGTGCGACAAGGTTGTAATGGTGGACGGACTTTGATTTAATTGACAGGATTTACCACTTGTGTGCAAAGGAAATGTATGGTTTCTTGCCTGCCATCTGCAGATGGAAAACACATAGAGGGCGCTCATAAATATGACGTCATTACATGACATTGTCAGCCGCGCCTAACATGCCTAAGCAACTAATCTTTGGTTCATTAGAATATTCATGATTTGTGCACCAGGATGTGAAAAAAAGATTAGAAAAAGGACAAAGTGTAGTTTTGTATGCATTGATATTTGCCGTAGGGTTATCGGCAGTGGAGCACACAACATTGCTTTCATTGTTGAGATCTATTGATATCTATTGATGGCGTACTACACCTGCGGTTTTAATAGCTTTAATACCTTCATTGTTTGCATTGTTGAGTTACAGTGTGGGTATTTCCCTGTCGTTTCTCTCATCATCCCCCGCCGTGTCCGACGACAGGTGTCTGCCACGACCGACCAATCACAGACCGGCAAAGTTACGTAGATATCCTGGGGATTTTTTTGGGATCAATGTTCTGTTTGCTTTTGCAGTGCAACATCAATACAAACATCAAAGCGATTCTTTTCAATATTTTTTTCACACCATTTTTGGTTTCCTGTTTGAACGTTTTGTGTAGTGATTGAATGTCTCTTCATTGAATTTGTTTCTTTATTTGGACAAAAAGGAAAAGCGCTTTGTCTGTTGCAATGAAGGGATTTTACCTCCCAAGGTTTTCTGTCGGTCCAGGATTTGTCCAATTTGTTGGAAAGTTAATAGAGTGATTTTCTATTGACCATGTGACCTTATTTTGCAAAGTTGGATATTGTGGTCGTGTGATGCCAACTTTCAGGAAGCGGTTCTCTTCTGCACTGCATGTATATCTCTTGAAATATCAGTTGATTAATTTATTGTGATCTTTAAAGAGGGTAGTCCATTTCAGTTTAAAAAAACTGCTTTTCGAAGGTGCCCTCTATGTAATAATAAAAATTGCATCAAATAACAAACATATTAACTGTGCAACATTAAAGTACAATGTTCAAGAGTTAAGGATTGCACAAAAGATGACACTTAAAGGGAATGTACAACATTTGCTTTTGCTGCAATTTTCAGAAATAAATGGATTTGGAGGAATAGTATGTTATAGCCAATATTGTTACACTGACTTGTTTCATGTTTTGGGTTCGTATATATGCTGGAAAAACCAAGAAACCAATCATATTCTTGTAGTCTAGTTCCCCGACCCCACTTAAGATGAAACGGAGCAATTTATAGACTTTGGGGAATTGTAAGATCAGAGAATCAGTCTAGCAGGGTTGTAGTCTTCACAGGTGTGTAATCAATTGCACAGAAAATGCAGATGAACTAAATATAAAAAAAGGAAGGAGCACTTTTTGAAAAAAGCTCGTTTTCTCCAACGCTGGTCGGCCGACCAGCGTAGGAAAATTACAGTTTTTCTTGAAAATGTCAGCACACCAGGAGCCACAACTTTACTGGATGCTTTAGACTGTCATTCCCAAACAATCCAGTAAGATATTTCGTGACAAATTTGATCATTTCGTTTTTTGATGTTTGCAAATGTTGTATCTTCCCTTTAACAACCAAAAAAGTATACCGGTACTCAAATAAAATGTGCGAGGAAAACAAAGCAGAACATGGAAAAAACAAATATAAGAAATACATTTAACATACAGACAGAACTACTGTCATCACAGGTAGAGGGGAAAAAACTGCAGTGAGCAATATAATTGCATAGCAATCTACCATACACCCTTCATGTATACCGCAAAAACACACCTCTGCATGGCAATTGGAATCGTAAACCATGCAAAGGGGAAAGTGCTCATTATACTGAAATATCAGTGATGTGGTACACGGTACCCTGTGGAGACATGCATTGTGCATAATAGGGAACAAAAGATTGTATGCGTTGCCACAGGGCAATTTCTATCGGCGAATGTCTCCACAAGGTTTAACAAAATAGATATATGGATTTTACTCAGAAAGTAGGAATTTCCAAGGTGTGTTGCTCAGTCGCAAATTGAAGTATTTTATGTAAGGGATATTAAGTCCAAATTTCAGCCCAGGAAATTAATTCTGGTTAAAATAGGAGAATTTTGAAACCACAGTTTCAAACTCTAAAATTTTAGTACATGAGAACAAAGAAATGACTCCACAAGGATACAAATTCCAGTATGTGTGGTTTAAAAGTGTTGACATAAACTGTTAAATGTGAAAAAAATAACATGCAAAAGATACCTAAATGTTTGGGTTGCCTGCACAGGGTGACAGGTGGTGCAAAAAGAAGGAAACCCACTTTAGACAGCAATTTTCACCTACTTGTTGAGCATATTTCAAAAATTCAATTTAATGGTATTAAAATATTGATCTTGAAACATAAGTCAAGAAATGAAAATGATTGCAAATGCATATTTTGTCTCTGAGATATGGTAGTTTTAAAATTTCATGTGCCAAACCTGTTTGTCCACGGACGGCTTTGTTCCATTCGCTTGACTGAGCTCCGGAGCTTGATTTGAAGAAAAACAAACAACTACACTAGACTTACGAGTGGACAACAGTGATTTTGGTGACTTGTATTCAAATTAGCATAATAACACTATTCTTGCAATTTTTTTGAAGATTTTTTTCACCTCGCATGGTTGAAGAGCTATACTTCACTACATTATAAAAAAAAAACAGTTCAAATACCTTAAGTAAGCACCGTAGGTTAAAATTCCTGTCAAAAGTGGGTTTCCTTCTTTTTGCACCACCCTGTATGTTACATGTTGGTGAAATTAACCATCTGAAACTGAATCCTAGCTGTCATTTTTTTTTTTAAATTTAGTTTTTTTCTTTCCTTTCTCTTCTTCCTGTTTTTTCTTTCTAGGCTTTAGCTGAAGAAGTCAAACAGATGCACGGCTTGAGAATATCTACATCTGTACCAGAAAAGACCGACACAAGCCCCAGGTGATAAACGAAATGGCAGTGTCGGTGTTTTCCTGTAAAAAAACCAAAAACTTTTAGAAAGTGTGTGAACAAAATCTCCACCTTGACAGCTGAACAAAATGCGGCCGTAATTTCACGGCTGCAAAAATATCGGCACCATCGAAACTAACTGCCTTTTTGGAATGTACATAGGGATACATGTGAATTTTTTTGTTTTGCCGAAAGAACTTGTACCTTTTTTGTGATCTGTGGACAGAACTTTAAATGGCCTTTGTGTTCAAAACTCCGTAACTTGAAAAGGACGTGGGTGATTTGAATGACTCTTGTGCTAAAAGAAAGCTCGTTGATTGGGTTTTCTTATCCTACTGGTAGATTTTGTGCTACAGGCAAAACTTCATTCAAAAATTGGTCCTGCCATTTGGGATGCATTTGTTTTTTACTCACCCTGTAGTTCTGATTCCTTCGATTTGAATATTGGAAAATTTGAGCAGTCTCGAAGAGAGAGATGATGAAAAATGAATCCGTTGTGTGGTTCAATTGACTGTCAAATGCCACACTTTGGTTGACAACCATTATCGGGCATGGTGTGAGAGCGTCCATGAGGAATTTTGATTCAAATTTCTTCCTTAAAATCAGTCAAATTTCAGCCACCACTGTACCTCAATATTATTTTGATAAGCTCTTTGTCAATTTTGACGAGCCCAGATGCTCTAAAATCTGAGTGCCAGCCAGCATTGACTGGCACATGTTTGGTTTGAATGATTGAATACTAAACTATTCCACAATGCACAGCCCTCTAAAAAAAATGTATTCTGTTCATGTGTGCTTAATACGACTGTACTTTTCGAAGATTTCTGCTATTGTATTTGGGATCAAAGTGCAACCACTGACTGTCAAATGGTACCCTGGGCTAGGCTCTTTCAATCATGTCTCCAATGGATTGTGTGAAGTAGTTCTCACTTGCGCCAAATTTCCCTTTTGTTTTTTCGTCGGAGCCGTTAACACCAGCACCTGTTCAATATGAGTCTGAGCCAACAGTTTGTCGATCATTCCTGGAATAAAACAAAACGTTGCCAAGATTTTTTTTTTTTCTTTCAAAAGAGGAGAATAGATTTTTTTGGCAGCTGCGTTTGTTGAAGTATAGACTCTCCCTCTGCATCCTGTTTCAAGAATACCCCCCCCCCTTGAAAAAATAAACAAATCATGGACATTGGAGTGAGGCTGGTGATGTTTTGTGTGAATGTGACTAAGAAAAAAAGATGATGTATTGTGGCCATTGTTAAGATCTGACGACATGTAGGTCTGCAATTTGTAACACGCAGACAATTTTTTTTGGCAGTGGGCACTTGGTTTGAGTGACAGTGGAAATGCAGCCTCAGATAATTTTTCCTGTGGAAAATAAAAACGTTTATTAATCTTTATTAAAGGGTCCCCAATATGAACTTTCTTAGGAACACATTTTGTGCAACTTTCTACCTCCGCTTCAATGTATGAAAACTATTTGACATCCCTTTGTGGTTAATTTTATTGAAAAGTGCACTAAACATTTAAACGCCTCCCTGAAAAGAATTCTGGATCCACCCTGCTAGCCCCCCCCCTCCCAAAAAAATATTGGCTCTAGAACCGCGTCTGATAATTGTGCCATTAAAGTTTTTCGATAATATTATATTTCCATATAGGTTAATCCCTTGTGATTTTTTAATAATAAAACTATACAGTAGTCAGTAGAGGATGTGACTGTGTATGTATTTTCGTTAAATAGATGTTTTGTACCTCATTTCGTTTTTGTTTCACAAATATTATCATGAATCACACGACCGGTTTCCAATAGCCACAGCCACATCCGGGACTGGACATTTTTAATTTAACCTAATAGTTATCAATGAAACTGCAGAGAAAATTAAATTTTAAGTTTGGGTTGGCCTGGCCTGGATTGTTTTATGTTGGTGCTTTTGTTACTCGCCATGAAAGGCAACGGTAAGGGTGAATGGGATTAAACATAAAAAGACCCCAAATGGTGGATAACTGTTAAGAACTTAACCACTTCGCGCCGGGTTTTTCGCAAAAGACAAACTATTCCAGCCAACCTCTGATATAAGCCAAACGCCACAAATACTGATTCGGATCGTACGAGTCATTTCAACAGTATTTGTTGAAAATATGGCCTGCGGTAAAGAAAAAAAAAAAGACAGTCGAGATATGGAATATCGTTACATACACATTAAGTTCTATGATATCTAAGCAATTCGGCAATTAATTGTGCAAAACTTGACCTCCAGATTCTGGCCATTCAGCGGGCGCCTTCTTGAAGTTCTGTCTGGTCTTCGGTAACGTGTTGTGTTACAAAAACATGGCAGCCAAATTGACCAAAACCTGCTCCAGACCAGGGTTGAGATTTTCAACCCGCGTTGAAATTCTTGCCAGGGTTCAAAACATTAGTAATTGAGCATGATAAGTTTGATTTGCATGAAACAAGTGTGAAATGATGCGGGGTTGAATGCAGGGTTGAACAATCAAAAACTCACCCGGGGCGGCACTGGGTTCGCCCAAAGTTGAGTTCAACCCAGGTTGAGAGGCTCTAGTGTGAAAAGGGCTTAAAGGGGATATTCCATAAACTAAGAGCTCGCTGGTGAGAGGGGAAATCACCATTTCTGTCTGCACTTTATTTTCATAAAAATGACGACATGTATACAGACCCAACTTTATAAGTCTACAATCTTCCGTTTCCGGTCTGTGGTATAACGAGAATTTGGGCAACGTACGTGTTCTTATGAATGAAGTACCTGGCTTTTGTGTATACAACGTAAGGACTGCACTAACCACCACCAAATTTAGCCTCGTTTCCTGGTCTAGTAGTGTAATAGATTTGACGGAAAACTTCCCCTTGTTATAGTTGGGTGGTTTATATTTATATAAAAGTGGCGCCTGGAAGTAAACAAGCCGATTTGACTTCCCCCACATTCCTCAAAATGTGACAACACATCTGGTGGGAAGATTTTTTTAAGAATTTGGGGAAGTGGAGGTGGATCGCCTGCGGGTCATGTCAGACTGCCATTTCTTTGGGGCCCGCGGCATGTCAAGTTGAAATAGCTCCGAAGTAAATTAATAGTATAAATGATATTGCGCAACTGTACAGGAAAAGCCACGTGGATGAAGTCGGTTTCAACATAGTTTCACTATGGTTTCACCATGGTTTCAATGACGTCAGACGTCTTATGAGTCATGAATATTTTTAGCATTTGGTATTTTAGTCTTTGGGTGTATACTTACAATAAGGCGGGGAAGTGTTTAGCCTTGGCAGCTAGAGGTTTGCGCTCTCTGAGTGCTTTCTAGTTCTCAAAGTGATGACTGGCCAGTATGTGGGTAGTCATAGGCCCTTGCCCTGGCGAAGCCGACCATGGTCTATTAATTATACATAAAAAGATTCGGCGATTAATTATGCAACTAGAATGCGTATGACCTCGAGAAAATAACCAATCAGCAGGCGCGTAATTCGAGCCTCCCGCGTGCGTAAACATCACGCCCACGATGAGTAGCTTTTTTTTTTTTTACAGATTGTTGTGTTACAAAAACGCGGCATCGAAATTGACCAATCACAATCTTAGTCCTGATTTCGGAATGAAATGACGTCACGCATAGGAATTGGTCATGGAATTTAGATAAAAGCCCAATTTTGTCCTGGAAAAGTCTTGGAAAATGTATGGGAATTTCTTTACACCAAACAATGCTGTAAGTGCAGACGAAGTTTGCCATTTCCATTCAGCTGTCAAAATGTTCCATGCATTGACAGTGAATTCAGTTCGACAGATTCCCGAATATTTCGCGCAGTACATGAGCTAACGGAGAAACTACAGGCCGAGACAATCTTAACGCAGATTGTTGGTGCTTCGGCTTTCAATGCGGACACGGGTTCGAAAACCTCCCACTCAGGAACTCTTTAGTCGAATCAGAAATTGCACTTTCACGGAATCGCTTTCGGACGTTGTTATTAAGTCCTGTTATCTTTTGGTTTTTATCTCCTAACGAAAAGAAAAATGTAGCTTTTAATCACAGTGTCTTTCATTCCACTACAAATGTTTATTTTCTGGGATCAAGTTTTCTTTCCACTGTAAACTTTAGGCTTATGATTTTATGAATAGCTAACATTCCAAGATAATCGTGACTTTGCGATTTATTGAGGAAAAAACCGTAACGAGCCCGTGGAAATGTTTCCTTAAAAGTTATTATGATCACTGGCCTGGCTTTTTTCGGCAAGACGTCATTCAACGCGCATTCTTCAAAGCGGGGAATCCCCACGCCCCCTCCCTATTATTATACGAATGCCATGCTAGTACAATGTACCGTGTGTGATGAGTCATGCATGTCAGTATTCAGTGTACAAAAAGTACGCCGCACAGGCACGTGCTATTTTTATCTCGTTTGTACAAACCGAGCGGGGATTTTCCCACTCGTGTCCCATTTTTTTCTGCGCGAAGTGAAAACCGCTTATAAAAACGTCTGCGCCGTGCCGTATGCCGGCAGATTGTCAAAACATGGTCCGTGCTGCGTAAGTCTTGTGTGATCGATGTTGATGACCTGTAGCAACGAACGGGAGAGATTTAATTACAAATGTTTCAGCCAATGAGACGCCTGTAAAAATTGCACGAGGAAATGTCCATGAGGAAATGTCAATGAAAATGGTCAATCGGTCATAGTGCTAGATTTCTCAGCGTCTGCTAGCGCTACACTACTAAGTGAGCTCATCGAATGTAGCTGAACTTTCATAAAAACCTCAACAAAGCCTAATTTTGACAGCGAACACCCTCACCAACTGTTCTCCAGGGGGTTATTATAAACTCATTCTTAGGGTCATCATGGATGCAAATTTGGCAGTGGATCTGTTCTGGATCTCCGCGACCGTCAACGCTAGCACGGCGCTGTTCTTTGCCTGGCGGGGGCTGGCCGGCTGGGCCACGGGCCGGTTCGCGCGGGAAGCCGCGGACGGTTCGTGGCGGAGGTCGCTGTTCGTTCTTCAAGACGAAAAGCCGTGGTGTCTTGCCAGATTGTAAGTGATGTGTTGATGTTCGATTTTTATTTCATTAAATCAATTATACGTATGATATATATATATATATGTTTAGAATTGCAATTCATTTAAAATACTAATGTCCATGTCCTATTTTGAAAAACAAAATCATTTTATAAATTCAGCTTTATGTTCACAAAGAATTTACGACCATTACTTTTCAAGTGAAAGAAATCAAGCCATATTATACGATTATTAGATCTTCCTAAAATGTGTTTCCATTTTGTGCGACACGCGATGATATTGTTAGAATTAGCCCTAGGTTTGACTCTGTTTTAGAGTTTTAAACTCACTAAATCGGTTGCATAAATTATTCTAGGCCATATTTTTTCGCAATATCTCATTGAAAAGCTCAAAACTGATCGAATATCATTGTCTTTCGTTGCACTGCGCACAAAATACCCCGAGATGACATTTAAAATGAGAGTTTTTAACAACTTTGTATCATACTGTTAGAATGTTTGGATGCTTGCACTTTAATTATCACGAATAATATAATTCGATAAATATGAATACTTCTTTCAAGTGATACAGTATAACAGAGCACCTTGTAAAAAGTGCGGTGCGTACGTAATTTTTGTTAGTGCAAAAAAGAAAAAAAAATGTGTGTGTGCCTGGACTTTTAATGTCAGATTTCGGTTTTTAATCCCACATAAATAAAAAAGCCATTATAAAATTATGTTGCTTTGTTTCTACTTAAAGGGAAAATACAACATTTGCAAACATAAAACTACCAAAAAATAAAACTACCAAATCATTTTGAAATACCTTGCTGGACTGTTAGTGAATGACAGTGTAAAGCATCCTGTAAAATCATGACACCTGGTATAATGTCATTTTCAAGAAAAGCCGTATTTTTGTATCAATTTCCAATGCTGGTCGGCCGACCAGCGTTGGAAAAAACTGGCTTTTTTTCAAATACTGGCCCCAATTGACCATCACACTTGTTTGCAATCGATTACACACCTATGAACGGGTACAAGCCAGCTAAACTGGTTCCCTGACCTTACAATTCCCCAATGTTTGTAAACTGCTCTGTTTCTTCTTATATGGAGTCAGGGAACCAGACTACAGGAAAATGATTATTTTCTTGGTTTTTATAGCATTTTCAAACCCAAAACCTCATAAAAGTCAGTGTAACTATATTTGCTACATATTTCCAACCCCCCAATTCCATCCATTTCTGAAAATTACAGCAAAAGCAAATGATGTATATTCCCTTTAAAAGCCGGACATTGTTTATATAAAGTTCAATAAAGATTTTTTTGTTTTCCAAAACAAAATTGGGTCGAACACGATTGCCATAAAGAAATGTAAAACCACCATTGGAGGATCAAGTAGATAGATTCCAAGGAACCCGGATTCGCCTGCCGCGCCCGCGCTCCTGCATTAATGAATCAACGTCCGGCCTATATAGCATGGTTAAAGTACTATTGACGGTTCTTTGCCAATGCGTGATATACTGTTTGAATAAAGGCGGGGGGGGGGGGGGGGGGGGGTCGGGTATGTGTCAAACTTTCCGATCGCTGCTATAAAGTGGGAAGTTATCCAGAGAAATTACGATCCAATTTCAAAGGGGAAAGCACCCACAAAAAGCTTCGTCTTCACGGTCGAATGGCTCGGGACGAATTGAAAGATTTCGAGTGAATTAGGAAGGGAAGGCTTTCAAAAATGGAGGTCCTTTTCCTGGCGTTACAATAGACTAACAACAATCAGCCCAAAATGTCGCAATCAGGGAAATGACGTCATTGTCTGTAATTACCCGGTTAATGCCCTTGGTATACTGATTCCAGGATGACTATACGGATTTGAGCGTGTACCCTGTGGAATTTTTTTTGCATGAACGGGAAATGAGTTGTGTTTCTCAGTTATCAAAATTATAAAACAAACATCATCAATAGTAGCATTTGGGGATTTTTGTGGGGGATTTCGTTGACAGTCACTTTCGGTGATTATTTCGTCATTCAGCAGGCATTCTTTATTAAAATCACATTTTCAATTTCGGAGAAATGAGACTACAGTTAATGAGTAATACAGGATGTGGTGAAACTTTAGGGTATAAAACGAAGAGAAACAGCTTAAAGTTGGTAAATACGTGCTTTTTCCAAATTTCGATTTTCTTTTCCGAACGAAATTTAAAGGAATAAAATGTTAAAAATGGCGCGCTAGCTCCAGCTCACAAAGTGCGCACACTATAATTATTCAAAATGAATTAGGAGCGACCCGCTCTTAATTCAAAAGTTGAAATTGATTAATTGATTTCTTGTCAAGGGTCGATTATTTTCGTGCGATGTCTCATTGGAAAGCTCATAACCTATGTAATGCTAGAAAATTATCAATTCAATTTAAAAATCTACTTTTTAAGGTGCCACACCCAAAAAGCACGTAGGCCTATACACCAACTTTAAAAGTGAAAGGTGTTTATTGTAAACAATTAGTATTGATAAAGACATTTACGATTCTTGTTTGTTTCATTTTCCATCTTTTCAGTTCGCTGATTCTTGTCCAGTCCTTCGTCCTGTGTTTTGCGGCATTTGCCCTCCTACTTCAGGGCGATGTCCTGCAGAATCCGTTCCTTGGTCTAACCACCTCCGGTCGAACCTGTTTTGCCATAAACATCGGCTGTTACATGTATCTCCTGATTCAGGATGCCTTACTGCAACGCCATCTACCCAACTACTACATCACCTTCATGCACCATCTGGTAGCAGCCGTCGTCTACTTGGTCTTCCTGGAGTACAGGCAGAACGCCCTCAGCGGCACGGTGGGGTTGTTTTTCGCGGCAGCCGCGCCATTTTTCGAACTGTCCGACCTGTTGAAGGAGTTGCACGTGGAGCAACACCGCTCGGCGTGCGGGGTCAGTTTCTTCCTCAGTGGCCTCTTTGCCCTGGTCTTTAGACTATTGCTGCCTACTGGCTTCGTAGTATACTCCTACGTCGTCGATTCGCCCTTCACCATGGACATCCTGGTCATGTCTTGCTACTTCCTGAGTCTGGTCTTCTTCGGGATGCTGAACCTCTGGTTCGTGTACTCCGCGGGGAACTCCCTGCGCGCCCACTACCGATCCAGGTCGGCCTGGTTGTACATGCGCCCGCTCCAGTTGGGCAAGCCGCACGGGCTAGACGTCAGGCAGGCCCGATCCAGCAACACGGCAGCGAGTTTCACTCAAGCGAGTTTCACGGCCAAGCGCAACGACTTGAACTTACTCGCGCCTTGCTCCAACACCAACCTTGCCTCGAACACTCTAACGGCCGGGAATCTAACCAACAGTGGCAAGGATTATCACAAGATGGACATAGCGGCATTCTTCAACACGCTGGGCACAGCTCCGAGTTCTGAATGTCAGTCACCGCTGAACAATACTCCAGGGTCTATCGAACTGCAAGCAGGCCTAAACCAGGCGCAGGACACACCAACGAGTGCAGCAGCTAGTGAGAGTGAAGCTACGATATTGTCTGAGGTCTAGATGCAGACATTGTCGGTAGAGCAGTCGAAGTAACCATCAGCATACCTTTATTCTCTTGATACACTTACATGAGAAAAAAGCAGCAGTGCCAAAATGTATCAAAGCACAAATCGAGCTCTATAGTTATAAACCTGCAACATGAGGCTCTTGTCGCCATCTCCTGTCGTCTTCAATTTTTGACACGTATCCCTTCCCTTCTGATCGCATTCTTACCCTTTCTTACAGCCAGCCTGTATAAAATATTCTGTAAATTGATTCCTTCCCCTTGACCTAAAGTCAGCGAGCTGACCGTTGTTGGTACACAGTTCCGAAGCGCATGTAAATCGATGCGATACCGAGCAGTGAACCAACTATAGTGAGTTGTGTCCTACTGTTTTTTGGTTTTTAGTTAGGGTATACGGTGTAGCATGAGTTTAGGTTTTATGAAATACGGACACATTGGTGGTATTGCGCATGCTCATACATAAATAATTAGGGAGAGGGACCGGTCACGTGAGAGGGTTTAACCAATAAAAGGAAAAAGAGTCCGATTTTCATAGAGTCCAATTTTCATATGACACCGGACGTATATCTGCAATGTCGGTATCCGGTTGTGAAAACTCCAATGATTTTTTTGGTTCATTGAAATCAATAGAATATTTTGTATATAGCATTCACATTCCCTAACTTATAAAGACTATAACTTAAGAGACAATTATATTTTATAATGTACAATTTTAAAGGGCTTTACTTTTGTCAGTTACGCAGAATTAAGAATCCTTTAACTTCAAAAGCTGGTAGTCTTTCCTTGTTAGCTCACCCCTTTCCGTTCCGTCCCTCAAAATATCCGTACGTCTTTCTAACATCAGTGTTGTTACTTCATAAAATTGGAGCGACATTATGTGAGATGCAGAGTAGTCCCAAAGTTCTGTTCTGTAGATAATAGCTCCAATGATTGTTACAGCAGAGTGGTGATAAAATTGTTCAGTTTGGTGATAAAAGCATGAAATTTGTCACACATGTCATGGGAAAGATATTTGGCTAAAGGGTCATCGCCGCTTTGTCCTTTGAAAAAAAAATATCATAGAATAACAAGCAATTTTCAAAATTTTCCAAATGGCAGCCATTGCATGTTATCCTATGATATTTTTTTTCAAAGGGCAAATCTGCGATGGCCCTAGAGCCAAATATCTTTCCCATGACATACTCTGATTGTGTGCCAACTTTCATGCTTTTGTCATCAAATGAACAATTTTTTTCACATTTGTGCACCAATCTGCTCGACTATGTGTGAAGGCACTCGCTGCACCACTATTTCAAGAAGTGAAGCTGATGCACATTTCAATATCTCGCCTCCATTAGTTTGGAGATTTATTTTTATCCCGCTAAATGCAACTAGGTCCTAGAAAACCAAGCCCAATTGTTACAAATCCAATTACCGCCATTGCAGACGGCTTTATAGGTCTACCTGATTACCCTAATGAATGTCAAAAAATATCACTAAGTTATAACTCCTAATGACCTTATTTTATACTAGAATTGTCTGTAAGGAAGAAGGCTTACATATTGTATACGAGACCACAAACAAAAACCATTAATGAGATAGTACCACACCTATGCACCGCACGGATGTTCAACATACAAATTGCACACGGCATGCCAAATTTATCAGGCAATAATGGTACAACCTAAGTAACGGCTCCTTATTGCGGTGCTCAAATTAAATAATCCAGAGTTCTATTGCCCAAATCTTTCGTTTAATTTGTACAAAATATGACCCTGGTTTCGTCAGACCCAGTAAATAGTCTTGGATTATTTCACCAACTGTACAAAAATGCAAGTGATTATAGAACAAACCATATCGTTTATGTATGTTTAAATCTACAAAAGGGAACGCAATATGCAAAACGGTAGATGAATGCTTATAATAAGCTTACATGTAATACTAAAGGCAGATGTTCATTAACAGACCGATCCATTATCCGGTTCGTAAGTTTGACGTCATTTCAACTTAATCATGCGTACTGCACACGGTGCACCATTGGAGCCAATCTCGGAACCGGAAAGTGAAACTGGAGTACTTAGCCAATGGGCGCTAGTAGTGTATGACAAAGTCACTTACGAACAAGATTAAGCCCCGCCCAACGAAGCTTTGACCAATCGCAGCCTTCATTAATGTCCAACGTGCGTGCACAAGCGTCTGATGCGCGTGCATATATCCATGCGCGTATAATGCGCGCGGCTATATGTAGAGTGTGGCATTGAAGAGGATAGGAGCACGTTGATTTTCCCACGTGCGAAGTGGGCGGGGCTTAATATAATCACAACCAATCTTTATACTCGACCAAATTAAAGGCCAAGCCTTCAATTTGAAAACTTTATTGTATGTGCAGTCAACATTATAATTCTGTCTGTCTTTCAAAGATAACTTTGTGCATTTTCTTAGTGTCTTCACTCATCAGGCTGGAATAAATGCAAGTTGAAAATGTCAAGGAGTGTTTATCATTTATTTGATTGTTGGCAGCATGGATTTAGTAGGGTAGAATTTTTGTATGTGCAGTCAACATTATAATTCTGTCTGTCTTTCAAAGATAACTTTGTGCATTTTCTTAGTGTCTTTACTCATCAGGCTGGAATAAATGCAAGTTGAAAATGTCAAGGAGTGTTTGTCATTTATTTGATTGTTGGCAGCATGGATTTAGTAGGGTAGAATTTTTGTATGTGCAGTCAACATTATAATTCTGTCTGTCTTTCAAAGATAACTTTGTGCATTTTCTTAGTGTCTTTACTCATCAGGCTGGAATAAATGCAAGTTGAAAATGTCAAGGAGTGTTTGTCATTTATTTGATTGTTGGCAGCATGGATTTAGTAGGGTAGAATTTTTGTATCTGAAGTCTTAAACAGAAAGTCATGAGTTCGTGTCCACAAAACAAACTTGTGATGTTTGTTCTGCCCAGCACCAAGAAAACCCTGAATATACAGTACTTATTTATTCACATCAGTGAAGGGCAAAACCCAATATAAATTAAAGCATGGATTTAATTTGGTGCAATTGTTTTTTTTTTTTTATTTTTTTTTACCGAATCACGATACAGGAAGCAAGTTTCCGACTCAGGGCTTACTATTGGAAACAAGGTTGGAAGCAAAGTAAGCCCGGGAAGGAGGTTGCATTTTCCCTGACCACTTTACCCAGGTTTTCAACAGAAAAATATTTTAGGGTAGACTGAGAACCAGAAAAACCAAATCAAAACAAAAGGCAATCATAAGCTCTTATTGATACGCACACAATTCCTTCTTTGCAAACTGAAGTTGCTCATAGTTATATACAACAATTATATAAATCTGTTTTGAGAAACAAACAAAAATACAGACTATTTAAAAAAATGCTACACACCATAGATACAAAACTTTTAAATAGTTCAAATAACTACATAAAATTTAGATATGTTCAACTTTGCCATGATATAAGTTTTAGGAACAATTATTCTGTGAAAGTGTTATTGGAGAAAAAAATTAAGTGTTCAAAATTAATTGTTTGTCAATGGAAATTGAGGAGGATAAACAACACACGTAATTAAGGGAATAAGCTTTAAAAAAAAAAAAAAAATTATATACATTATCACCGATTAAGTGTACCACTGGGACTTGATTGAATTAAAAAACAACGTGATCTGCGGAAGGCACGTGTTGCCTTTTTTTGCGGTCGATCCCAGCATGTTTTTTTGTTCTTAAAGAAAGGGACATTTTGAAACCAACGACAAAAAAATGACCCCTAGATAACCTTTGAACCCCAATTTCAGAAGACTTGTGATGAACCCCCACCCAAGGATCACTCCATGAAAATCCATCAAATTCTGTGACAAACATTCAAAGACCTCTAATGACCCTCTAATGACCCCTACATAACCTTTGACCTCAGTAATACGATGAAGAATTGTGTCTTCCCACCCAAGGGTCACTGTATCCAAGTTTCATCCAAATCCACGTAAGCACGTAGAAGTTATATACTTGTTTCAAAAACTTAACCTAAAATTTAGCATGCAGGGATAAGGCCATTCGGACAGTCCAGTGGACAAAGTTCCTGGGTAGGAGCATTGTTGGCCTTTCATCCCTATTTCTAAAGATTTCACTTGTGGGGTATCGTTCCCTTTGTACGAGTACCGGACAGGTAGCTCTGGCGTGTACGGTCATACAGAACTTAGGATTGGTAAGTGTCAACAAGAACTTGGTTTAGGGGACACAAAAAGTAAATTACAAATCAATGACAATTCAAACCACATTTCTTTGCTACATCTTTCACAGTTTTTTCCCCTTCGTTGAAATTGGCACGGACTGCTCTGAATGGACAACGAAAAATATTAATGAGCACATGTAATTTAAACTAATGGTAAACTCATTTCGTACTATGATTGGTTCTGAAAATAATTGTAGCCTAAAATGAATAATTTGATTGAATGACCCAACTTCAGATTCCCTTATTTAAAAAAAGTTGCATATTAATAGGTCAGATCATGAGATACAATAAACAACAAACCTCAACTGACTGTTAAAGCTGCATTCCCCGTGCTTTTCAATACATCCATTTTTTTTCTATTACCCACTTGACGACCAGATTATTTTTGGCCGACAGCAACATTTTTGAAAAAGTGAAAATACATTGGCCATATTTTAAAATCAAGTCGAACACACCACAAATACTGACTCTTGAGAGTCAGTTCTGCGATATTTGTACGGTACTTCTCACCGTAACTTTATATTTTGCAATACTCTGAGGCCCCGTTACCGTCGAAGCAATATTTGCTACGACGGCAGGCCGTGTACAGCGGCCAAGCTTAAGTTCAACACACGGTGTCACTGTGTACAAAAACAATGGGAACCACTGACGACTCGGGGAAAGCTTGACGACTGAACCCGTCACCCGCCCCTTCGAATATACATTGCCAGATTGTGTTTACACGCCCTCTAGTGTTAACTTGTTACTAAAGTTTCAACTTCAACTCTTATTCCAACCCCAAAAACCTTATTTAAAAAATTTTTTTGGACGTCTGCACATCTCTAAAAAAAAAAATGTGTTTTTTGCAAAAACATTTTTTTCGGGGGGGGGGGGGGGGGAAACCAGCCTTCCCCGCGAGAACGGGAATATAATTCGAAAATGTAAAGTAATAATTCAATACCTAAACATGGGTCGACGTCTTATTCAAAAGTGAATAAATTTTGTATTGCTAGAAAAATAGCAATTTAGAAAAGGATTCTATTTTTCGGGATGAAAGTTGAAAAATAGTACGGGGAATGCATCTTTAAGACTGAGTCCTCTGATTAAATCAATTGCAGACTTCTCACAGCTTAGTTCTTTAACCAGCCTTCACTCATCATGGGACTTTCATGGCCTGGGATTACGAGTACGAAGCCTGCGTGATCTCCGCACATCATGAAAAATGTCTTCATCACATTCACTATCATCGCTAGACTCCTCCGACTCGTGGAAGTCGTCATGTTCCCAATCTCGGAGCCCATCTCGCTTGAACTCCCACAAACCGTGACTTCCATCCCACTATCAAAAAAAAAATAACAGTCACCAAATTATTCAAACTGTAAAAATAACAGTCACCAAATTATTCAAACTGTAGGCCTGGGCGAGTAGTGGATTTTCCTACTCGAGTACTTGCAGAGAAATTACCCGCGAGTAGTCTACTAAATTCCCATAAAAATAGAGAAAATGGCATAATGCTTCTCACGAGTACCTACTTCTACTCATGCCATGACGAGTACTCGAGTAGATGAAAAACCAATACAACAAGGAGTACAACGAGTAGCGAACACTACTCATGAGTACTCGAATTACTAGCCCAGTACAACTAGGCATAAGGCCTAAGATGCTCCCTGCTTTACGAAGCTGTGTGTGTGTGTACGAAGGTTTGGACTAGCAAATAGATTACTAGACACCACAGCATGATTAATGCCAACACTTCAAAAAATTGGTTAGTTCCACATTTAAATTTTCACTATATCCTCCAGTAACCACTCCCTTCTCTGATGCAAATAATAGCCAAATAAAGAACAAGAACAAACATGGAATCTTAAACCACATAAATGTCCGTCTCTTACTGATGAACTGACGATGTTGTTCTCGTAGGGATGCCAGGAGACATCGCGGACGCAAGCCCTATGACCGTCCAGTTTCCTCACAATCTTCCCAGTCAAGACGTCATAAACTGAAGGAATTTCAATGCACAGTTTTAATATTAGGCCTTTCCATGTACATCATTCTTTCGTACAGGCTCCTGGAAAGCACCAAGGATATTTAGTCTGAACACAGACTCGAAATGGCGGACTATTGTGGACTGCCATTTTAAGTCCGATACCCATCAGGGCATAGTTTGTCAGGTCGACCTGTGACATAGAGGTCAACCTTATTTAAATATAACATGAGATATGTCAAATGGATAGCTCAACCAATGAAATCCACAGGTACGAAACTTCGTCAAGGCTCATAGCAATCAAAACATCAGAAGCATGAGGCCGCTGCCTGCCTCATATTGTATACACATATACGTTATGAGGTCAAGGTTTCTGGGCTAAAGATTATTATGTTAATGTTGGTATGTCTTCATAAAAATCAAGCTATGAAACTCGCTGTTTTGTCGTTTTTGACAAACACTGTAGAAAGTTTTCTGCAAATTGGACAAATGAATATTTCTGCCTAATAAATTGCCAGTCTCAAAACTGATCCTCTCGATTTTAAAAGCACATTAAGTTCGATGTGCATGTTTGGTGAGAATCTTTGGACAGCTGTGAAAGCTGGCAGGTCCTAAACGAAACAACAACTTTACTTCGTCAGTGAGGGAAACCCCAGCGAGCGACGAATCAGCATTTCAAGATTCCAAGGATATTAATTCAAAGCGAACTTACTGATGACACCACCCGTTGCACAACCACAGTAGATGTATTTCTGTAATGAAAGAAGGATATTTAAACATGATGGTAAATAAGTGATATCCTTATATTGCAATATCCTTATTTTTTCTCATGCGCAGGTGGGAGTGAGTGTTTGCATGTCAACCTGTCTCCTTAAAGCTATAGTCCATCATTTGCAGCTATCCGAAAAGTAACTGGCATAATTATTGTTGAAAAACATACTTGGTTGAAAGATAGTAAGGGGACTAAACTCCCTATGAAATTATTCTTTCTGGCAAGCTGTCATTTTGAAGTAATCAACGAAAGAAGGCCTTTCCAACGGTGCTTCTTAAGACACACCGTAGGAAAATTTAAATTAGTAGTTTGTTTTGTTATTCGGCCAAGCGCGCGAAAGCATTGGCACGACGCACACACACGCGCGGTTGCTATAATTCGTCGGATCAGTGCGCGACATCGCGTAACTGCAATCGGCTCAGTGAGAACGTGTCTCGGACGCTGAATTCAGGCCCATTTCAAAACATGATTCAGCAAATTTTGATTTGAAATTGAGATCCTAGAATGCTGTTTTTCTCGGAATATACAGCTGAAGCTGAGCTGAAACTTCATCAGGTTAGTTGCTCAGTACCCTTCTTTAGATTTTGAGCACTTTTGTTGCTTCAAACTGCACAAATTACAAATGATGGACTATCTTTAAAAACTGATTAACCCATTAGTCACTGTACCGCCTAAACCGCTCTGCATATTATTCCCTCTAGCGCCTGATTCCACCCGAGCACTCAATGGTTTAAGGGATTCCTCAGTGGCTAAACACAATTATAATTATAACAAGTATTTATGAAGTGCATATATCCACCAGTATTGGTGCTCAAGGCGCTTCATCATTATTACCCTGCTCATTGGGCCAATGAAACATTCCAAATACCATCTCAGCTCCCTGGGGAGTATACAGCTCAATACTGCCATTTCGGTGCAAAGTAGCTAAAATCAACCACAATAACCATCTCTGCCCTCACAGGTACCCATTTACTCCTGGGTGGAGAGAAGCAATGAGTGACAAAGTGCCTTGCCCAAGGGCACACGCACCATAACCCCAGGCTGGACTCAAACCCACAACCTGCAGAATTACCCGCAGACCACGAATTCAGTGCTCCAGACAACGAGGCCACGGCACTCCACAATGTAGTACACTTATTTAATGGGTAAACTTCACAAAAATGTCTTGAGCGCCCCCCTCATAAACTGAACCTGCACAGTACCCTGACTACCATAGCTCAAAGTATATGATATTCGCTTATTTACCTGGTCAGTTGTGAACGCAGGGGAGAAATGACAGCGGATGCAAGTGTGGAGCACACCGTGACCTTTGTAAGTCAGCAATGACGTGTCGCCATCGATGAAGTTTTTCCTTTTCGCTGTGGTAACATTCATTGAAAGAGAGAAAGGTAGCATCAGACAGTGATATAGTCGTGTCGTCCACAAGTCTTCACCAGATGGGGTGGGAGTGGGGTCGGGATGGGTAAGGAGTTGGGGTGAGGGTGGGAGTTGGGCGGGGTTGGGAAATGGGGGGAGGTGGGGGTTGGGGTGATGGTGGGGGTTGGGGTGAGGGTGGAGATGGGGATGTGGATGGAGGTTGGGATGGGGTTGAGGTAGGGATGGGGTTGAGGTAGAGATGGGGGTGTGGGTGGGGGTTGGGGTGGGGTGTGGATGGGGGTGGAGGTGGGGTGGGAGTGGAGGTGGGGTGGGGATGGGTGGGAGTGGGGGTGGGATGGGGTTGGGTGAGGGTAGGGATGGAGGTGGGGGTGGGCTAGGGGTGGGGTGGGAGTAGGGATGGGATGATTATGGGGATGGGCTGAGAGGGACCAGACTGATTTCACACTGCACTGTCTATGCACTTACATCTTCTGGGTACCTGTTGCCACCGGTAGTCCCAGTGTTGACCGGCGACAGCCTTCCGACAATTGGAGACGGCTGAGGGAGGAGAGAAGAACCTAAGATCCCACAGCTTGATGCTCTGATCCTTGGAGTTGGTGATCAGGTGGCGTCCATCACCCTACAATGACAACAAAATTACTTCAAAGGGTAAACGGACAAGCTCCATGGATTAATCAAAATTTTCTGGTTGTGGTTGACAACATTTCTTTGGATAAAAAAAATTATTAATATTGAAATTGATTCTGTGTATGTTACACATAGCTAGCAGTTCGTGCATGTAATTCCATTACTGATTTCTCGTCTTTGTTCAACGCTTTCTTTGAAATGTTTCAATTTGTAGTTTATCGTGTGTACTTTGGATGGATATAGATGTCACTGAGTTGAATTGAGATTGACAAACTTTGGAGTCGTGATGCCATCACTGATACGTCCATCTTTAATGTTTGCTGTAAAAAAAATCAGTGTTAAAGGACTGATTCAAATTGTGGTTCATTACTTTTTCTTTGGATGGAAATATACGTCACTGAATAGAACTGAACTACATGTACCTTGGAATCTTTGCATTTGATCCCATCACTTATAGGTCCATTTTAACCCCAACCTTGAAATTTGTTGTTTGCCTGTTTTTGATGAACTCTCGCTTTGAATTTTTTTCAATGTATCGAGACTAATGCTACTTATTGTTTTATGAAATTTGAATTGGAATAAATTCTGTTGATCATACCTTGGAATCCACACAGGTGATTCCGTCTGTGTGTCCAGCCATTGTGCCGACTGGTTCACACAGCGTGTCGCTCAGCATCCTGCGATCCCACACCTTACATAGTCCATCATCGCCGCCAGAGAAGAGAATCTGTGAGGTCTCGTCGGCAAAGCGGACCGAGTTGATGTCATCCTCGTGAGCATCTATCTGTAATGAGAAAAGGGGGGGGGGGGGGGTAAGTAAAGGAGTAAGACATGTAGTTTCCCTTAACCCTTCGCGCAGCGAGCGGGCGGTAAAAGTCCCCAAATTTTCCAAATATGGGCATATTTTTTTTTTCAATGGGCCAATTAGGCCAAGTTTCCACATAATCCACACCCCTACTATACACCACAAGCCTGTAGACTCCCATTGGCCAGACCCTAGCCACTCTGAAGTAAGGAGTGTTGAAAGACAGAAGCCAAGATGGCCCCGTAATTGGAGATCTTAGTGGCCAACCCTTAAGTGCCGCCGATCCCTTTGTGTCAACCCCTCGTGCCGCCCAGAGCTCAGACAGGTTGTAAACAATCCCTGGCCATGTGAATGACCTATATCTTGTGCATGTCCAGGCATGCGGGGGTTATTGACCTAGAAACACGTGTGGTGATAAAATTCTCCACGTAGCCATTCCGCGTAAAGTTTCTGGGCTTGAAGCTTGAAGGGTAAAAGGCACATAGAATCATTAATAAGTCAAAAAGTCTTACCCTCATTGTCCTTTTATTGATCTCTCTGTCAAATATGTACAAGAAACCATCGTTCGCCCTGAAATGGAAAAAAAAGGTAGATTTCAAAGATTACCGGTGGAATACATTAATACCACACCAGAAAACCTGAATATTCAAGACCTCCTTTTTAACATAATTCTCGCATTTTCCATTGGACTTTTATATCACATGAACAATTTTCATCCAGTTTGGTTATAAAGACATAAAAATGAAGGTATTTCTTGACCCAGTCCAATATACTTTCTAGACAAGGGTGTTTAACAACTAACCTAAAAGTTTTAGCTCTGTGAATGCTGTATGTTCAAAGAAAAGAATATTCTAAGATCTCGATTTCAATTCAAAAGTTGCTGAGTCGTGTTTTGTATTGCGTCCGAAATCAGCGTCCGGGGCACGTTCTCATTCAGCCGATTGCAGCTATGCGATGTCACGCACTGAAGCGATGAATAATAGCAACCGCGCACGTGTGCGTCATGTCAACGCAAACACAATTTCCAAAACTGGAAACGGCTTTCTTTTATTGTTTTCTTCAAAGTGACAGCATGTCAGAAGGAATAATTTCTCAGGGAGTTTAGTGTCATTGCTATCTTTAAACAAAGTAACTTTTTCAACAACAATTCTGTTACCGTAATTTCCTGCGGATAAGGCGCGCGGCGGATAAGGCGCAGGTCCCTAAAATCACCCCAAAAAAATTCAAACGCCAACAGATAAGGCGCACCGCCGCATAAGACGCATGTTTGACCGCACACAGAAGAACACCAGGCGTCACCCGGTGTCGGTACATCGCCACAAAGGGGCCATTGTGTTGCCTTAGAACGATCACACTATTCGGAGGATGAATTAAGCCGTGTCCGCACTGGACTTTTTTTTTGGAAGGTTTTACCGAGACGATAGTAAAATGAGAAATGGTCAAATGTGACCACTGTCCGCACTTGGACTTCGACACGGGAAAATATACCCAGACCGCGTGGGAGAAGTAACCGAGCTGTCACAGTGTCAGTATAATTACTCACCGTACACAGAAAACAAATCGCCGATCACATTTTCAGCCGCCGATACGCACAGTAATATTACACACGCCATTTGCATGCACAACATAATCGTTTACATGATATTATTTCATCTTGACACGCTAAATCTTGACGAAAAGGCCTGTAATTCTGACGCATTTGTGATGCACGTCGTCGAAGCCATGCCGCTGTACGATATTCCGTGCGGCAGCAGTGCCATCAGTATTCGTTGGTTCCCATCGCATGCTTACAGAATCGAAGCTATGATGTGGGCCAGGAACCAGTGACTACGGCCTACATACGGTTCCGGACCATGATGTTCCGTGCATGACTACAGTAGCGTATCAGGACGAATTTGGATCGTAGAAAATAACATACATCGGTGGAGAAAGAGAATTTCTGCAAATTAATTCTCAGAACGTGATCTCTCTTCTCTGTGTATGTATTTGTCCGTTGAAATATATATTTTAACGAGATTTTACCGCTCGGACTTGATGATACACCGCAGCGTGTTTCTACAAAATGTTCGGCCACACGTGCACTGAGGTTCGCGCGGTCTCTGTATGCATAACATGGCGCTCGGCCGGAAGTACGCTTTCCTGAGCCGCTTTTACCGACTCGCACTGTTTTCATCTTGATCTTCAGGCTTGCAGACTTCGAAGATATCCTGTACAATAAACACCCTCAACGTTCACACAATAGAACTTGAGTGAATGCGATTTTCAAACGTTTAAGTAATTCTGATTGCAGCATTTTCGGAATGAAAAAACGGCCACAAAGAAAAACGTTTGTATGACGGCATTGTTGGAACGAAAGCACGATCACTAAGGGGGATCAACGCATTGCGGCATTGTTGGAAGGAAAGCACGATCATGGGGGATCAAAACATCGCAGCATTGTTGGAATGAAAATATGGTCACAATGTCTGGAGAGTTGAGCCTCGGTTGACCGCATTATTGATTGCGGCATTGAAAGAATTCTTCACACAAAGACCGTCACTTTGAACTCAAGCGACACCAGATAAGGCGCACCTGTAGATAAGGCGCAGCGATGTTTTTGTGGTCTAGAAAGTCAGATAAGACGCGTCTTATCCGCAGGAAATTACGGTAGTTACTTTTCGGATAGTTGCAAATGATCCACTCTACCTTTAACTAGTCTGTTTTCAAATGCATGGCAGAGAAAGTGGAGGAAAGTTTTGACTGTCTGTGACATTTTAAACAATAGGAGGGTTTTAATAGTAGTTGCTGTAGCATGGTGGTGTATCTGAGGCTAAGATAGAATTTTCTCTTGAATAGTGTAGCTTACCCAGCCAGGATCTCTTTGTTGTTGCTGGAAAACTGAACGGAGAACGGACAAAAATGGCCGTCGCCGGGCTCCATGTCCAGGGCACTGTGGGTCTGGAAATCTCCACGGACGTTGCATAAATGAACTGCACGAGTTTCAAAGAATAAAAACACACGCCATTCAGCATCACATTTGGATAACTCATTCTATTTCGAAATAGATGTTCACAAACAAGTGCTTGTAAAAAAAAAAACAACCAATTTTTATTCAACACATCTACCGTGTCTCCACCTCTCAAATTACAATCTTTATAAATCCCACATAGAGGCTGGTCCTTTAGCTCAGTTTAAAAAAATTGGAACATTTTCTAAATTAATAAAAAAAACTTACTGTATTCAGACCAACTGGAGTAGATAAGGTAATTACCATCAGGACTGTAGGAATAATGAATAGAAAAACTTGTAAACTTGACGTCTTCTAATTAACAATCTTTTGATCACAACACATACTCTCTGCAAGTTCTATCAAAAACGTCCAATGCGAACACGACATTGTCCAATCAAATATCACATCTAGATCCCTTACTGTGGGAGATGGATCATTTTTGGAATCTCCAATTTCGAGGACACTTCTCCGGGAGTGAGTTTATGATGCTAAGCTGCAAAGAAAAGCTGAGATTACTCTGCATTATAAAATTTCATTTTATTTGAAATGCAAACTCTTGACGTACCTGAAGGCTGTGTCTAGTATACTCCAGCCGACATTGCGTGCCTTGATCTCCTTGAACTTTTGGAACTTGCCGCTGGTGGTGTCGTAGAGCCGCAGGCTCTGGTCCTGGCACCCGGAGAGGAAGACAGAGCCATCCTTGGAGTAGTTGCCGCAGAAGGCCTTGGTGCTAAACTGGGCCACGGTCCTCATGGTGTTGGGTAAAAACTGGGCAGAGAAATCAGTGACGTTTAAAAGTGAATAAGCTAAAAAAAAAACAAAAAAACCAGGGAACCAATTCTGGAAGTGACCAATACTTGGTACTCGGTAAACATTCCTCCTGAATTCTCCACTAGGGAGATTGACAAGGCAGCCTTCTGGAGAGTGGAAACTAATTTGAGTTTGAGTGGTTATAGCACTGTACATGTAATAATAATAATATAATAAGTTGGGAGGCTAATCATCCTTACTCGCAGCTGGTATGCTGAATTGCAAAGGACGCGGCTACAACGTGGTTGGGCCACTGGCACGTACAGGCGCCTATGGCTGCCGGCCACATCGACCCATATATTTGAAAGAAAAAACCTCCAAAAAGTCCTTTTTAAACAGGAAAAGTCTCATGCCTGGGTAAGAAAACTTGTTTTAGAGGTTTAAAGAAAACTGAGATTGTTCTTTATTAAAAAGTAAACTTTTGATTTTACCTCTTCGATACCAAGGAACGGTCACCTCTGGAGAAGGTGCCTAAGCCGCAGCATTTTCCGATGGCTCTCTGTAAAAAACACACAACAGAGATAGGAAACTGTTATAAAATCTAAATTAACAAGCACAATTTAATATTTATAGTTATTGACATTATTAAACAAGACAAAGTGAATTCAATTTCATTGTTCCAACCTCATCAAACAAAAACAGTTTCTTCAATACAGTTACAAAGACAGGAATGCATTGCCGGAAATTATCAAAAGCATTTCCAATTTCTCAGTATTAAAAAAAATGGTCAAGTCCATGGTTCGACCTTAGCGACAGTTCGCTTGCCAAAAGCGAGTCAAAACAGCGGCGAACTAGTCAAAATCATTCCTTAAGTAGTGCGCCTGGCGAGTCAAAATTAGTGCAAATAACATCTTTGTTTGTGACATTCTGGTGCAAAAATTAAAAAATTCTATTGCGGAATAGTCAAAAGGCCCGTGGACTAAATAAGTGTCTGCTTTACTAGTCTGACTGGCTAATGAAAACAAAGGGCGAACCCTGTTCAGTCCTACCTCGCTGACATGACCAAATCCAAGGAAAGAAACGAGCTGAATTTCTCTGTATGACAAGGCAGATGCAATGGAATGATCCCAATTTTGACATTTTCCAATCTCATGCAAAGTGATGATGTGCAATTTTGAGATGTTTTTAATCTCTCTTATAGTTCATATTTAACTATTTCAATGGTATTTTAAGGGTATTTTTTTCAATATTATATTTGTTCTCGTGTTTTAGGTATAACTGGATAAGTACTGTGTGTTCTATAATTTCAAGTCTATTTTATGGGACCCCCATGTAAATAAGCCTCTGTAATTGACTTTGTAGGCTATCCCAGAAAAATATCAACGGTTGGTTTGTTTTTGAAACCTTTACAAACCTTGCTAAGCATGTTGGAGACTGGTGTCACCCCTGGCACCACCCCGCTGTGGTTCATCCCGGCTTTGAATAACATCTGCTGCTTCAAATCACTCGCCTATTGTATAATAAAATACATTAAAAATGTAAAAACGCATTGTGTACAACACTTCCAGAAAAACTTTCCTCACTTGATTCTGGTTAGTTAAAGATATAGTCCATCATTTGTAATTTGTGCATTTTGTTCGTTTAAAGCAACAAAAGTGTTCAAAATCTAATGAAGGATACTGAACAACTAACCTGATGAAGTTTCAGTTCAGCTTCAGCTGTATATTCCGAGAAAAACAGCATTCTAGGATCTCAATTTCAAATCAAAAGTTGCTGAATCATGTTTTGAATTGTTTTGAATTGCAGCTATACCCGATGTCGCGCACTGATCCGACGAATTATAATAACCGCGCGCGCCTGTGCGTCGTGCCAATGCTTGCGCGCGCTGCGCCGAATAACAAAACGAACTACTAATTTAAATTTTCCTACGGTGCGTCTTAAGACGCACCGTTGGAAAGGCCTTCTTTCGTTGATTTCTTCAAAATGATAGCTTGCCAGAAAGATTAATTTCACAGGGAGTTTAGTCCACTTACTATCTTTCAACCAAGTACGTTTTTCAACAATATTATGCCAGTTACTTTTCGGATGGCTGCAAATGATGGACTCTACCTTTAAAGGGCCCATGCTATGTAATTTTTTTTAAATGCAATCCTTGAAAATGTACCTTTGTGTCCCATTACCCTTTACTTCTATGGGCCTATTCCTCCCTTTCATCACCCACCAAAATCCACCCAACGCCTCAATCCATATCAAACCGACCCCTCCCTCCCACAAAAATCCAGCCCCTCCCCATCCATAAGTAAGATATCCTCAACTGGACCTTAAATCCAGATCAAAATCTCGGGAAGACAAAAAAAAAGTGGCTCTCGGTGAAAAATTGATGACATAAGTAAAAGCCACTGGACTATAAGTTTAACTTACATCTATGGCTCTCGTGTCTGGATTGAGGTCGGCTGAAACGCAAAAAAAAAAAAAAAATCTTGGCTTTAATTGAAGGAAAGTTACAATTTTTAATATGAAATCCTAAAGTCAATTCACTTTTTTTCCCAGATAAACATATTTCATACGTCCTCATTGTTTGCAGCACAAACTTACAGCAATGTTCTGTTCCATTAAATAAGATTTTCAAAAGCTACTTTAAAAGAGTTTTGAAATCACATGATTTTTTCAAAAATAAGAAAATGTCATTCCAAGGTCTGGAATAGGGATTAAAGAATGTTTTAGAGTGAAATACACATGTTGTTCATATATTTACCATAGCAATGTTTTATAAATTACTGGCACCATTAATAGTTGAACAATTTCAGTCCCAAAAAGTTGCCCACGCAGATATCCTTTATTTTCTCCAAAAAAAAAAGTTCTTAACGTGAGCATTTCATCTTGATGGAGCATATTACTTATAGTCTTGTGTATATTCGGTAAAAATGTCATGGAAATCTGTTCATGCAAACCAGAGATCTAACAGTTTAGAAAAGGCTTCAGATTTTCCACAAATTCCAATGGGATGGGATTAAATACACAGTTCACTTAATTTACATCAGAGTGAAACGGCCCATGACAATCTGATGCACTGATAGTATAGGTGAAAAATCCATAGCCTTTTACAATCTGTTAGATCTCTGGTTTGCATGAACGGATTTCCATGGTATTTTCACTGATAAACCCAAGAGTATAAAGCTTTGCAAAGTTTTGCCTAATATTGACACACCAAATAACGTTGAATTTGTTTTTAGATGACATTGATTATTTTTTAGATCTCTGATTAATCCTTTTCAATCATTTTTGTTCACCTTCTGGGCAGCATTCTATAAATGAATCATCATCATCACTGTCCAGTCCTCCAAGATCCAATTCTGGACCAGAAGAAATCAGTCGAATCTGGCCACTATGGGAGAATAAAAAGAGAAATATGTTGATATTGGCTGCAATGAAACTATCTAGCAGATGACCTTTTTTCTGAAGTTTGAAAAACTCATTACTTTTATTTTAATTCATGTATTTGGACACATTCAGAGCATTTAATTTGGAACCATCTCTAATTTAAGACAAATTTCGTTTCTCCGAAATATCTTTGGAAATTACACCAAAATAGAGGTTGTTAAATGCCCAACTTATTTTCCCAAGGTAAGGAATGTCCTACCAAACCAAAAAATATTGTAAAGAGGCATTTTCAATTGTTTTTTTCACAGGTTGCAAAGGGGGTGCTATGCAGGGCTGTGAATTTTTGATTATTCTTTGAATTTTTGATAGTAGTCGATTATTCTACCTTGGACTCCATTGAATAGTCAGATATTTGTAATCTACTGAGTTTGACGTTGACAATTTCGTCTCATAATAATTGCTGCTGAAATGCCTGTATTTCAAGGCAAAAATATACGTAGTGGCTAACGTTATAGCAGCCATAACGTGATTTTAAACTGCTATCATTACGGTAAATTGCAATAATCACCATTGCGAATCTATATCACATTTATAACTACCAGTCCAACCAGAACGCTTCGTTAGCTTCCAAATCCCGATGCTGGTGCACCGTTCAATTGATTTTTAATTTTTTTAATTATTTTTTATTGTTTTCTTTACTTTCATGTTTTCAATCAAATTGTACTTTTTATTTTTTTAAAGTACTGCAAAAAATTTATAACTGCATATGGACGATGTGCCAGATGAAAATAACAAACGGGGTATTGAAATCAACAACATTTTCTATTGTTATTGTAACTTGTCTTGTGGCTGTTTGTATTGTGTTCCCTTCTGGGACCCTGTCACCTGAAATACGGTTAGTAAACAAACAAAAGCACGACATTTTGATGATCTCCTCGCGACCAAGTACCTTTACTTTAGTCTAGATAACCAAACGCAAAATCATGATGTGTCATGTGATTCTGTGCCTACCTTCGCATTAAATACGCCAGCATTTCAGCGTAGTCCATTTCCGAGTCCGAATCTCGTCTCCGGGCCCCGGAACTAGAAGAACTGGACGATGAATCCCTACTTGCCCTCGCATCGCTCTGTCTGGATCCCATCAGAAAACCTCCCTACCTCATTGGCTTTCATTAGTCACAAGAAAGTTTTACCATTGGAACCCCGGCAAACGGAATGATGAAGTTAAATAACAATCGATGTTTACACAAGATAAGCCCATCAAGCGCAGCACGAAAGGGCACAGCCGGCCGGTACAGCGCCATCTGTTGTTAAGAAATAATAGAGGGCGCTACGCATATTTTATGGTTCGCTCATCGCTCGTCGTACGGGTGTACGCCACCATAAACCTGTAAATTATAGTGCGCGCGAGCTCCCCCAGTAAATTTTGAATAAGAGGTCCTTGTGGCCTAGAATTGGGAAAGATTGTAGAAATATTTATGTCAATCAAGTATTTGTGACTTGCAGCTTCAAACTGAGTCGATTTTATTCGAAAAAAAAAAAAACCCGGACTTGTGGGTTATTTTGCATAGAGGCGGGGGAAGGGGGTACATTTAGACCTGGGCCCAGGGATTATACTACCGTTTAGGCCCCCAAAAAAAGTCTCCGGTTTCTGGTATGCGCGCGCGTCGCCGTAGCCATGCGCGTCGGCAAAATGAAAAAGTTTTTTTTTTCAATGAAAGATGATGTCTCAAAACCGCCAAACTCACTGGTTTGACTGGAATCCTGCTGCTGCACAATTTTAACGTGTTTTTAGATTGGGTTATGGTCGAGAATAAGCTTTATGTGGCCTCTCTGGACTCCCATATATTTGCGCTAAGTTTAGTTGGGCACCATTTGCAGTCTTCAGCCGACATTTGAAGCAAAAAAACATCAGGTAAAAAAAAAAAAAAGCCGCGTCGCCGCACCACTTTTTGGGCAAGCTCCATACCAGAAACCGGAGACTTTTTTGGGGGGGGGGGGGGGGCCTTAGGGGTGGTTTTGGGGAGGGGAATATAAAAATAGATTGAGCCAGTTACCACTAATGGGTGGAACCTTACGGTGGTGACCACTATTTGTGTAGCGCGCCCTCTATTGGAAGAAATTGATGTTGGTAAAATGTACGGGAGTGCCCTTACACACTACTTTTTGTTTTTGTCAAGTTTCATTTTTTTCTTCAACGGTTTGTGTTGAATTTTAAAACTACTGTGTTGTACATCACGACCAATTATAGGACGCAATTTGAATTCAATGCAATTTGGTTTTCTTGATTTATCGTCCCCACAAAGAGTGCTTTATTCATGTTCAATTAAAAAGTGACTTGAATTCAGATTGAATTTTTCGCGATTTGTACACTGGTTTTCTTTAAATCATATTAAATTTTTTCTTCCAGGGTTCTCGTCGATTTTCAAACTGGTTGTGTCCCATATCTCGAACAATTATTGGACGAAATTTCAATTCAGTGCAATGTGTTTTTCTTGAGTTATCATCTCCACAAACTGTGTGTTATTTTTGTTCACTTAATGTCGACTTCGTCTGGGCAGATCGTGATCCGCGTTGCTTTACGATGGTGACCACTATTTGTGTTGCGCGCCCTCTATTGGAAGAAATTGATATTGGTAAAATGTACGGGAGTGCTATGCCTTTTGTTGTGTTCATTCAATCATTTAGAAGCCTTCAATGTTAAAAAAACCCACACACACACACAAGTTCTCCATACTTTGATCTGATAGGGTAGAAATGTATGCACCATCGAAGCTGCGTTCGGCCGATGTCCAGAAAGATCTTCCAACGCTCGACGCCATGACCATAATGAAGCCGTGGCTTAGAAAACATGCTCCCACCGCCCAACGCGCAGCCCGCCACCAACGTTTAATCAAGATAATATTAGTCTGGCTCTCTCACGCTGCCAAAGTGATAATGTATATTAATATCTGTGGTAACCATACCGAATGTAAACCAACACAGTTTTCCTTGTGAATCGACCGTCCAGTTCTCCAAGCAAAAGGTTGTTTTCTATCTTAAATGTTTATGTATTTTTGTTGAAACTACATAGCTTTATAATCAAAGGAATAATATTCATTTTTGTCTTCTCTGTTACTAAATTACGCTGCTGAGTTGGTTCTCAGAAAGTGCAGAACAACGCCTTTCTTAATCTTATTCCTCCGTCATGTATGTGACTAGCCCCATAAATGTGGCCTATTTACTGGACGGGTCCTACTAAAGCGCGTCAACAAGCGTCAACAAGCGTCAACAAGTTTTAGTAGTCGTTAAGTGCGCGTCAACAAATTTTGTATAGGCCTTTGAACAATAAAAACAGCTTTATATGGTAGAAAAAGCAATAATGAACATCTTCTGCATATCAATTAAAGTTAAAATTACTTAAATAGTGGTTTTCCAGCGCGAAATTTACGACGGGTTTTTCGGTTTAGTATTGGCTGCCATCTTGTTTGAGATCTACATACTACGCATGCGTGGAGTGTACCATTCACGCATAGGGGTTTCTTTTAACGTTACGCTTAGGAATTAGGAAAACTATTTTTTTTTCAATTATAAATTATGCAAAACTTGGTCACGGTACTTGGCTAATTATTTGAAAAATATGCCGACTGACACTGTTCACAATGTCTGCCAAAAAATCCCAATGCAAAAACCAAACGAGGTTTCGCTAAGCGTAACGTATAAAGAAACCCCTATGCGTGAATGGTACACTCCACGCATGTGTAGTATGTAGATCTCAAACAAGATGGCGGCCAATACTAAACCGAAAAACCCGTCGTAGATTTTGCGCTGGAAAACCACTTTTTAAGTTATTTTAACTTTAATTGATATGCAGAAGATGTTCATTATTGCTTTTTCTACCATATAAAGCTGTTTTTATTGTTCAAAAGCCTATACAAAATTTGTTGACGCGCACTTAACGACTACTAAAACTTGTTGACGCTTGTTGACGCTTGTTGACGCGCTTTAGTAGGACCGTACTGGACTGCCTCCGTAAACATAGGCCACACGTCCACATGTACAAAAATCGTGTCGACTTTGCCAAATTTTGGGGGGATTTGATTGGAAAAGTAATTTGGAAAACTTTATGTGAACATTGGTTCTATTCCAAAATTCCAAATGTGTCATTGAGCCAGTAGTCCTATCAAAAGAGAATATCGAAATTTCAAATAAACATCTGTATGTATAATGTAGGCATGGTAGGCTATAACTTCTTGGACATGTTGGATTGTAATATCGTCAGACCATGGATGGAACTATAGGAACACACTCGGACCCCTTAGCTACGCAGTCCTATTCCCGCGCACCCACCTTCAATTTGTGTCTGACAATGCAACATTATTTTCCGTTCTTTTTATTTAATTAGATATTGTTGTTTTCTTTGTAATCCGTGGCTTTAAAGGATTTTTATTAAAAGGGAAATACATTTTGAGAACCATTTGGTTGAATGATAGTCTGGTTCCAACAGCCAAAGATCCTGACGAATACTATTAGGTGGGGAACCATACGGTTGACTGCCATACGGTAATGATAGCAGTTAAAAATCGTGTCACAGCTACCCATAACTACTAATGATAGCAACTACGATTTATTGAATGATGCCCTTAATTGACGCACTATATCATAAAAACCCTCTTTTAAGATTTCACTTTTTTTGTCACAGCTGATTAGCATCTTGCATACATTATTTTAATTGACCAGCAAACAGCTTTGTTCATGTATTGTATAAGTATCAATTCAACAAATTGTTTTTTATGCCTTACCACTTTTAAAGGGCCCATGAAATGTATTTTTTTTTTTTCAGTGCAATCCTCGAAAATGCACCTTTTTGTCTCTTTAACCTTATTTTCAATGTTCAGTTTTACCATTTTTAAGAGTATTTTGGTGCGTTTTTGGTTTTTACATGTATGCTAATGCAAATTTCCATATTCATGAGCACAAGTGTGATGTCATATCAGGCAGAAATTGATTTCTCTTGCAATTGGTTTATGTACAAAATAGTGCCAAAATTTGGATATTTTGCTGTCGTAAACTTTCTTTAACTTTTCGTGAGCAAACTGTTTTCACAAATATTTTCAATGAGCATTTTTTGGGGTTCACTATTTAAAGAGAAAAACAATTAATATGAACAGTGTCTCCCTGAAATGACTTCAAATGGCAACAGTGCCCTCAGTTGTCCAGAAAAGCAGGAAACTTTTTAAATGTAGAAAGAAGTGCACTTTTCAACAAAATTATCCAGAAAGGAATATCAATTAGTTTTCATTAACTGGAGAGGATTAGAAAGTAGCACAAAATATGTTCCTTAGAAATATTTACTTTAATTTGTTTTGTAAGACCAGTGATGTCATGATATGTAACAATGTGAATAATGTCCATATTAATATTAATTATTCTATTAATTGTGTTTGTTTTATTAGAAACAAGCAGCCGCTGTGTTCTGAAAGAATGAAATTCAAAGTTTGGATTACTGCAACATCACCTTGACCAATAACATGGCATCAGATGTGCATTCAACACAGGTAAGGAAACTTGTATTTATTATAGTGTAAACTTGGAAGTTCTATCACTGTAGTGAAACTATGGTCTCATCCCCAGCTTCGGCTTCACCTCTGGATGTTACAGAATCATTTGAAATGCCTTTGATATCCAAAAATAATGCGAATGAGGGCGGGGTGGTACCACCAAGGTTGGTACGTATGGCATTCCCATCGTGGACAGAAGCGAGGATAACTGCACACAGCAGTCACGCCGCGCTGAGGCAGTCGAGTTACGAACAACGTAACAAAACAGAGACTTGTTCATTTCATTCACACATAAAACAATCGCCCTAAGGCCAAAAAAAAAAAATATTCGGTCTCTGGTCAGACCAAAGTTTTTTGCCTTTTTTTTTTTTTGTGGAAGCTTGGATTGTACAGATAAGGTGGGTACTATTTTGCTTTTGTTGTGTCCTCATATACATTTGGGACCTCCATAATTTGCCTTGGTGCCCTCCATCATGTGCCTTGGTGCAATGTCCCCATTCCAAAAATTTGAGGAGGTGCAGCAATAGAGGGCGCTGCTGTAGCTACCGCGGACAATTTGAAAGAAAAAAAAAGGTTGACGCACATGATTAAAATCGTCGTGCGTGCTGACCTTAGACCGACTTATTATTTTTTTTGGCCTAAAGAAAAAAATCCACGCAATTTTCAGGCAGTTTTGATTTTATTTGTCTTTATTTGAAAAATATGGTTGATCACCAAATTGTTACTACAACATTTGCCTAAATAGAAACTCGTAGGTCTATCAAACATGGAAGTGATCCAAGTAAATGTGTCATGTAATGGTTGCTAAAGACGTCTGCAGAGCACATATCTGACTCACTGTTTCCTGTTTACATGAAATTTATATGTGCACAAGGTGTGGTTGGATTTATTTTGCATATTAAACGCTTTGCAAAAATGTCCTGTGCTTCACGAACTTATCGACCTAGCAGTGGTGTGAAATTGACCACAACATTAAAGGGCTCATGCAATTTATTTTTTGTCTTTGCAGTCTTTGAAAATGCTTTGTATCCCTTTAAGCTGATTTTCAATTTTTGTTTTGCCATTTCCAAGGGCCTTTTTGTTTTGCGAATTCCATATTCATGAGCAAAAATGTGATGTCATTTCAGGCAAAAACCTCAATGTTACAGTTATTTCGGCACCAGAAGTTGACAGAATTTTGTACATTTTGCAGTTGTACATTTTCTGTTCTTTGGTGATTGGTTGTGGTGTCAGCACATGGCAGTAAGCCAATGAGCAAACTTTTCCTACAGATGTTTGCATTGAGCAAATATCTGGTTCACAATTTGAGCAGAAAACCCCTAAACTGAACAGTGTCTTCCTGAAATGACATCACAGCAACAGCGCCCTCAGTTGTCTTGAAAAGCATTTAACAAAAAATGTTTGAAGAAGTGCACTTTTCAATAAAATTAACCAAAATAGGGATGTAAAATAGTTATCATACATTTAAGAGGAGTAGAAAGTTGCACAAAATATGTTCCTGATAAAAATTCATTACATGGACCCTTTAAAGACAATACAATTTTATCAGATTGTAGCAAAAAACATGACAAAAGAAAAGGCATGACTGTTAATGTTAAGAGTTCAACAATGTCCTCCATTCTATTTTAAAAGGGGTGAGATTTGTCATTTTGATTTGTCCTGATTTCAGGATTTTTATAATCAGTTTTTTTTTCTCGATTTCAAGACTTTTAAGAGAATCTCTTTTAAAATCTGGAATTCTTGAGGTTTAATGGTAAAATGTTTTTCCTATAAAAATTTACAAGTTTTGGCCCGTTTCCTTATTGAGGCTGTGGACAAAATGAAAAAGTGGCGCTTGTTTTCAATTGGCCATAACTCATTAAATATTTATCCGATTGGAAAGAGTTTTGCGTTGTTGAAAAGCTAATGAATTATACTCTCTAACTATGTATCGATATTTGCAATGTATGTTTTAAAAGCTGTGAAAAAGAGGGCACTTTGAGGGTTCCTTTTTTATGGGGGGGGGGAACACTCTGTATATCATCATTGCAAAGTTGAAATGTATTCAGTTCTTTGAAAATTGTAGCATAATGTCCTCATTGAGAAGTACATGTAGTGCAACTCTTCCCTACCCGATTTTTTATAATTTTGTAGCAGACAATTTTCAACACAATCGCTTAGTTTTCTCTGACAAAGAACTAAATAATTGTATGTGTATGTAATGTTTATATGTACATTTAGTATCGCTGTTTAGTTTGTTTTGTTATTGTAGTTTTACAATTGGCTTGTTCTCTAACACATCCACATATTGAACAGCTTGCAACAGCTCAGTGAGAGCAATGCCCAAAAGTTTAGCATCCTTTTTGTAGCTCCATGGCATAGCTAGATCCTGGATGACAAATTATTTTACCTACATGTACATGTAGCTAGTAATAGGAAATACAATGTACCATGTGCTTTTGTACTGTAAAGTACATTGTATTGGTGAATTGTTCAAGGACATTTGTAATATATACAGCCCACCCCTGATATGTAATTGTACACGGTCTGTCTGAGCTTGCTTACATTTAACATACAACATGTATGGCATGTATTCTTATGTACACTTTGTTTGTTGTGTTTACTGTAATGTATACAATCCATCAATCAGTAGAAGCCATTAAGTCCAGTGCTGTATCCTAGCAACACCTTATCAAATTTCTAAATCGGGTACAATAGGGTAGGACTTCTTTTGAGTCAGACATAAACATAATGTTGTAACAGCAAAATCGGTTATCCCAGGGTACAAGTGTAATTAGGCAAAAAAAGTTCTGCTTCGGATTACATGGCATTTGAAAATAGGGTACATGTAGATAGGTAGTGAAATTTTTTTTGGCAATTTTTTTAAATTTTCTGTGTACGATCATATGGAGGTGCCTGCGTGTAGTCAAGGGTGAAGGTACATGTACTAGGTAGTAATTGATAGTTTTCAGGTTTTTTTCCCTCATTCCCCCCCCCCCCCCCAAAAAAAAAATTAGGGTAGGGGCTGTCAAAATAGGGTAGGCAGGGTAACCGGAAGCAGAACTATTATTTTTTTTTGGCCTTATGTTAAATAACATAATTATGTCTAAAAATCTCAGTACCGATACATGTATCTGACAAATCATGCCTGATTCCAAAATACTTTTCAGAAGAAATTTGTGTCTATTTTTACATTTTTTGGAAAGATTTTTTTCTGTTCACTTTGATCCTCATCCTAAAGATCTCATGTTGCATTTACTGCAGATCAATCCACAACTAATGTTAAGTTTGACGGACGCTCCCTAATTTTTCTTATCATAGACAGATAAAAACACTCCTCCATGAGTCAGTAAATTTAATAATAATATGCACTTGTGATTATTTTAAGTTGAGTTTCAATTAAATGCGACTTTTGCTCAGGGGTGTAATTCATACAGTAAAAATTCATCCTTAAGTCACCAGAGACTTAGTCTCTGGATCCTCAGGCTAGTCTGGGTTTACCAAGATTACAAACAAGTTGTCAAGCCTCAAAATGTCTCTTCTTGAAGCGCCCTGGCCATTGGCCAATTCATAACTAGTTTAATGCAGAGTATCCGTGCTTCCTACAGGAAGCCGTGATTGTGTGTACATGTACATGTAGGAACTAGGGTACAGTTACTGCCTCAGTAAGCATTGGAGTTCTTCGTTTTACAGGATTTTGGTTATCCGATTTCACAAGCATTCAATTTAGCGGACATGTAGCAGCTTTTTATAAGCTGTAGGCCTACATTGTTTTCCAATCGTGGAATAGTCAAGGGTTAATTGTACCCCGTAGTTCGTTGTTGGTCTTACGTGAAGTGTGAACATGGCGGCGTTAACTGGACTGTTGCGGAAACTGCCCTCGTATTTCCAGTACGCTCCAGCCAGTCGGGTAAACTTGTTAGTCACTTGTAAAGTTGTATAGTAGCATGGCTAATTAGAAATAGATTTTTCATGAATAAAATTCATGAATGTGCAAAGTTAGCATTCTTTTTAATGATATATTAACGTAAACTGTGTTGAAAATAATTATGTTGAAATCTTCATGACGGCATTTTTAACAGAAAATTGGATTACCAAGATTCCGCCTTCTAGTATAAGTGAATATTCGATCTAAACGAAAGGTCGAATATTCGAATATATTCAATTATTTGAATTGACTCGGCCTTAAGAAAACGAGTGCTTTCGCAAATAACTGAATTTGTATTTGCCATTGGGCTTTCTAAAGCCACGTAAGGATCATTAACAATTATCCGGAAAAGTGCCTCAATGACAGAAACCTTGCTCAAAGTAAAGATAGAACTGGTATCAAATACCCTGTGAAATTATTTCGCCTGAATGGTGCTGTTTGGTAGAAGATTGAGATTGGAGGTTGCCGACGGACACTCTGTTTGTGTTTTTAAGTGCAGTAGCAATGGAATCCAGTTACGTGACCCAAAATATTGTGTGTATACATGTACGTTTCCTCTGTTTCCTCAAAATGCGTAGTATCCACTGAGCTGAAATTCAACAGGTTACATGTAGATGTTATGCACCCTACTTAAGTTTTTGATTAATTCTGTTGTTTCAAATGGGTAAGATGTTCAAAAAAGCAAACGGTTCTTAATGTATACCTTTAAGGTTAAAATTAATATTCTGACTTTATTCCCACAACCTCTATGATGATACTAAGCATGCAATATGAACTTAAATCTTGGAGAAATGCTAAATCCAACATAACAATTGTTCAACATATTTTTCCAAAAAATGCTACTTAAGTATTCACTTTCTTAGAGTTTAGGCACTCTCCTGAAGACGGTCAGAGCATACTGACCGGAACGTCGAGTTTATACCTCTGGTTCTTTTCAGAACCATTCTCTTAGTTGAGAAATTATTCGCACATGGTGTTTCCGCAAACCTTGCATTGTAAAAGAAAAATCCTTTGAATTTGATTTTTTTTTTTTGCAGGGGGGTGTGACAAACGAAACAGAATCACAACTCATCATCCGCAGGAATCCTGTCCCCGCAGCCAAGAAGCAACTCCCTCAGGTGCCCAAAGACGACGAGGAAGCGGTAGGTCCCGGCAGACCGTCGTCTGGGGTCCAGAGGTCAGGGGTCGAGAGGTCGGGGTCCACAACATCAGCTGAACGGGTCAGTTCGGCCACCAGCCCAAGCAACGGTACTTCCTCGTCGGGAGCCTATGGGCAGTTCTACCTGGAGTATGCGCTGATGGCTGAATTGTAAGCATCTTGGGAAAAGTATTATTTTCCTTTTGTTTGGAAGGGATTTGCTTCACTTCATTTGCATCATTTTTTTTTCTTGTTTGCAAGTTTTGGGTTCTGTAACTTCTGTTTACTCTTATAAATCACTTACAGTTACAGATTGTCCATTAACCCTAACCGCCCTGAATCCTTCAAAATCCTCTTTGCCAAAGTGGAGGAAATTGGAGGATTGAGGTTACATGGCAAATTCTGTTACTGATTTCATAGGATGCACTTTGTCAAGATCTTGGGCCGGACCTTGTGTTGTTTTTGCTCAGCCATGCATAAATATAGGCCTGGATTATGCTTGAAATCCTCCGTACTGCTCCAGGATGTCACTGGCCAAGCCTTAACATATTGACAGTCACTGCCGCAGGATTTTGCAGGATTCAGGCAGTTGTTCCCCCCCCCCCCCCCCCCCCGGTTATATTCAAGAAATAATGAAGGAATTTGCAGGATTGAGGCTATATGCTATTTTTCCATGAGGCCAATGGGAGGATTTTGCAGGATTGATGCTACATCCTAGCAAAAAGGCCTAGGGAGTTACGGTTAACCACCATGAAATTGACCCGTGAACTCGCAAATCTGATTTTAATCTTGGCTTCAATTGATCCATTACTTCCCTCTATTATCCCCCAGTAATCAGCTGCATAAACAGAAGTTACCTGGAGTTCATGTCATACCATCAGCTAAATCACCTCTCCGTAAGTACAATTTGGGCTTATGGTGCATCATTGTCGGTAGTATTTTTGCCAAAAAAGAAAAAAGGAAGGCAAGATGCTTGGACTACTGAAAACTTAAAAAAAGGTCCAATAAAATGTCTAACTTTAAAATCCTCTGAAATCCCACAGCGTGGGCCGATTTCACGAAACGCGTCTTATCTTGTGATTTATCTTATGACTTAAGACAAGTCCTCGCTCTAAGATCGATCTTAGCTAAGACGCGTCCTACGACCGATTTCACTAAACCCACCTTCAGCAAGACGCATCAAAACTACCAATTTGATAGCTGTTTCAAGTTGTTTTTACCGCTTGACAAAACCATTGTTGAAAAGAAACGCGCAAAACTAACTTCCCGTACGCATGCATAGAACAAGAACTTTCGCCAGAAAAATTACTCTACTCAATAAATTTCACGCACAAGATAGAGTCATTCTTGCTCTCCGTTTCATCACTCTATTTAAAAAAGTTGACCAAGTGTTTGCGTATAGTTATTTTTTAAAAAATAAGCTATTTTTATTAAAACTACCCATGTAACAGAAATCTTTTCGAATCTGTTTATACAGCAGTTTTCTTCCTGCGCTCGAAACTAATTCTAGGCTGACAATCGTCTTTAACGGTTATGATAGACATACAAATTAACGCATGCATTAATGAGATAAGACGACCCTCAGACCGATCTTAAGTTAAGACACGTTCCGCTGTATTGCTAAGGAAGTTATGACGTGTTGAACGCGTCTTGAGTTTGGTGAAATCGATCCCATGACGAGTCGCGAGTTAAGACAAGTTATCCTTCCTAAGACGCGTCTTAGCGTTTCGTGAAATCAGTCCCCGGTCTTGCAGTGTTTTACAGATTCAGGATTGTGTACAGCTCAGCCACCATCGCCTCACACTGGGCTTGACACCCAAATTTTGTAGGAATACACTACACGTACATGTAGACAGGATGCGCCATATAAGTCCAGTGCACTGTATTGGGTTTGCGGAAGCGAGCAAAACTTAAGTGCCACAGGAGTTTTGGTTTACCTGCAGGTGTGCATGTGTTCCTCTTTCTCTAGATTGGTTTGGGGTGCTGTTCATCAGACAGGGTCTCTATCAGGAAGGTATCTTCAAGTTTGATCTCCTCATCCCAGAGAATTACCCAGATGGAGACAGTCCTGTGAGTGTTCTTATCATTGGATGCCAGCGATATACAAATCATAGACCAATTCTTAAAGAGTCATGAAGTGAAGTTTTCTTAAGAACATATTTTGTGCATTTTTCTACTCCTCTTAATGAATGAAAGATATTTGACATCCCTTTTTGGTTAATTTATTGAAAAGTCGCTTCTTTAAACAATACAAGTTTTCCATGCTTTTCCAGACAACTGAGGGCGCTGTTGCTGTGATGTCATTTCAGGAAGACACTGTTCAGTTTAGGGGTTTCCTGTTCAAATTGTGAACCCAACAATATGCTCATTGAAAACTTCTGTGAGAAAAGTTGGCTTACTGCCATCTACCGACACAACAACAAATCAATGAAGAACAGAAAAATTAAGAGAGCAAAATATAAGGTCACACCTAGTCAACCGTTGGGCATCAATCTCAAGTTGGCAGCGCTACTATTTGGCAGCTCCACTTCAGGCTCCGATCTCTGACTTTGATCGACCTATTCTTCTGCAATTTCTATCATGATTTTTACACCAAGATACAGATTAGGAACTGCTGATCAGCATGGTTCGCCAAACTTACTGTGATATGATCCCATTTTGGAGAATATTTGGGATCTTTTTCTGGACATTGCTGTGTACTTTGATCATCAGTACAGCAGCCCACGCTCCAGCTTCCACACAACACCGATCACCAACAATAGCGATCAAGAAGACAAGCACTTACAATGGACCACCACCAACAACAGCAATCAAGAAGACAAGCATTTACAATGGACCACCACCAACAATAGAGATCAAGAAGTCAAGCACTTACAATGGCCCTGCACCTAATCCTCATGGTGAATGCATTGTGCCTCAACACCTACATGGATTAGCCAATTGTCAGCAAGGGACAGTAATGATGACTTCTGCCCAGGCATTCTGTCTTCAATTTAAGTACCAACCTACAGAGCTCTATTCCCTGTACCAAGGGCCTGATTTCTACACCACATGTCCACTCCAGCCACAGATATGCAGGAAAATCACATATTTAAACATCAGACGGACGCCTTGCTTGATTCATGCACCAGTGGACGTCACAAAAACAGATGACCCTCGAAAACGCACAACTCTACGCAGACGATCTCGTAGAGGTTGCAAAGCAGGGATTCACAGAAGGAGGCCGACTCCCCAAAGTTTGATTCCAGTAATTATTGGTTATGGAAGACAAACTTCTTTTTCCACTGGTGAATATCATCCGGACTATCTACACAATGGATCTGCGAACTGTTGCCATAGTAACCTAGTGCAGCTTACTGCAAACAAGACGGCGAAAGCAGAACATACTACCTCCTTCTGTATGCTCAATGCAAGATCTCTGAAAAATAAAACCAACGCCTTCGTTGACTTTGTTATCGACAATAAATTTGATATTGTTGGTGTCTGCGAGACATGGCTATCCGCTGACGATGATGCTGTAATTGCAGAACTCAACCCTGGAGGATACACGTTCAAGCACATACCAAGGACAGGTAAACGAGGTGGCGGTGTCGCCCTCCTATATCGGAGTGATTTAACTGTACAAATCCATCCAGCCCTTGATAACATCAATTCCAAATTCCTTTGAACTGATACAGATGGATATCATCCAGAACTCAAACGCTGTACACCTGGTCGTCGTCTACAGACCTCCAGGATCATCAACTCCTTTCAAAGATTTTCTAAATGAGTTCTCGGATGTACTGGACAACTACCTTTTCAAGAAGGCCAGTTTGATTATTTCCGGAGATTTCAACATCCACGTTGATACAACTTCACCTGAGGCCAGAGGTTTCTGTGATGTTCTAAGTGCATATGGCCTTGAGCAACACATCCGTCAGCCAACCCATATACGTGGCCACACTCTAGACCTGCTTATTTCACGGAAAGGGATCGACCCCACAGGACTGTCTGACATTGACATAATCGGTGGTATTTCTGATCACTCCGCCCTTACTTGCAACCTACATACTCCAAGTATGCGAACTGCCCGGAAGTCTGTTGTGTCACGAAACATTCAGTCTATACAACCTGCTTGCTTCATCGAGGATTTGAATGAAGCGTCATTCACAGAGAAATGCACTGTGAGCAACGCAGATCTGGCTGTCGGCAGCTACAACTCCATTCTGATAGCTACTTTGAACACACATGCTCCTGTCCAACAACGTTCAGTGAAAATTCGACCAAATACTCAATGGTACACCCAGAAAATAGCAGATGGAAAACTTCTTCGTAGGCAGCTTGAAAGGAAGTGGCGATCTTCCAAGCTTGAAATACATCGTCAGTTGTATCGCCAACAATGTCAGCGAGTCCAATCGTTAGTTCGTGCTGCAAAAACAGGGTACAACTTGAAACGAATTAACGACTGCTCAGGTGACACGAAAAGACTGTTCAGAGTTGCAAGCGATCTTTTGAACAGAAAGCAGCCTTCCCCTCTTCCAACACATGTTTTCGCTGAAGATCTAGCTGCTCGTTTCAGCAACTTCTTCACCAGCAAGATAGAATCTATTCGTGCCAGTCTGCCAGCCATCAATCAAACATCTTCGTCACGTAAAACTCGTGCAGTCTTAGACACTCTTGCTCCTGCATCTACAGATGAAGTTCGCAACATCATGGCAAGGTCACCAGCAAAGTCATGTGAGTTAGACCCGATCCCTACCTCTCTTCTAAAAAAATGTATGTCTGCCATCACCCCAGTCATCACTAACATCATCAATGTGAGCTTGGATACTGGAGTCGTTCCTGAAGTCCTAAAGAGAGCGATTGTTCGACCAACATTAAAGAAACCTGGTATGGACACAAATTCCTTGCAGAGTTACCGTCCAATATCCAACCTTCAATATCTCTCCAAAGTCTTGGAACGTGTGGCATTCTCTCGTCTCTCAGATCATTTGCAGGAACATTCGCTACTTGACAGCAATCAATCAGCATACCGTTCAAATCATAGCGTAGAAACACTTCTCACAAATTTAACGGACAACGTACTTCAACAAATGGATAATGGAAACATCACAGCCCTTGTTCTGCTTGACATGTCCTCAGCATTTGACACGGTAGACCATCGTATCCTCATCGATCAGTTATGCTCGTTGGGAGTCAGCGGAACAGCTTTGCAGTGGTTCATGTCCTATCTGACAAATCGCTCTCAGCGTGTATGCATCGGAAATGCAAAGTCTGAAGCTAGCCATCTTGCCTATGGTGTCCCCCAGGGATCAGTCGGTGGTCCTCTCTTGTTTTCAATATATCTTCAACCTGTAGGTAATATCATCAACGCGCACAACATCAAATACCATTGTTATGCTGACGACATACAGCTGTATGTTTCTTTCCCACCATCTGCCATTGCTATGTCATCCGCAGCAAAACAACTGGAGGCATGCATCAAACACATCAACACGTGGATGGACTCTAGCGGTCTAAAACTCAACCACTTGAAGTCTGAACTCATTCTTCTGGGCTCAAAGCAAATGCTTGGCAAGGTGGATACGAAGGGTTTTCATGTACAAGTGGGTACTAGCAGTATCTACTCATCTGCCAAAACTCGCAATCTTGGTGTCATCTTCGACACCAATATGTCCTTCCATGACCACGTTTCCCATGTGTCTAGGTCAATCAGATACCAACTTCGCAACCTTGGTTTTGTTCGCAAGTACCTGAGTCGGAATGCAACTGAACAACTAGTCCACGCCCTCATTTCTTCACGCCTTGATTTCTGCAACTCCATATTTGTAAGCCTCCCTCAACAACAGCTAAATAAACTGCAACGCCTCCAAAATTCCGCAGCCAGACTAGTCACTCTCACCAAGAAAGCATGTCACATAACACCTGTCCTTCAGTCTCTTCACTGGCTGCCCGTTGACAAACGCATCACCTTCAAAGTTCTGTTGTTGGTCTACCACGCAGTCCATGGCTCCTCACCAGTCTACTTACAAAACTCAATACAGGCATACCACCCCCCACGCAGGCTTCGATCATCAGACTCCTCCCTTCTTCAAGTTCCTCGATCCCGACACTCTTGGGGTGACCACAGCTTCTCTCACGCAGGCCCCACTCTCTGGAACAGTCTACCCCTCTCTATCCGTCAAGCTCCCTCTTCGATCTCCTTCAAACAAGAACTCAAAACCTACCTGTTCACATCCTAATCTCCTCTTCAGCCTGCACCTTGCAATTCATATGTCTTGAACCTAGCATTTATAATTTGTAGTTTTGTCATTTATAATTTTTGTCATTTAAGTTTTGTAGTTTGTGCTTACTCTTTGTATAGCGCCATGAGCGTCACCTAGTGATGGACCTGTTTGCGCTTAATAAGATGCCACTATTATTATTATTATTAAAATTCTGGCAACTTTTGGGTGCTGAAATAACTGTAACATTGAGGTTTCTGCCTGAAATGACATCACACTTTTGCTCATGAATATGGAAAATTCACAATTGTGAATTGACTTGTGATCTACTTGTGACCGGACTTGATAATGAATAACGAATTCCACCTTGTCTTTATATGTGCCCTTTTTCAGAGGTTAATATTTCGGCCGTCCATCTTTCACCCCATCGTCGACCCGGTCAGTGGAGAGCTAGACGTCCAGAGAGCGTTCACCAAGTGGAAGAGAAACGTCAACCACATCTGGCAGGTGCTACTGTACGCCAGGAGAGTGTTCTACAAGATTGATACCAAGGCTCCTCTCAACCCAGAGGCGGCAGTGTTGTGAGTATAACACCAATAAAGTTTCTCTACTGCATTTAAATTACGGGCTTCTTGCACATTGCTGGCTCCTGGCAGTTAAAATACGTAACTTTTCCTTTAAGGCTTTTCAGCATTGAGCAAGTTTGAGAGCAAACTCTGTCTTAAGGTCGGGTGAAATGGGGACATTCCTCCACACATAGAGCAAGTGGCCCGCATGACTGCACAGCCTTTGTGTGGTAGCGGGACTGCACAAAAGCAGCAGCTGTGGAACTACCCACTAGCCGTGTGCCACGGCATACCACAGCTGACAACTGCATTCCAATGAGGATTAGCGGCCGCGGCCCTGACCGCTTCCCGTGCGCATGGGGTTAATACTAGGAAGTTACATGATGTGATTTTGGGTAATGTACAGACATGTTCATTAGGAGTCAGACACACAACTTTTCCTTGGATCTGCTGATCTCATTTATTATCTCTCATGAATGCCATTACAAATTGAAAAACACTGTACAAAGTCTTGTGTGGTTTGGAATTTCTTCGTTTTTTTTCAAAATTCCCAGTTGCATGCCTGAGGAGTATGCATTGGTGTAACTGGGGGGTGGGGTGGTGGGTGTTGGGGGTGGGTGGGGAGGGGGTACATACCCCCTCAGCAGACTGTGAGTTCAATATGTGTGGGTAAGAAGGGATCAACTAATGGTCAAACCATTTTTAGTTTAAAGGTAGCGTCCATCATTTGTTAACATCCAGAAGCAACAAAATTGCTCAAATTCTCAAGAAGGGTGCTGATGAACTAACCTGATGAAGTTTCAGCTCGGCGAATGCTGTATATTCTGAGAAAAGCGTGTACATGAATTTGCTCATGACAAGTGTCTCCAACATGCAGTACGCAGGCATGAGATTTTTCAGACTTTTGTCCAAAATCAAACTTTTTGAATCTCAGAGAAAGACAGTAGTAGTAAAGAAAGATAGGCATCTTTCAGACCTTTCATCAATTTTCAGAATTTTTTTTTTTAATTGACAATCTCTTCCCTGAGTATGATACAGTTCCTGGGGTTAAGTTGATCAGTCTATCGGTCATGAGGCATCATCAATTATTCCAAGACTAATTATTTTGGCACAGATATGAAGAGGAAATGGACTTGTTCAAATCCAAGGTCAACGAGACGGTGGAGATGTGCAAGAGCCGGAAATACGACCCCCCATACTCGGAGGACCCTCATGCCATACACTTCAGCGAGTGGGACGATGACAAACACGGAACGGCGCGGACGGCAATAATGACACCCAAGCCACAGGTAAGACGTGTCTAGATACCCAGGTATGAGGTGTCTAGATACTAGATCAAATTATTACGAACTCTTTGCATATCAGGGAACAGCCTATTCTGGCTAGAAACACACAGGAAACACTTTTAACCCCTGAAGTACCGGGTGTAATGGGGACATTCCTCCACACATAGAGCAAGTGGCCCGCATGACTGCACAGCCTTTGTGTGGTAGCGGGACTGCACAAAAGCAGCAGCTGTGGAACTACCCACCAGCCGTGTGCCACGGCATACCACAGCTGGCAACGGCATTCCAATGAGGATTAGCGGCCGCGGCCATGACCGCTTCCCGTACGCATGGGGTTAAGTAAACAGTAAGTCTGTCACTAGCCAATATGGCCCATAAGGCTGGCGTTTATCTATGGTTTCCTTGGCATGAAATGACCGAGAATGTTTCTATTCCTCCTGGATGGGATGCCAGTCCATCGCAGGTTACTATGTATACTCCTGGGTGGAGAGAGGCAAGAGGGAGTGAAGTGGCTTGCCCAAGGACACAGCGTATGGCCAGCAGCTGGATTCAAACCCCTACCCTCTGATCATGAGTCACAAACCCTAACCACTAGGCCACCCTACCACTAGGCCACCCTTACCACTAGGCCACCCTTACCACTAGGCCACCCTCCCATATTAAGCACTCTGCTGTGATACAAAAGGAGATGGAATGCCATGAGCTTTGTTGTTTTGTAAATTTGGGTGAAGAAAACTTCACACAATATTGATGACATAAAAAATAAATTTTGGAAAAAGTTTTGAATTGTTGGCTGAGCTTGAGTTAGCTTTTAGAATAGACCTTTTTTAGGGTAGGTTTAAATTTCTGGATTTTATTTTTCATGTTTGATGATGCAGAAATCTCCTGGGGAAACTGAAGGTCAAAAAAATGCCCAGATATCGGGCCTGTCGTGGGTCAAACCAGGTACGCTACAGGTATTCAGCAAAGACTGACATTAGAGGGCGCTCTCTTCCCAAGGATTAAAGAGTCATCCGGCACCCCAACAATGAAAAAGTGAGCAAAGTGTTTTGCATTCGAATTCAACTCTTAAAGTGGTTTATCCGTCAGCACCAAGCAATCATCCGAAATGAAATCATCAGATTGCTACAACCGCGTGCAGTAACGAAACAAAACCCTCCAGAATCTGTCAAAATCAAACATAATCTGAATGATTCGGGACGCTATAGCGCTCAAACCAATGCTTTGGTTCAGTGTTGTGTCAACATCAAAGACTATGCCATTGGATTACTGTACAGTGTGGGAGTTTTGCAGAATCAGGAAGATTTTGATTGAAAAATAATTGTTGAGAGTTTAGGCTTAAATCCCGCTGGCTTGCAGCATTAATTAAGGCCAGTTTGCATACTTTGTGCGAATGTGAAACAAAGTTGATGCCACGAAACATTCAATGTGAATTTCACCCGAGTTAGAAGTGTGTTCAACTTTTGTGAATTCGGATCACACAAATACATGTTCGCGTTTGCTTTCGCAGCGAGTTTGAACCGGTTTTTAAGGATCCCAAAAGGGGATGTTTAGAGGATATATTGTAGGAAAATAATCCAGACAAAGGCAAATTTTGCTCGATGAAATTGTGAATTGGAAAGTGACTTTATTTTGGTGATTAATATCGGAAACTCATTTTCTTTTTCTTTGTGGGGAGGTTTTGTTAAAAAAAATTGTAACATGTGGCTGTAGACAACATAGAGATGCTTGTATTAATGAGAGAAAATTATGTTCTGAACTTAATTTGAGAAGAAAAATCAGCTGATGACAGTTGATAATGCGAAATTTGTCAGTGTTTATATTCCATGTGTTTATGTTTCATTGTGATGTGAGAGGATAAATGATTAATTTTTTTGTAAAGGTTTCTTTGTAGATACGTTTTGTTCACATGGAGGTAAATTTTTTATATATATATTATTCACATCGAGTTGTAGGTCACACACATGAAATGTCAGTGTTTAATTTCAGAAAGAAAATTCCTTAGTGGACTAGCGGTTGACAGAATTTTGATCTGTATATTGGAGATTATAAATACTTAATTTAATATGGTCAACTATATGATTTTTTTTTGTACATAAAATTAACACCCAGAAATCAACGAACTAATATTTAATTAACAATAAAATTTATTATTATAGTTGAAATATTTATATCTTGCCGCGGTGCAGGTTAGTTTACTGAAAAAAAAATTATGCGTAAAAAACAATAAAAACTTATTTTAATCATGCGTGTAGAATGTTTGTATTCTTGATGTTTATTTCTGGATAATTTGTTCAACTTTAAACACTGGGTCTTTCCAATCCACCAAAATGTGGTTTGCTTGGATTCTGATGAGCAAACATTGATGTCCAAATTTTGTTCAGTTAAAGTAGAAATAGTGCTCTAAGAGTCATGGTGAAAGGTTGAGTTCATCATTTGTCATACATGTATATTCATTTATTTGTTTGAAGCAACAAAAGTTCTCAAAATCTAAAGACGGGTGCTTAACAACTAACCTGATAAAGTTTTAGCTCGGTTAACGTTGTATATTCCAAGAAAACAATACTCTAGGCTCTCGAAGTCAATTCAAAATTTGCCGAGTCATGTTTTGAATTGCGGCCGAAATCGGCATCTGGGACACGTTCTCATTCAGCCGACTGCAGCTACGCGATATCATGCACAGTACCGATGAATTATAGCAACCGCGCGTGTGCGTCATGTCAACGCTTCAGCACACCCATTAACGGCTTTGCCAAATTAAAAACGAACTACTAACGGACATTTGCATCTTTAGGGTTAGAAAAAGGTTGACCAATTAATTTGAAACTACAAGTTACTTAATGTTTTAATTAATAATTTAATTTTTAATTTTTTTTTTTTGGGTTGTCAAAACATACAAATACATGCAGCAGAAGATACGTTACGTTGCAAATTCAAATTAACTGGTCAAAGTGAAACCTAGATATGCAGACTACAGTCTGCGTCTAGGTTTCACCTTTAACTTTGATTTTGTTTTGAGAAATACATTACAACACTATTCAATTCTTTGGTAAATATCTTCTTAAAATTTAATGCAAAGTATTCCTTTAAAAATTGTTGTTATAGCAGATCTCATTTGAATGTCGTCCATACTTAATTCAACATTGATGTGTATGTTTACAACTTCACAAGCACTTTTAGCAACCACATTTTGTTACAAGTTGTGTATAGCCACGTACATTATAATAAGTATTTTAGTGTGGTACAGTAAGAAACTGAAATGGTAATGACATATCTTGAATTTGAATACACAAGTTGGAAAAAAGCTTGGAAGGAATGTAGTATCCAGACCCCACTTCTTTAGTTGTGTACAAAGTCTATGGAGTGTTGAGCGCATTTTCAAAGTATTTTGTAACAACATTGGAAATGTTTCTCAGTCGCAGATTCATGTCTTTGCAACATTTTGGCAATGACTGCCCTTAATATGATGAATATTACATGTTTATTCGTCAGGATGCAACATTCTTTCCAAAGGCTTTTACTCAGTACTTACAATAGACTTTACTTAGGTAGGTTTAGAGTTCAATGAATTGAAAAAGCCTGGTTTATTTGGTTTCTGGTTTTCAGAACGGAAATTTAATCAAAGCTGCTGACCTTCATACTGGTAAAATTTGATCTTTGCAGGAAATTGAACAGTGGAGTTGTGAAATCCTTGTAGGAATCATAAAGACCAGGACTGTTGCCATTGATATGTAGTATTTTTTTGACAAAATTGTGTAGCTATAATCTTCAAAATCTATACCAGAATATTTAGAGTATTTTCAGATCAAGGGACCTCCAAGAGGTGGTGTACAAATTATATATTCCAATGCAGATCAAGTGCCTGAAGTGGATATATTCACATGTGATTGATAGGATAGATGAGTGTATAATTAATTCCATTTCACTTTGTTTTCTTTCTTGATGGAGGTGTAGATTTTCTTTGGCCGTACTTTTATATGTTTAACGGAGGACTACTGTAAATGCTTGTGTGTGCAATTTGTAATAAAAGTCATTCTGACCCCTTGTCGAAGGAGAAGTAAAGCATTGTTTAGTCTTTGTGCTTTGCTTTCTTTTTATGTTTCTACTGCTTCAAACAAATGTTACTGCATATGGTTCAATGACTGATAAATTATACAAAAAAACTGCGCAACACATGCAAACCTCAAACTCTGCAGGTGATGCAAAGTAGCTTATCATGTACAAGAGGTACAAACAATATAAGGTTTGTAAATACAAGTGTATCAGCAATAAAGGGAGTTGACTCTCATCAAAACAAAGTCTGTTACAACAAAGTTCTGGTTAGAGTGAACACAAATTGGGATACATGTAGCTTGCAACATCTGGTCTGTATAATCCCCGCCATTCCAAATCACGAACCAGTCACTTCATCCTCTTCACTGTCCCTCACAGCATTCAGAATCTCATTGGTCAACGGCCACCGTCTGCCGTTCCATTTAAAATGGGTGGGCGGGGCATACTCCCCGGCCTCCCCAAATTCAAAGAATGGACTTATTTCTATGGCAACGCTGGATTTGATCAGTCCGACGCCACCAGTTTTCTTGGGGGCTGGATGGTATATCCTCCCACTCTTGGGTAGCATGCACACTTTCTCCGGTTCAAATTGAACGGTGAAACTATCGGCGAAGTTGCAGACCAGGCGATCTGAGGGGGTGTCCTCCGAAGTGGCCAGATCGTCCCCAGGTGGAAGAATTTTCGTGAAGACTATTGGTTGGTCATCACATCTGATAAAGTTTCTCTCCGCCCCACACGGGGACAGGTAAGGGAAGTCGGCAGCATATCGCTCCATGTTGTTCAACTTCAGACGTTTGAAGAAGAATGACAAGAACTTCTTATCTGAAAAGTTAAATAAGGTGTTAAAATAAGTTAAAAAAAGTGTGATTCTAAAACTAAAACGGAAATGAATAATTATCTTTAGATTTGTGAATGTAAAAGAGAGTCAACAAATTAAATAGAAAGAACATTTTTTTATGAGTTCATGAAACATGAATGAAATGTTGTTATTGAATTAATCATATTTCTGAAAACCTGAAAACCAACAATCGTTCAACTTCAATCAAGTAGGCCTACCCTCACCTTTGAAACATGTGATGAAGTTTTTGACTTTGGTGTCGTCTAGAAATAGCTGAAAGAAAAATGAAATATGAATTTGATTTTTAAGGAGTGAAGTATGTTATAAGGAAAATTATTGATAGAATGGAGTGCCAACTTGAAATCCCTCTCTCCTAGCATGCCTAGGCAGCTGAAATTTCTTATTGTATTTTGCTTTAAATTTGCACAGAGAAAAAAGAGGATTAATCTACTTGTGAACATATATGTTATTGTTAATGCAATTAGGAATGTAGGTTCCTCCGCTTCACATATATAAGTATTCCTCCATGATATAAGTAAAGTGCATTGTAATAAGCATGTTCACATGATTCAGTCACGGAATTTACAATTGAGTTGCAAGTCAAACATGTCAAAACTTGAAGTAGTTTTACCTGTCCTTGATGATCAATGAAATAAAAATATTCTCGCACTCTACTAGGCTCTGGTGATTGGCCCTGCACGTAACTAGCTCTACGCAATTGTCTACTACAAGTTGAGATAAAACGACACGCGTTGACCGAGGTTTTCCAAAACATTATGCCACAATTTTGAGACGCAAAAGTTGTGTCGATCTGTGCTGCTTGTTTTGATTACACAATCCTCAACTTTGACCTTTCTCTCTTTGAACTTTGCCGCCACCCAGTAATTATCCGCTCAAGAGAAACGTCTTTTGATTGGTCTACAGTAGTTGTCTCTATTTCGATATTGAAGATTTTTATATATTTTCTGACAATGTCAAAAATAGAAATACTTCTGCAACAAAAACATCTTTTGGCACAAACCACTTAATTAAATGAATATTGGCTTCTAAAATGTTAAACAGATCACTCTTGTCGCTGGTTTGCTAATAACCGCGTAATAAATGTAAGCCAATGGAATCGATTGTTTTTCTGAATCTGGTCGACCGTCACAACGTCAAAAGCATTTTACGATCTGACGATTCCCGACATGTCGGGCGCATGATTTTGCACGGAAGAAAATAACTGACCATCTCAAGTCAGCTGTGGATTGTGCAGCATAATAAGTGTGAATCGAAGAATCATTTCATATCAACTACGACTGTGAATTAGTGTTTTAAAATGACAACAAAGCGATCATGGAAACTTCGTAAGTGCACGGCGATGCAGGCCGAATTACCTGTGTGTTTTGGCATGCCATAGCATTAGCAGTAGCAATAGCAATAGTTAGCAGACTGCTGAGGCGGCGCGGCGCGGTAGACTCGGACAACTCGACCGTTTGCCAACTCGACGACCATTGAGACAACTCGACCGGTGCGATAACTCGACCGCCTGTGCGTCAAATGGAAAGACAAGTCGTCAGTTGTTTTTTTTACAGGCATTGACAAGTGAGAAGTCGACTCGCAATTTTTTTTGGGGTTGGCGAGGCATTTGCCAATGCCATGATCATTCAGATTCATTGGCAAATTTCCATGGCCGGGCTGGTACATTCTACGGGCGAGATGGGTTGGTGGGGCTTGGTCGAAGTTTTGTTTTGGAATTGTGTTCGGGTTGCTTGACACTGACCATGCTGACAGGATTACGAGGGGGCTTGGCTTGGCTGGGCGGGTTGCACTTGATGGGGCTGGCATGGCTGGGGTTGCTGGACAAGATGATCAGGCCTGCGCTTGGCTCGACTGTGCTGGGGCTGGGGTTTGCCAGGAATTAACCTGATGAATGTTATTGTTACATGATTGTTTTTCTTGGGAAATTGGGTAGATGGGATAACAAAATCACTCGGAAAATTCAACAATGTAAACTGCAGGGGTTTATAAAACAAGTACCCATAAAGTATCCTCCACAACCAGTTTTTGAAAAGGGTATTTAGGTTATGAATTTTCCAGAGATAAGAATTAATTCAATATTAATATAATAGCAAAACATTAATATGTTTATAAATTAATTATTAATTATGTTATTAATTATTATGTTACTTACCTTGTTTTTTTTGTTGGATGGATTTCCTGGACGTACTGACCATCATCAATAAGATGTTACTACAAGTAGGTTTACTCCTACAGACTAGCCTCTGTTATTCGGTGCTGCTGCCCTGCCCAATGCGCCGAGCCACTGTGCTATATCATGCCTCTTCGCCGTCATGGCCGTGCACCGCGCTGGGTCCCGGCGGCCAACGTGACACCCACCACGCATGGTCATGCCACAGGTTCTGTGACTTACTCGCAACATCGACGGGCAACCTGTGTGGAAAATACCACGCACTCCGCTAGAGCTACATACATGCACGATCAAGTTGTCTCCGACTCAAAGTGGACTTGTCTCATCCGAATAACTTGGTAAACGGTTGAGTTGTCGCACCGGTCGAGTTGTCCCGAGTCGCGTTGGCAAACGGTCAAGTTGTCCAACATTCAGGTTCCTTGCTCTATGGTTTGGGTGAGAGCATTTGAAATGCGGTTGTTTTCTAGTTCAAGATATAAGGCTCACACTTTTCCTTCGAGTAGGCCTATCTCATAAGTGTTTTTTCTTTAAAGTTTTGTTGGAAAACCCAGTAGAACGTGTTTTTTGTTTTGGATTTTCTGTCACAGAGGAATTTGTGGCCCACGGAGCCAACGTGAACTGCCTGGCTTTGGGCCAGCAGAGCGGACGTGTGATGGTGACTGGCGGCGATGACAAAAAGGTCAACATGTGGGCAGTGGACAAGCCCAACTGTATCATGGTGAGTTCACAGTATAGTAACAGGCCTGTGGATCTGTGAACATCATTCATGGATTACCACAGCCTGAGGGGTGGGGGGGGGGGGGGAGGAATTTGAAAATATTTATAGTAGGACTTCACTATAACTATGGGGAGTGTGGCCTAGTGGTTAGGGTTCGCGACTCATGATCAGAGGGTCAGGGGTTCGAATCTAGCTGCTGGTCATATATTATATCCTTGGGCAAGCCACTTTACCCCACTTGCCTCTCTCCACTTACGAGTATAAATGGGTACCAGCAGTAGCTGGGGAGTTTGCGATGGACTAGCATCCCATCAAGGGAGAGTAGAAATATTCTCGGTCGTTTCATGCTACTGAAAACCGGAGATAAACGTCGGCCTGATCGGCCACATTGGCTCGTAACAGACTTTACTTCTCTTCACTATAAACTAACAAAGTAGGGTATATGCCCCAAATTTACCATCGGTCCCATCCTAAATGTTCCAGTTGGGAAGGCCCATCTATAATTGGGAATTTTGAAATTGTTCACGGCTTACAACCAAGCTTCTCCTGGATGCATCAAAAACGTGTCTACTTGTTGTTTCATCCATGTCACAAATGCAAAAAAAAGTAACAAAATGCATGTTAGTTTCTCTTGCGGTTTGCAGCAAGTGTGAGTGTATAGTTTGGGACGTAACAGGGTCCACCAGAGATCGTTCAGTATAATTTATTGTCCGGTATATTGGCCATTCGTTAGAGGTGAGTTTTGGCCATCAGAGTTTGGTTAAAAATAACAGTTAGGATTGAAAGGGAATGTACTCTATAGCAATGCCTTTAGGTATGCTTGGTGAGATGTCTACTTATGTGATGTGTGTAGATGCTTACATGTATGATCTCACTTTGTGTATGGTGTACATGGAATGCAGTTCTTAATTTGTGGTGTTTATGGTTGATTGTGGTTTAATTCGTTACAATTGATATCTTTTATTACTTCAAGAGTCTTTCTGGCCACACTGCGCCTGTGGAGTGTGTCAGGTTCAACCACAACGAGGAGCTAGTTGCAGCCGGGTCACAGTCGGGATCACTCAAGATATGGGATCTAGAAGCCGCCAAAAGTAAGAACATATTTGAAAATCTGTGTGTCTTTCTTCTACTGTCACGCAGGATTACTAACAAACTAAAATCAGTTAAGACAGCTTCAAAGGGATCATGACCAAGTGCATAAGGTTGGGAGACTGCCAACATACATGTAGAGCTGGATAGCTCAGTTGGTAGAGCACATGTATTGTAATCCAAAGGTTCAGGTTCAAATCCTGTTCAAGTCAATTTCTTTGTCCAACCATATTATAATTAAAATGTTTTAACAACCATATTATAATTAAAATGTTTTAATAAAAATTCCTTGATGGCTCACTTTATAAATGTGGGGTCCACTTTTTCCTGTCCCTGTTACATCTGACATCTGTGATTTAATAGTTCTGGATGCATTACTTAATGCATTCCTCCTCTGCATAGCTTATGAACTACCTATCTGCTCCGTTCACAAGTGCCCCCTCACCGGCAAAGAAAGTACAGTTGGGGATGACCGAATGATGCCATCTTGCCTGACTGCAATATTTTGCCGCGAAGCGCGGCCGCTGCATGTACATAGTACAAATTCCCTGGTGTACGTGCCTCACACACAAGAAATGGTGCGCGCTCGTCAACCAGCAATGTATGTGTCCCGCCCATGGAACATCGTTGCTAGGTAAAAGGGCGCCCTCTTTTGTTGGTACACGGAGCCCATAGTGGAATCCGGCGATCAGAATTAGAAGCTTTTACTGCAGTGGTGTCGTGCTCACGCTCATGTTGCACGCGTTCTTAAAGACTCGGCACGCACGCATTTTAGTATTCGTATTGGTCAAAGGAGCCGAAACGCATGCGCCTTACCTGAGCGCGACTCACGAAAGCCTTGCGCCACCGCAGAAAATGGATGCCGCCAGATTAGTCTATACCTAAATTTATAGAAAACTCTGATACAAAATAAAAAGCACATGTCTTAGCATCGTTCATGATTACCCCCAAAAAGCCACAGAGACTCTATTTCCATCTTGATCCTTTACAGTTGAAAACAATTTCCTGTTATGTCTGTTTACCCAGTTATCAGAACACTGACGGGACACAAAAGTAACACAAGAAGTTTAGACTTTCATCCTTATGGAGACTTTGTGGCTTCGGGCTCGGTGGACTTGAACATCAAAGTAAGTACTTCATGTTTTTCTTGAGCAAAGTCTTTTTCACCCTCCTGCTGTCTGAACAGTCGCTGACAGTCAAAACAATCAATTATATTCCCCTGCCATGCCTTTTACACAGGCTAGTCACCAGCAGTCAGATTACATTTATAGCAAGCAATGTGACTAGTCAAAATTCAGTCAACAGACAAAAGCAGGCAAGTGGTAGGCACAGCTGGCTTATCAATCACCTACAGTCAAAGCGTAGCGTTATCAAGTTACAGAAACAGTCACAGCTAGTCAATCCTGTTTTACGTAGGCTAGGAGCTCTTAACTGTTGAAAACAGTCACCTGATTGATTTTGACTGAAAGGACCACTTTGCACAGAATGATGTTTGCATATATAGGAGGGTAAAATACTTCGTAAACGTTATCATTTGCAACATTCAAAAATGAAAACAAATGGGCTTCAGCTTTATTATGCATTTGCTTTTCCTTGCTTCATTCGGCAAAATGTATGCTAATTTTTTTTGTTTTACCCTGAAAAACCTATTTTGCTAAAGAGCGGGGAAAGTAAATTATTTAGCTTTGTGTCACCACTTACTGCATCAGATCTGAAGAGACTCAGTCTGTGAACATATATGGACAGCTCTGAATTTCTGATTTATATAATGTCTGTGACTAGGAGTTTTGGATCATTTCTCTGATTCATTAACCCTCCTGTTATTTTAGAGGTCACAAACGGTCAAAATGTCCTCCCTCGCCTCCTGCTATACTTTTAACACAGGCTGGTCAGTCACCAATGGTCAGATAATGTATGTGATTAATGAGATATCATGTTTAGGCAAAAAAAATAGTGTTGCTTCCGGTTTCCCTACCTACCCTATTCTGACAGTCCCTACCCTAATTTTTTTTATTGAAAAAATGAGAAAATAACACCCAAAACCATCAATTTCTACCTTTTACCCTTGACTACTCGCAGAAGCCTCCATATGATCGTACACAAAAAAATTTGCAAAAAAAAAAAAAAAAAAAAAAATTCCCTACCTACCTACCCTATTTTCAAATGCCATGTAATCGGAAGCAGAAATATATTTTTTTTGGGCCTTAGTAGGCTCCATCACGGACATTACACTTCTCTTCATAGTGCTGGAAATGCCCGTATTATTTTTGCAAGATTGCTTCTTGAACCCCAAAAAATTCACTTTTTGTTTGCAGTTATGGGACATCAGGAGGAAAGGCTGTATCTTCACCTACAAAGGCCACACTGGTCCCATCAACTGCATCCGCTTCAGTCCAGATGGTCGGTGGATCGCGTCGGCATCAGCTGATGGGCTTGTTAAGGTAAACCAATCCACAAATCAAGTGTAGATATTCCGGAGTTCCACTGGAGCTGTGGCCTCCCGGTCTGGAGCATTTAATTCAAGGTCTGTGGGTATTTTCTGCAGGTTGTGGGTTCGAGTCCAGCTTCGGATTGCGGTGTGTGTGTCCTCGGGCAAGATACTTTGCAAGACATTTTGCTTCTCCCCATCGAGGAGTAACTGGGTTTCTGTTAGAGAAGAGTTTTACTGTGATTGATTTTAGCTTGTTTGCTACTGACTTGCAAAGGTTACACTCAAAAGCGCAAGGTTAAACTAGCAGTAGCATGTACAACTACCATTTCATTCACTCACAATCTAAATACTAGTTAGAAACAGTGATAGTTCCTGATTTTGTTGTTGGTATTGTAGTTGTGGGATCTGACTTCTGGCAAACTTCTGCATGACTTCAAGCTGCATGAAAATTCCGTCAACCATGTTGAGTTCCATCCTAATGAGTTTCTCCTAGCTACAGGAAGTGCAGACAAGTAAGATTGATTTTCTTTAATTAGCCCTAACTCCCTAGGCATTTTTGCTAAAATGCAACCCCAATCCTGCAAAATCCTCCAACTGCCTTTTTGTAAAAATTGCATACACCCTCAACCCTGCGAAATCCTCCGTTATTTCTTAAATGAGGTCCTTCGATGAGGTCCATATCGCACTCTGTGTATCGCGTTATTCCAAGATGTGAGCAACATTCCGTTAAACCGCTTAACGGTTCGTGTAAGGTGTGCTAGTTCCAACTTCACTGTGCGTCAAGTTTGCTTGAAGATAAAGTCTTTATCCTACTCGTGCTCGTGGAACACGGAAAATGTCGTGCGTCTGCAACCCACAATACCATTCGGCCCTCGGCCTCATGGTATATGGGACACAGACGCACTATATTTGTCCATGTTCTACTGGCGTTCGCGGGAAAATTAAAGTCAGTGTGAAGTGGACAATGATAATATTAATTGGGTTGGTACCATTTTTTTTAAAGATTTTTTTTAATTCTCAAAACATCGTTTTGGGAAATACATTGTACACTATTGTGACAATAAAGCAGTGAAATTCGCCAAGGCCAAATAACTGGGTAGGATTTTGCATTTTGAAAAGTAACTTTTCTTATGTGGTGTTATGGATGGTGAAATGAGTTACATTTACAGTTGCTAATGTTTTCCCCATTTTATTTCACCTGATAGGACTGTAAAATTCTGGGACTTGGAGACATTTGATCTTGTGTCTTCAACATCGCCTTCTGCGTCTGAAGTCAGGTATGTCTCACTCTCTGACTAATGCTTGGATCGCTTGACCACTTCAACACTTCTTGGTTTAAAAAACAAGTTTTTTACTTCACGTTTTAGTTATTAAAAGTTATAAAATAAGTTGAATAAAGAATTCACTATACAGAAGGATAAAGGAGCAAAATTTGTCAACATTTCGATGTTGTAAGTAAGTTCTCGAAAAGATTGAAATTCATCAAATCAGGTTTTGCCCTTCAACGACGTATAAACACTGTATACTCAGTGTGTTACCTCCCGAGTGAAAGTTGGAAAAAAATCGCTCGGGTGGGACTCGAACCCACGACCTCCTGCTTTCTAGTGTAGATGTCTTACCACTCGACCACCGAGCTAACGGGATCGGTTGGCTGGTTCGAGTCTAATGTACATAGCAGCGGGTACCGCATTAACTATTAATAAGATGGGATTTTTAAAATTAATTTTGTTATATAATATTTATTACTTGTATTATAATTACACTGTCCCTTGGGGCGTAAACTAGTGACCTCATTCTCAGTCAATATTATTATATTCCCCTTTGCCCTTTCCCCAACATGTGTATCATACTACCCATTGCCTTTTTCTCTGAAGGGCGCTCGTCTTTCACTCCGAGGGCAACTTCCTGTACAGCGGCAGCCAGGACATGCTGCATGTGTATGGTTGGGAGCCTGCCTGCTGCTATGATACATTCTCCATGGGATGGGGCAGGGTGGCAGACTTGGCAGTGGCTTCCTCTCAGCTCATCGGCGCTTCGTTTAATCAGACCAATGTCTCTGTTCACGTAGTGGACCTTCAGGTACGTGGTCCCTCGAGTTTTGTGATGAGAAAATCTACAACAGTGGAATATTTGGGAAAGGGGATTGTCAAGTTTCTGCAAACGACATTTTGTTCTGTAATTTTTGGCTGTGGGTGGGGTGGGAGGGGGGATTGGCGCTAGACACCGTTATACACTTGATGTCACTATTCGTCGCAAACAATTGCATACAGATTTTCATATGCCATTGTATATGCTTTGAATTTCTGTAACAAATTTTTTATGAGGATCCAAATTTGTAATTGGGCACAAAATTTACAATTTTGTGTGAATAGGAGTTTTCATATTTCTCTCTAACCCTTGAGCCTGTTTCCACTGCCGGTCAGGCAAATTGTTTTTACCACAATATAACAAAGCATAGCATTAGGGATTTTCAAATTGTTTAATTCTGGTACAATTTAATTTGGCAGAGAGTCAACAAAACCAGGGGAGTTTCGATACAACAGCTCCAGCAGGGGCAGCCAGCCGGCACGAGTCAGGGACAGAAGCCAGCCTCTGCCGCCCCCTTGTCAGCCAGTGGTAGGCGGAGTTTCGTCACAGAGAGACCACCTACAACGTCAACCAAGCAAAGGTCGGTGGAATGGACATGTTGGGTTTTGAGGCTAATTTGCTGGCTACAAGCAATCCATTGATGTCAAATATTTTGAAAATGTTTTGTTTCCTTACTTACTTCTCTGTTTAACTTACCACGGAGATATTTACATAGAGGGTCTTTGTAATGGAAGAAAACACAATATCCACAGACACAAATGTAAAGAAATCTTTCAGCTGGCCAAAAGTTAATAATTGTTAACATGTAGTGGATGCTAAACCATTGCATGTTACTCCCAAACCCCAAGCCAATGCCGGTTTGTTATTATACTCTGGATGGAGTAAGGCAAGTATGGGTAAAGTGGCTTGCCCAAGGACACAACATAGAGGCAGCAGTTGAATTCACACTACTGACCCTCTGATTATGAGTTACAAACCTCTACTTTGTAGGATGGAATTTTGTGTCTGAGAGATGTAAATTTTATAGTGGGTTTTGCTTAAAGGGAATATACAACATTTGCAAACATCGAAAAATAAAACTACCAAGTTTTTACAAAATACCTTACTAGGATGTTGGTAAATGACGGTCTAAAGCATCCTGTAAAATTATGGCACCTGGTGTCAAGTCATTTTCAAGAAAATGGTATTTTTGTATACATTAATGGTATTTTGTAAACCTTACTATTTTTCAACTACTGCTCCAAATTTACCATTTTTTTTCCAGTCCAAATTGTGTTTGCTATTGGTTACATGTTCATGAACGGGTGCAGGCCAGCTAGACTGGTTCCCTTACCTTACAATTTTCCGACACCTATAAATTGATCCATTTTATCTTTAGTGGAGTCAGGGAACCAGACTACTTAAACAATTTTGTTTTTCTTGGATTTTCAAGCATTTTCGAACACAAAACTTCAAACATGTCAGTTAAAGAATATTTGATCTATTATACTAACCCCTCAAATAGTTCTTTTCTGAAAATTACAGCTAAAGCCAATGATGTACATTCCCTTTAACCAACATAATTTCATAAGCACTGCATAATCAGTGCCGTCTGAGGGCTAGCAAAATAAATTGACAAGTCTACTGGTTGGGACTCGAACCCGCAAACTTCTGCTTGCTTGTGCAGACACCTTACCAGTCGACCACCGAGCTTGTCAACATTGTTGTGGCAAAACCCTAACCACTCTACCATTCCCCAAATTGGCAAGGCAGGCTGTATTTCCCCATCACATACAGTGTAGTGGACTTCTTTTTTAATGATATTTATCACACATCCTTCTTTACATTTCCTATTCATGAAGGGAGCCTGAGATTAAGTCTGAGGCACAGCGGGAGTCTCCCACTCAAGATGAGAAGGAGGATGACTCTGCCTCCTCCGCTGACATCCAGGACCCGGTCAACTACGACAGTATATTCCATCCCAAGAAGAGAATATGTGAGATAAAACAGTTGTATACAGATGTATAAATTCCCGAATCATTGCAGGAACTTTGAAATTTTGTGAATTTTAACTATTCCGATGATCTTCATATGTTGAATGAGATTGTCATAAGCATTGTGATTGGTAGAAGCTTGAATTTGATTGTGGGTTGTACCTCAGTGGTTTTCTGCTTGTCGGAGGATTAGCTGGAGTGTTTGATCGCCAGTCTAGTTATGTACGTGTAGTAGACATGAGCATTTTAAAATGAATATTGAAATGTTTTGAGGTTTAAGTAGAGCAAGGAAACGTAAAAAGATTGGGGGGGGGGTGGTAAATAAAAAAAATAATATGTACATACCTCTGCTTCTCCTTTGCAAATTGCAGTGCATACTTTTAGTCATCATGGCACCTGCTTTCAAATTTTCCATTGCTTCAGCACGATCGCCAACAAGAGACCAGCCGTTCCCAGCCCCTCTGGATGACCAGCCGCCTGCCCCGTCGCAACCACCAGCGCCACAACCGAAACAGACAAGCCAGCCACCTCCACAGGCGCCTTCACAGCCCGCACCAGCACCTAAACTACAACCAGCTGCAGCAGCAGTAGCAGCACCGGAACCAGCACCGCCCCCGCAGCGACAGCCAGACCCAGCGCCGCAGCGGACACCGCAGAACATCATTTCCTCGGACAGAAATCAGCCTGCTGGGTTGGACATGAACGCCTTCCTACCGGTAAGGCGTCTCAGACATTTGGACCATTGTACCCATTTCAAATTGGCATGTCATAGTCACTCCAAACGCCGGGGTGAGATTTGTCAGGATTTGTCCTGATTTCAAGATTTTGTTGTCAGGATTTTTCCTGATTTCAAGATTTTGAAAGAATCCCTTTTCAAATTTAGAATTCCTGAGGTTTTACCTGAACCCTAACCCCCTAGGCTCATTTTGCTAGGAACCACCCTCAATCCTCCCTAGATTTGCACTTCAAAGGAAGGATACCCACCGCCTCAATCCTTCAAAATCCTCCAACAGCCTTGCCTCTCAAAACGCATTCAGCCTCAATCCTCCAAAATCAACCGATACTGAATGTCCATGTGCCTTTAACCCTCCACAATCCTCCAAAATTGTATGTTGTATTCAGCCCCTTATCCTCCGAAATCCTCCAAAACTGCCCGGAGAACTTTGGAGGATTGAGGAACATTACAGTTAGGCAAAAAAAAAAAATAGTCGGTCTCTGGGCAGACCGAAGTTCCGGAATTGATGCGGCGACGCGTTTTTTGTTTTTTTGTTTTTTTGGTGTTTTTTTTTTTTTCAAGCTTGTATTGTACAGACAAGGTGGGTACTATTTTGCTTTTTTGTGTCCTCATTATACATTGGTGTCCTCCATAATTTGCCTTGGTGCCCTTTATCATTTGCCTTGGTGCAATTTCCCCATTCCTTGGTGCTCCTTGGTACAAAAATTTGAGGAGGCGCAGCAATAGAGGGCGCTGTTGTAGCTTCCGTGTTAATTTGAAAAAAAAAGAAAGGTTGACACGCATGATAAAAACGACGCGCGCGCTGACCAGAGACCGAGTATTTTTTTGGGGGGCCTTAATTGACATCATAATTATATACTTAATTGGTGTTCATTGTGTTTTGGTGTGTACAAAAATAAATCGCTGTTCATTTTGTAATATTGCTGTCATCTGTATTGTAATTTTCTATTTTAATTTTCTGTTAATGTCTGTAACAGAAAATCTCTCACACAAGAAAACGTACAAATACGATTTGTAAAAACAAAAAGCACTTGAACGATTTTTTTCTTTATATTTAGTAATTGTTGACTGCTGTGATGTAGGGCATGATGTTCTTAACACCTGAGGGGTGCAGACGCATAGCACCCGAGGCGAATCCCACATTACAGCAGTCAACAATTGTTTTTGTTATATCGTGCCAATAAGTCAAAACGATAAATGGTTGTAACTATACTTCGCAAGAAATAAATAAAATCAGTGCGGTGTAACCCTTACCACTGCAGGCTTTCCTGCCTGACATGAGACTGAGCCATTTCGCATTGCATGCATGCAGTTCTCATCTCAGTCGTGAGCACGCGTGAAGGTTCTACACGCATGCAACGCGCATTTTATACGAGGTTAAAGAGGTTGTGGAATGCTGAAAGTCCTTTTGTTTTTTATATTTTTTTATTGTAGAGTAGACCCATATATGTGACCCGCTCCACAAAAATGAGTCTGTTGTTGCAAAACTGACATTTTGAGTTAACTACATTAATAAAATGGGAATGAAATAAGCTTTCATTTGGTATATCACGGACCTCTCTAGGATGTTTGGTTGCATTGTTGTGCTTGTTTCATTCTGTAAAGTTTTTGCAAAGCTAGAAGTGTCTCAATGGAGAAAAAAGGCTTTGAAAAATGACAAATACACTGTAACTAACCAAGAAAAGCACCAAAGATTCATAATTTTTTTTCTTTTTCTTACAATATTTACATTTCTGTGTAAGATATTTGAACTAAAACTATCAAACAACCAAAATACAACAAAAACAAAAAAATCCAAATTTTGAGCAAATTTTTACTGTCTCCATTTCAAAATGGCAAAAGCTTGAATTCAAATTATGCGACATCAGACTCATTTTTGCAGAGCGGGTCACATATATCATAATGACAGAGTCCCATTCTTTTGTAATGTGCGTTTATATGTTTATAAAACTGAAATTCATCGAGAAATGTGTATGGCGAGCGCATAATTGAAATCAACAGTCGTCGGGTTCTTCGTAAAATGAGACAAATCGTGACGCAATAAACAGGACTCGCTTATACTACGCTGCATCAGGAGTCCTGTTTATTACGTCACGATTACTGTGTTTTGTTTGCTGCCCCCAACGACGACTTTAACACAAATTGCACGTTCGGGTCGAAACAGGACCTGAAAACAGCTCTCAAAAGTACCTTTTGTACTTATTTCATGACAGACACAATAGTCGTTTTTATTTCATCACACCTTGGGCTACATATACCCGAAAAATGACAGAAATGTCTTCGAGCATTCCACAACCTCTTTAACCATTGTATATGCATTTTTACAGACTGGACACGTGACTGTTCTCGACCAATGAAATTACAGTATCCAAGCACACGATATAACAATGTGTATTCTTTATGCTTGGCAGTTGAGTTTTTTTTCAGTTGCTGTATGAGAATGCGTCGCGTAAAAATGTTTGAAGTCTATCCCTTTTTGGCAGCTGTAGAATTGGATATAAGTCAGGAGATATGCAATATATGCAAATCTCCGTTGCCCACTGTTATTGAAATAAAAAAAACAACTGAAAAATGATACTGGTGATACTGATCACACAAAAAATTAATAATAAGAAAAACTGTAATTTTACCCGAAGACATGTGTAATGTGAAACTGATTTATGCATCACATGACTCCGATATCGTAGACCTTGCAGCTGAAATTCATGAAATACATTTTTTTTTTGCAAGGCGAAGCAACCTTAAAAAGGGTAAAAAAACCAAAACTGATGTTGGTTATCAAATTTTTGTTTTAAATTATAAATAAAAAAAGATTACCTGAAGACATCCGTAATATAAAACTGATGATTGTATCAAAGACTTCCGACAGCATAGACATTGTAGCTAAAATCCATGACATTTTCAAGACTTCCTGTATTTTTCAGCTGCAAGTTAAAGAAACCCAAACAAAGCCAGGGTGACAAGTTCAGTGCCATAGTATGTGTCTTGTATCAGGTGCCTTAAAGGGAATGTACATCATTGGCTGTGGCTGTTATTTTCAGAAATGAACTATTTGAGGGGTTAGTATAGTAGATCAAATATTGTTAAACTGACATGTTTGAAATTTTGTGTTCGAAAATGCTGGAAAAACCAAGAAAAACAAAAATGTTCAAGTAGTCTGGTTCCCTGACTCCACTAAAGATAAAATGGATCAATTAATAGATGCCAGAAAAATTGTAAGGTAAGGGGATCCAGTCTAGCTGGCCTGCACCTGTTGATGAACATGTAACCAATAGCAAACAAAATTTCGAACTGAAAAAAAGGGTAAATTTGGAGCAGAAGTCGAAAAATAGTTAGGTTTTTCCAACGATGGTCGGCCGACCAGCGTTGGAAATGTATACAAAAATACAATTTTCTTAAAAATAACTTCATACCAGGTGCCATAATTTTACAGGTTGCTTTTAGACTGTCATTTACCAACATCCTAGTAAGGTATTTCGTAAAAACTTGGTAGTTTTATTTTTCGTTGTTTGCAAATGTTGTATATTCCCTTTAAAAGTCCCTAATACCTCATGCATGCTAACACGCATGCTTTCGTAGTCTGGCCTTTTCTAAAACCCTGTATGCATGATGCGTTGAAAGCCGTCTACATGTTCATGCATACTGTATGAGCATTCTTAGGCTGGGGGATGATCCTGTATGGCCGCGGTGAATACCCGATGTCTGGCAATCTTTGAATAGCTGGTCTTGTATCGATCAAACAGGTGTACGGAGCATTCAAATTCACTTCGTTACATACAGTAGTCCTGGAAAGAATCTGAGGCAAAAGAAAGGGGAAAAGGTGTTGTCTGTGCACATGCATTTAGGAGAAAGACTTTTGCCGGGCTTACAGATGCATTACACAGTTTACCATTTAAAGGTAGAGTAGATCATTTGCAGTTATTCAAAAAGTAACTGACAAAATTATTGTTGAAAGGCAAACTTAGTTTGAAGATGGTAATGGCAGTAAACTCCCTGTGAAATTATTCTTTCCGGCATGCTGTCATTTTGAAGAAAACAATAAAAAACAGGCCATTTCCAAAGAGGCGTCAAGTGATGCATTTTTGGAAATTTCCGTTAGTAGTGGGTTTGTACATGTGATTGGGCAAATCCATGAATGGGTAAGGCGCGCGTGCAACTTTTCCTTGGATTCACTGATTTTCTTGTTTTTTAACTTCTCATTAATGCCATTAAGCATTTAAACTCCTGTACAAAGTGGTTTTGAGTTTCCTCGTTTTTTTCTATTCCCAGTTGCATGCCTGATGGGCGTGCGCTAGCGTTGACACAACGCACACCCCGAGCGGTTGCCATTATTCATCAGTTCAGTGCATGACATCGCGTAGCTGCAATCGGCTGAACGTGTCCCAGACATTGATTTCAAGCGCAATTCAAAACATGACTTGGCAACTTTTGAATTGAAATCGAGATCCTATAGCATATCGTTTACTCAGGATGTACAGCACTCACTGAACTTAAAACTTTAGCATCTGTCTTTAGATTTGGAGCACTTTTGTTGCTTCAAAAGGAAAAAAAATGCACAAATGTGACCTGTTCTGTCAAAAGCAGACGCTTCTGGGCAGAGGTTGAAATTGAGCTAGGTCTAAAAAAACGCTGTGGGGTTGATTTTTTCAATTGTCTAATTTTTGCATATTTGTAATCTTGAACATGTCTTAAATATACTATAAAAGTTTGAAACCCTAATTTGAACTCTAAATATAGTATTTTTGATGATTTGTTGAGGTATATCAGATAAAGAAATGTCTGTTTTGTGACGTTCGTGGCCATTTTCTCTGTTTTCTACTTTTCGACCCAATGTAACTTCAAAGTAGCATAACCTTGCCCAGGAATTACAGGTTTCAAAAATTAAACAACCTTTTAAATTAAAAGGAAAATATACATGTTTTAACAATATGTAAAAATCTCATTTTTGACCTTATGCCCAGAAAGGTCTGATTTTGACAGAACAGGTCACAAATGACAAATGATCTACCCCAAATTTAAGTGTAAATAGTTTTTCCCTCAGTGTGGAAAATTGTATTCACTTTTGACCAAAATGTAAATTGCCAAAATTCATTGAAATGCCCTGAGGTCCTCTGTACAATACAGACATCTATATGTACATGTAAGCTCAACGCGATTCCTGGCTGGCTTTGTTGCCACGAAATGTGACCAAAGTTGAAAGCGTGCAACATTTCATTTTATGTCATTTATTCACAGAAAACTGGGACAGTGCCAGAATCCCAAAAGACCCCTTAATCCCCAACACTTTACCTAGATGTCTAAGCTGAAAGCAATTTTGCCAGGATTTGCCGACACAGAGCGCTGCAATCCTATGCAAAATCCACTGAAACATCCCTCTCCACTTACAGTGCTGTTGTTATCCATGTTAAAATTTGACGGCAGAAAGTACAGCAGCCGCTTGTCATGTACAAACATACAGCGTGTCACAGACTCCCACCTCATGGTTGTAGAATGCACAAAATACTATCCAGGAACTGATCCAGGAACTGGATTTTAAACACATTTTCTAATTCATTGTTTCATCATTGGCTTTGAGCAATTTCTTATGAAGCTCTTAGATTCGAACGCCGGCTAAATGTACGCCCTCCTTTTATACATTTTGGAATATAGTGTTCAAATATTTCTGTATCTGTATGGTTATGTTGCAGAAACCTATTCAGGCATTATCGCAACGGAGTACAGTACTCGAGGCACTGGAAGTTATGTCTATTATAAGATGAATGAAGTACATGAGAAATATGAGACTCATTATGTAGCACCTTATAAGGGTTTATAAGGTGCTACATTTGTGACTCAAATTGACTCGAGCTAAATATTGGACCCGACTCGACTCGGCTCGACCTTCTTGACCTGATGACTCGACTTGAGTCACTTCTTTAAAATGACTTGACTCGATTCAAGTCACAAAAATCAGTGACTCCTTACAAATCTGCCCGAGCCATGATTTTATGTATTCATCTGTGAATAAATACAGTGTAATACACTGAAGTACCTGTGTTACATGTTCAAGCTCCAACATTTTTCCCCAAATTTTCTGTCTCAGTTTACCCACTGTCACCTAAAGCATGTGTTTACAACAAATAACACTGGGAAAAAAAATCTGAATGTGGCATTTACGTAGTAAACCTTTGCACAATTTTGTGCCGTCACAGCAAAACATGCGGGGTGCAGGAGGCGACCAGAAGACCCGGGCGAAGGAGACCGAAGCGGAGGCCCTGGACTCGCTGATGAAGGGCCACAACTCCATGTGTGCGGTGCTGACCAGCAGGAACAAGAACCTGGACGTGGTCCGGGCAATATGGACGGCAGGAGATATCAAAGTAAGCCCAGGTTTCACTATTCGGGTAGATTTGGGAAACCTGATATTCAAACCCTTGAAAAAAATTAGGCCTCCCTTAATTTTTTGAATAATAAATTATTCGAAAGCAGACAGCCTAGTAGAAGGAACCTTTTTTAATGTTTTCAAAAATGTTAAATGAGTGAATTTGATGATGCTTTTATCTTTAACCAAAACAATTTGGAGTTTTTTTTAACCAGTTCGTGTTGGAGGATGCGATAACATGCATTTGCTGTTTATATACACGGACACGGCTGACGGGTTAAGACATTGAGATTGCCTGGTGACGTCTAAAAACGCTAATCCCTCGTGTCTTTTGTACACACACACACAGTCCATGAAGTCTGTGGAGGCGGACCGTGTGTTAATCTTGAATTTGCCGTTGTGCACGGCCTATTATTATACAATTTATGCTGCAGTACACACCCCGGAGTATTGAAATGTGTGAGGTTTTGGCAAGAAATATCGTACAAATACTGTTGAAATGAGTCTTGGGAATCAGTATTTGTGATGTTTGGCTTACGATTTTTGGCAAAAATAATCCTGGCGCTAAGTGGTTAAAAGCATGCGCTGATCATGTATTTTCATTATGATTATTTCAGACTGCTGTGGAGTCTGCTGTCAACATGAGGGACCAGGCAATCATTGTAGATCTACTGAACATCATGAATATCAAAAAGTGAGTTGGGATTTGCAGTGTTCATCTTTATTGGAAATAAATCAGATAAGGATCTCGCTTGTGCTTCTTTACAATGATGGAAATGTCACATAAATTTTGTATCTGAGAGGTGGATGGGCTGCAAAAAAAAATGCAAAATGGATTGGGGACATAACTACACTCTAAATAATTTAAATGGACAACATGACCGTTAAAAGCAGACATGTGCCTAAGGACGCTACAGCTTGTACGTGTAAAAAAAACCTTCTAATTCATGACACGCTACATACTATCCAGTGCCAATGTCCGGCATGAAACAGTTTATGCACATGCTGTCACGAGCAGCCTAGATAGTTTTTCATGTACAGTTCTTTCACAGATTCTGTTCAAGACAAGTTGTGGCTTTTTTCATAAGCCAGAACTTTACGTGATCTGCCATTTTAGTCAGTTGTGTAAACTGTTACCAAATGTAACTTGGTCAATTGCAATTTGAATTCATATCGAGGTGAAAAGCTATCTTTGTATAGGAAAAAACTAACAATTTCTTCAACTTGTTTTGTTCACAGGTCGCTATGGTCATTAGATTTGTGTGTGATTCTTTTACCGAAAATCAAGGAACTATTAACAAGCAAATACGAAAAGTAAGTTGCAGTGTAACAATTTTTCTCCAACCTCCGTTTCAATTGCGTTGCTCTGATTTGTTTTATTTGTTCATGATAAAGCTATTAATGCAATGTTGATTGGAAAAGACTGTAGTATCCAGACGCCACTTTGTCATGTTTGTCGGTTGTGTGAAAAGTCTATGGAGAGTCAAGGAGGATTTTAAAAGTATTTTCTAACAAAATTGGAAATGTTTCTCAGTCCCAGATTCATGTCTTTTCCACATTTTTGCAATGACTGACCTCCATTGGCATGACATATGATTAAAAAAAAAGTGGCGTCAGGATGCAATATTTTTTCCGTTGATGGTAAATGAACAAAAATTGTGGTTTGACTTTGTAGCTGTTTTTACAAAAAAAAGTTGAATTAAGTCCAGTAGGAGATAGGATAGTCAGAAAGAAAATCATCTTATTGAATCGATATTTGTCTGTGCCCCTATTTTTTTGCAGCTATGTCCATAGTGCATGTGCTTCGCTGAAACTGATTCTCAAGAGTTTTACAAGTCTCATCAAGTCCAACGTCAAAATGCCGCCCTCAGCTGTAGACATCTCTAGGGAAGAAAGGTAAGTCCATTTAAGCCTGCGAGGGTATACCTGTGGCTCGGCAAGCTTGAATATGGAGGAATCCGGTCACAATATCAATGCCATCACGACGGCCCCCTTCAATGGCGAAAGCATTGTGCTAGCTATTGTTCAGGTATTCGTCATGGGGCAGTGGTTTGCTTGGAAATATTAATTTTTGAACACATTTCAATGAAACTTGGGTGTGTGTGCCACATGCACACTAACTAGGGAGTTCACGCCGTATGTTCCCTTGGAGCTCTCCAGGGCATGATCTAGTGTTCATGCACAGATGCTACAGCTATTATTCAGTTACAAAAACCATGGAAATGTTCCATAGGGAAACTCCTTATGTTCTTAACCCATTGACACCCCTATTCGGCCACGGACAGCTGCATTTTGGGTGGAATGTGTACATGCAGGCATTCAGTTGTTGTCTATGAATGGATGCGCTATGCTGCAGGAATGCGGCAATTGCAATCCCCCGGCTTATCGGCTTTTATCAAGCTGGGTCTGGAACCGTCAGCTAGCGTGAAGGGGTTAATTGGAAATTTATGCTGTTACCACTGGGAAAAAGATGAGAACACTTGATGTACGGATCGCGGGACAGATTCACTTTGACTTGAGTAAAGCCCATTGAACTCCAACACTGCTTGTCCCAAAGGAAATGCCAGCTGTGTCCACATACGTACGTGTTGTAATTCCTTTTTTCTTTTTTGTTCCTGGGCTCTTATTAGATACAAAAAGTGCAGCAAGTGTTATGGCTACCTGCTGGCAGTGCGGACCGTAGTGGAGGACAGGCAGCACGTAGCGGGCAAGGTGGGCAGCACGTTTAGGGAACTCCAGTTGCTACTGGCTCAGCTTGACTGATGGGAGAGAGAGAGTGTTTAAGGCATCAGGCCTCGCCAGCAGAGGTGTCACTAGAGAGAAGCGGGATTCTGACCTCCCCCCCGCCCCCCCCCCCACCCTCGAATTTGTCATTTTTGTCGTTCTGGTCAGCAAACTTGTGTCAGTGTTGGTGGGACTATCATATGAACTGCACCTCAGTTCAGATGGTGTCCAGTCATACTTTAACCTGCAAAAGAGGCCACCACATTAACAGCCCCACCTAGTGTCAGAGGGTGTCCAGTCGTACCTTTAACCTGCAGTTGAAGCCACCACATGAACAGCCCCACCAAGTGTCAGATCATGTCCAGTCTTTGCACTTAAACAGCGCCCCCTATTGTCGAGGATGTCAAGCCCCCTCCCTCCTACCTGTGTCAGCCAGTGCTCCTCCCATCCTTTCCCCCTTCCCCCAAAAGGAAATGGTTTTCCCCTGCTCCCAGCAATGATACAAGTTATTTCCTATCCATTGTGAGGATAGGGGAAAATGTAGTAGAGAGTTTTGAGAATGTTCACAACAACGCTCGTCTGTTGGTGGTCAGTCATGTGTGCAGCCATCTACCCAAAAGTGCATTCCTCACATCGTGGACCACATATTTGGCATCTATTTACACGTTTCATGAAACCGAGTCTTACACAGGCTGTTTGTACTTCAACTGACGCATGTCGGGGATAAACTAGTTGGATAGACGGAGGAGCAATAAGTCCAAGCATCAGTGGCAGACAGTCAGTGTCTTGTGTGATTGTGTTTGCTGATGTATTCTGTCTGAGACCAACCATTGATAGTATTCCAATTTACAATTCTGCTCCTTCAAATAAAATCCCAGTATTCAACATTGTAGCTTGGTCTAACTTTTTTTTGTAAATATCCTTTTTATTCTTCCAAGTCTTTTTTTTTGGGTTAATGTTCTTTGTTTGTGGTTGGGTTAGGTCACATTACCATAAACTGCAACTCCCTTCCCTTGTGCAAAGTTTCATCTCTAAACTCATAGTGTCCAATCCAGGTCTTCGTCAGAGAACATGCAATGCTTACTGAATGCAGCTGCCATTTTTAACAGAGCATCTGATTGGATGTATTCGGTTTTATATATTATACCAAGCTGACATTTTTTTTCAGGTATTTAATGTGTATTCTGTGCCTTATATCATTTAGCTTTGATACCAGACTTCATAGGGGGAAGGGGGAAGGGCAAATGGAAATCTAACAGATATCCCAAAAGTCCAATTTTGATTGTATATTATAGTTCTGATGTGTATTCACCATTGACAGGCAAAATACATGTTGGATAGTTTAGTGATAACTTATTAAATGGTATATACTAACGTTGAAACTGTACTGATGATACACTATCAATAGTGTTTTGGGGCATAACCTATCTACAGCAATATTTCAAGGCCGGGGTTATTTCTGGTTTCTGAAATATTTCCAAGTGGAAATATTGTCAAATCTCGGGAGCTTGATGTGTACATTTTGTAATGTATACAATACTATGCGTCAAAGCATGTTTTTTTAAGCACATTTTTTGGTGAAATTCGGGAAAGAGTGGTTAAAGATTGTACGACTCTGACTCGATCTTTTCCTTATTTATTATTTTTTTTTACAGCCTTATTGCCTGTTTTGGAGCGTCTTGTATGTATCACGTGTGAATGAAAATAATAAAATTCCGTCTGTAATGTTTCTGCAGAACATACGTATGACTGCGTCTTTTGCGTTCTGAGCTATTTGTCCAAGTCAAGTGTTATCATTTTCAACATAGGACAGGAATTTGATACCCTGTAGAAAAGGAAAAATGACACTTATAACTGGGTTCGCTTTCACATGTGTGTAATCACTTGCAAAGAAAATACGGAATAACTAGATATGAACAATTAGGAACAGTTTTTGAAAAAGGCCGGTTGTCTCCAACGCTGGTCTGCCGACCAGCGTTGGAAATTGATACAAAAATACCACTTTACTTTAAAATGTTAGCACACAAGGAGCCATGATTGTACGGGATGCTTTAGACTGTCCTTCCCTAACAATCCAGTCAGGAATTTCGTGATAGGCCTAATTTGATGATTTTGTTTTTGGATGTTTGCAAATGTTGTATCTTCCCTTTAAAGATCCAAAATGAAATGAAGATTCGGGCCGTGTTATTCGACGAAAGTCCCGAGTTTCTAAGCAAACTTGTACGTGACACTCGCCCTGCGCTTTTATTGTAGCGGTCACGGTGGGGAAATGCGATCGGCACCCGGGTGGTGGATGAACTCATATTATGGCCCTAGGCCCTATAGGCAATTACCCCCCAATATGCCGAGATCAGCATTCGGGGTGTAAAAAAGAAGTGATCGAAGAAATGAAACGTCTTGCATGTTTAGCTGGGATGGGCTAGAATAAAACTGCTTCATGTGAGACACAGCAGAGGTTAGCATCCGCAGCTGGGGTCTGAAACCGTTCAGTATCAGGTCACCATATTAAAAGCATGATAAACCTATCCTATACGATCATTTACCATTCGTGCAGTTTGTTCGTTTCCAATAATAGTAAACACAACTCATAATCTAAATAAGAAAGTTCAAAACCTGATCTGTTGAAGTTTCAGCTCAGTAGATATTGCACTCTTCACAAAACTGTGAAAAATACTAGGCCTTTGTCGTCTTTATAACTCTCCCTCCCCCTAAATTAGTCAACTGACTGATTTTTGATCGGACCTATGAACACAATTTTGTCCATCGAGCTTAAGACATTCTGTGGACTTTCACTGGTAGGTAGGTCCACACAACCTTTCCACTCTCTGAAAAAAACCTAATCTAGGGCCTTTTTCGAGATACCGCCTAATTTGTCTTTGGATAAACCGATTTAGAGTGGTTTTTTTTGCGATTTCCAATTACACATTGTGAAACCTGTGGGACGTGGGTGTTGACAAATCCCCGAGGAAATCTCTCCCTGTTCTTGCTATGTTGTTTTATTATAATACCTTCATTTGCATTGTTGTTTTTGTTGAGGCGGCCGCTGGATTTTGGCATGGTCAAAAGGATCTTTCTAAAAATAAACGTGCAATAGGCCTACACAATGCACATCTCCCCAAGCGTGTACAGCGATGATGAGCGGTCACGTTTCCCGTTTATGAAGCATGCCAGCCGAGGAATAGGCTTATTATTACAGTTGCTCTGTATACCTCTGGAGATGTATTCATAGTAAGAAGAAAAAGGTTGCTTTCTACCAAAAAAAGGCTATATCTCATTCTTTTTTGTCCTCCGCATTCTTTCCTCCGATTCGTATAGTATCGGAGGTGACCTGTAGGCCTATTTAAAACTTTTTCATTTCAGATAATTTTGTAACTGGATTTTCATATCGGTATCCTATATCCTATATCGGCATCAAATCCCCGCACATCGTCACAGTGATTGTCTAACATTGAATACTCTTTGTTGACCTGTGAGCTGTGAGCAAAGAGGTCCACATGGTGTAGGAAGTATGAACGTTCGGTGGACTTGCACACGTCCACAATAGGTTCCCCCCTCTCTGGAAAACAGGTTTAGATGCATTTTTGGGTGAGGGTTATTGGTCGCAAAATGAAGGGGAACACTCAAGCAAATCATGATAAACTTGAGTTGAAAGAGTGTTCACAGTGCGAGTAAAACATTTTTTCCTCCGGTTTTTCTTAACTACACGAAAACAAAGGAAAGTCCACACTAGGTATGGATGTACAATGTATGTCCTATGTGGGCGGGCTGCACCGCGTTATTGGGAAGTTTTTTTTTTATTGTTAGGCAAATCAGGACCGAGTTATGTCTCGGTGTCTTCGGTCCCCATAGTACCATGGGACAACTCGTGTGTAGTCCCCACAACTACGGAACAAGTACTGTATGTGTGTGTGTACTTGTTTGCACATTCAAATTGTGGGCGTTGAACAATAGAGGAAAATGGGGTTGACCGAAGGTCCACGATTGATGATCGTGTACAAAACATCTGGGAGGTCTTCCTAAAAAGTTTAAGTACAATAGGGGGTCCACGATTGAAGATATTTACACACTAGTCTTGTGTACATGTGCAAGGTTCCTTATGGGGTAGAAAACACAATAGAACAATAGACCCCATAAGCAAGTCTTTAGAAATCAATCTACCCCATAAGGGAAACGCTATGGAGTTTGAGATTTCAATAGGAACAAAGGAGAACAAAAGAAGGGAATCAGTTAAAGGTCTACCCCATAAGTATAAGGTGTACTTTCACTGTGTGGACCTCTCAACAAAAGACGTCCACATAATCCAGGTAGCAGTGACGTTTTGTGGACTTGCCCACGCCCACACACGTATACTTGTTTCACATGACTAGTGTGGACTTTCCATTGCTTTCGTGTAGTTAAGAAAAACCAGTGAAAAAACTCATTTTTCTCAAACTGTGAAAACTCTTTCAACCCAATTTTTTTTCTATGATTCCCTTTAGTGTTTCTCTTCATTCTGCTACAGATAAACCTAACCCAAAAATGCCTCTAAACCTGTTTTCCAGAAATGGGGAAACACTGTGTGGACGTGGGCAAGTCCACACAACGTCGGTGCTACCTACATTATGTGGACGTCTTTTGTTCGGAAGTCCACACTGCGTATGTAAGACAAGCTCACACACGTGTGTAAATGCCGGCAATCGTGGACGCCCCATTGTCCCTAATCCTCTTTCCTTTGTTTGTACCCTAACTTTTTAGCGACAGCTCTCATTGGTTTTGTACAAGATTTGAGATCGTGGACGTTCGGTCAATCGTGGACGTATTGTTTGCGCCCACATTCTTATGTCCTACATCCACGATTGCCGGTGTTTACATACTCACATGAACACGCAAGGTTTACCCTCTCTGCAACACAGGTTAAGAGGCATTTTGGGGTGAGGGTTTTCCGTCGCAAAATGAAGAGGAACACTCAATTACGGAAATCATTAAACAAAAAATGGGTTGAAATATAGTGTTCACAGTGCAAGTAAAATGAGTTTTTTTTCTCCGCTTTTTCTTAAAGGAAACATGCATGGAATTCACAACTGTTCTGCCTTGAATGACATCACGCTTTGGCTCATGAATATGGACATTTTCATCAGCATAAAAACTAAAATGTTGAAATTTCTCCCTTTGGCTGCTACAAAGGAGGTGGAATGTCATAGTTACATGGCAAGAAAGCTGTTTTGTATTTAAGTCTTAAAAATCCCATTACATGTTCCCTTTATCTACCCGAATGCAAAGAAATGTCCACAATTAGATATGTACATGTATTAGGTAAGACGGTTTGTGTGTGGGTTTGTTTTTGCATTCAATAGGGGACGTTGATCAACAGAAGACAATAGAGTCCACAATTCCAGAAGGTCCACAATTGACGATCGTATACAAACATATGGGAGGTCGTCCACGATTGAAGATGTTTGCAAACCTAAACATTGCACTTTGCATTCGTTTTGCATGGTTTTGCAGAACACACGTCCTTAATCAACGAGATCAATTCAAATACACGCAACGGAACCCAATTTTTAGGAGTTGGTGTTATTTTGTTTCTATGGTATATCAGACTCTTGCTACCAAACGAAATAAAGTTGACGAAAAAAATTTACGATGATAGAATTGCTTGGGTTTCATAATTGATGTCCCAAAAGCAAGCGAACTCGTAAGGAAACTGTTAGCATCATTTTAGACCCCCCCCCCTTTGCAAAAGCTGAAAAATCGGAAAAAATTGATTTTCCATTTTCTCGCAGACAAAAAAAACAATCAGAACTTGATGAGACTCCTCTTTTTCAGCCACCTTGGGAATATCCACCTCCGATCAGATTCCAGAAACGAATATCGGGATTCAATGCGATCCGATTGATTGTGTATGCAAGATCAGGGGCGAAGGGTGACAGGCTGTAGGACGCTACCCTTTTCTTCGCTTCTCACATTGCATACCATTCCCAGTCCTAGACGGTAAGTGCCATTTACCACACGTTCAATACACGGGTAGTCGCAACGTATAACGGTGTAGGTGTCGCCGCCTTGGGCAATATTGCGTATCATGTAGTTTTGACAGCGTTTTGGGGAGAATTTTTTTTTGGGGGGTATGTATAGCACCACTCCATTTCTCACTACAGCTACAGCTAGCTGGTACCCTCCGCCTGGCCTTATGTATAAGGCCTCAGTAACAGCGCTGGTAAACTAAACGCTTGCGCACGTCACGTGCGTGCGGAATGTACGAGTGTTGTTCATGGTTCGCTCGTATTACCACCCTCTGCAAGGTGACCATATGGAAATGGCTACATGCACTTCAAAAATCTTCTAGATTTAACAAAAACACCTAGAATATACAAAACACATTATAAAAACTTATTATATTCACATTAAGATGTTATAAAATTTCTTTAAACCCCCCCCCAAAATCATAGAATATTCTTAACAAAAATTAAAATAAATAAATTGGCGCGCGTCTAACGTGGCTTCCAATGTCTATAGTACTTTACTGTACGTGTGTAGACGTATATGTCAGGGAACACCAACGCTTAGACTGGCCTGCCTATCCCCGATGTTCAAGGGTTTGTTTGAAGTGATTGAAGCTTGTTCAAAACAAATCTGCTATTTTTTTTTGCTAGGATCACCGATTTTACAGAATTCTGCTAAAATTTTCATTTTGCTGGAGTTTCTGCGACATTCGTCCCCCCCGCCCCAAATCTGTCAGATCTAGCCGAAAATCGGCCAAAACGGTCACC